TAGACACAATTTCGTCTCAACTGTTTCCATTGCTTTCTGCAAATGAAAATAATTTTAAATGGCTATCATGTACATACGCTATTTAATCTTTTTACCATGGGACATATGGAAATAAATTTTGCGTAACAGAAAACGCGTAACGCTTCCGATTGGTTACGCGATACGCGTTACATAAAAAATCTCTGTAATGGGACGGCACTCTAAGTGAGGTTCGAATCTTCGCTAAGTGAGGTTTGAATCTCCACTAAGTGAGGTTCGAAAGTCAAACCAGTCAAACCCCACTTAGCGAAGATTCGAACCCAACTTAGCAGAGACTCGAACCACATTTTAGCGGAGATTTATTGAATTTATTCTCCCGCTGCACTTATAGCGCGCGCGCATTCGAACCTCACTTAGCGGAGACTCAAACCCCACTTAGCGAAGATTCGAACCGGATACTTTTAGGGTGCCGTCTCATGGCAGAAATTTTTCATGTAACGCTTATCGCGTAACGCCTCTGATTGATTACGCAATACGCGTTACGTGAAAAATTTCTGCCATAGGACGGCACCCTTAGCTGAAGCTAGAATAGAAATATCATATTGATTTTCAAAGATCCTGTGATTCATATATATAATAAATCTCATCATTCTATTGACATTACGATTTTTCCCCCCATACATTTTTATAAGTAAATTATTTATATTATTATTTTTAACTTAAAATTCATTCACTGCAGTATAATGCACCTGTAACTATTGAATAAACAATGACTTGGAAATAATATTTTTAATTAGTTTGTCAAGTTAAATCCTAAAACAGTAAGCATGCGAACGATTTGTCGATCAATATTCAAGAGCAAATTTAAAAAATTATAAAATGTATTAATTATAGAACTTAATTATTGGCAGAATCTCAGATTGATTGCATAGACGAGTTCAAAAAGAACAGTTACATGCCATCAATTCCGAGTTCATTTTTAGATGCAAAAAGAATTCTTTTTAAATACTTAAAAATGAACTCATGAATTGACACATACGACACTGATTGTGAGATACGAATGAATTTTTTTCACCTCTGTAAATGTGCTATCTGGGATGTTAGAAGGAATCTACTACAGCTTACAGTATATGACAACAGAAACTGAGTAAAATCTATCATTTTGCAATTATTTAAATGACACTTTCCTGGTTTCCTATCCTTTCCCATGGTGATTCTTAAGAAATCTCGAAAAAACTGTCATCCAGATCGCCTGCCTTTTTTCGCAAGAGAGGATAGGCAATCTAAAAAAATGTTTAGTTTCTCGAAAGTCCCTAGGTATTGGGAAAATATATAGGAAACAAGAAGAAAATTCCGGGCTGGCCGGCCTGCGTACGGGAATATGCCAATATGGTCCGGAAGCGCGTATGACACGTGCGCTCTATTTCGTTCAACAACGACTGACCGTTGTCAGACGCGTGCATAGGTATGCATCGGTTAGAGTGCTGAGGGAAATTGCGGCAAATCTACCGGAGGGAAGGCCGAAAACGACTCGAAATCCCGTCGCGAGTTCCCCGACCGGATCGTATTCTACCGACCGACCTAATTTCCAGTCTGATCTCCTGCGCGTCGATATAATGCCAGAGGTGGAACGCACGGCCGGAGCCGACGAGTGTTGTCAAGAATGTCAAGTTGAGTATCTGGAGACGCCCGTCAAATCGGAGAACGACAAGAAGGAGTACAGGTAGGCAGATATTCAGAGACAGGCATTTCGATCGAAATAGAAAATGTGAGATATATTATCTACTATGATGACGGTAATCTTTTGAGAAGAGCATCGCGATACACCTTTTGCAAACCCCAAAGAAGGGGTTATGTTTTCCTTTTATATGACAACATTCCCACTGACTTCTTGTTTCACTAATCCCTGTTTTGTATCTTTTAAATTCAGAGTCGTCAGATTGCGGAACGGTTTAACAGCCCTGCTAATATCCGATCTGCATTCAAAAACATGCGATTCTGAAGACGAGGATGATGGTAAGACGTATCTCATATTAATTTAAAAAATGAGATATTATATAATAGATAATATATGAAGAAATGTATATGTTTAAAAAAATTAAAAATGTATTATTTTTTGATGAATATAGAATCTAGCGAAGATGACTTGGAAGATGATGATGAGGATGATGAAAGTATAGGGGATGAAGAGGAAATAGAAGATGACGAATTTGATGAAGAGGATAGTTCTTCAGTTAAACGAGTTAAGAGAGATGAAAAGAAGGTACACGAACAAGACAATTTAATTTGCACCTTAGGATATACCTTGCATCAATTTCTTTTTTTACATAATATATTATTAAAAATTCATTAAAATTGTGATACATCAAAGATAGACTTATAAAATCATAAAAGATCATATCTATTTCCTCAGAGATAGATATTTCCTAAGAATATTATCAGTTTTATCAGAAGCTTGAAAATTTTGATCTTTACTATCTGCAAGAGAGTTTCCCTAGATTTCGAAATGTTTAATTTAGTTTGAAATAGTTTATGAGTCATACCGTTGATTGTGTTTATTTCTCCATTTAACATCCCACATAAAAATGTAATATCCTGTAAAATGTATTAATATATATATTTTTCTTTTTTTTAACAGGCGGCATGTGGCTTATGTGTGGGAGTAGGCAGTTTCAGCGACCCGCCGGAAGTACCGGGCATGGCACATTTCCTCGAGCACATGGTTTTCATGGGGTCCGAAAAATATCCACAAGTATTAAAACAAGCTGCATGAGTTTACCGTAAAATTCATTTATTCGTTTATACTTAAAAATGTGCCGTGTCACTTGCAGGAGAACGATTTTGATGCATTTATCAGTAAGCGTGGTGGCTTTACTAATGCCTCAACGGATTGCGAGCACACGACATTTTACTTCGATATCCAAGAGAAACACTTGCTGTCGGCCCTCGATCGTTTTGCTCAATTTTTCATTAAGCCGCTGATGAAGAAAGACGCCATCACGCGGGAACGAGAGGCCGTGGAAAGCGGTGTGTAAATCATAATTGTAATTCCTGTCGTACCTTGCAGTCTCGATACGCCATGCTCATATAGAGTTTCAGCTGGCCCTGCCCTGTGACGAGAACAGGAAGGAGCAACTGTTCTCCTCCTTCGCGCGAACCGGTCATCCGGCCAACAAGTTTATCTGGGGCAATTTAATAACATTGCGCGACAACGTGAACGACGACAAATTGTACGAGGAGCTGCACAAATTCAGAGAACGCCATTACAGCGCGCACAGAATGAAGCTGGCTATACAGGTAACATGCTTGAAAAAATTGCGACGTGAGCCATCGATTGCTTATTAAATATAATAGTTAATTCATAACATGATGTCTTTACAGGCGAGACTACCGCTGGACACGCTGGAAATGTATGTCACATCATGCTTTGCCGATGTACCGAGCAACGGACTGCCTCCCGATAATTTTACCGAATTCAAAGACGGCATTTCTTTCGACACTCCCGCTTTCCGAAAAATGTATAAAGTCAAGCCCTTCAAGGATGTCAGCCAGGTATGTGTGATTAAGGAACAGATGCAAAAAAAATCACCTATCTTTACATGTACTGAATAAATGTATAAAGTAAAAATTGTTTTTTTGCAGCTGGAAATAACGTGGACAATGCCTTCGCTGCTTGAGCTTTACAAAAGTAAGCCGCATCAATATATCTCGTGGATTCTTGGGCATGAAGGAAAAGGTTCTCTGATCAGTTATCTACGCAAGAAAATGTGGAGCCTCGATATGTTCAGTGGTAACAGTGAGAGCGGTTTCGAGCACAGCTCCATGTACGCCTTGTTGAAGCTTACCGTGGTGCTCTCCTACGAGGGGCAGCAACATCTGGAGGAAGTTCTCGACGCGATATTTTCCTTCATCAATTTGCTGAAGAGAGAGAGTCCGCAGAAAAGGATTTACGACGAGATTTATAAGATTGAAGAAAATAATTTTAGGTAAATACCGATTTTTAAGAATAAATAGACGCGTGAGAGATGATTGAAAGAGAACAGTCATGAAAATATGTGTGAGGCTTATACTTGGAGGCCTTTTTAGATTTGCAGACGAGGAGGATCCAGCGGATTACGTGGAGGACTTGTGCGAGAGTATGCATTTCTATCCGCCGCGAGATTACATAACCGGAAACGAGCTCTATTTCGAGTATAATCCAGAAGCTATAAAAAAATGTCTGGATTATTTGGTGCCGGAGACCGCGAATATCATGATCTTCAACGAGGATTTCGACCCTGTCGAATTGAACAAAGTCGAGCCGTGGTTCAAAACCAAGTATACGGACATCGAGATACCAAAGGAATGGATCGAACGCTGGAAGACGATTGAGCCATTGCCAGATTTTCATTTACCATTACAGAATACATTCCTTACCAGCGACTTCTCCTTAATACCGTTGCCAGCGGAGGTCTCGAAATACCCCGTGAAATTACACAGTGACAATATATCGGAGATTTGGTATCGCCCGGATCCCAAGTTCCGTTTGCCGGAATGCTACATGAATTTCCATTTTATTTCCTCTCTAGGACTTCAGTCGCCGAAGAAGTAAGTAATGAAAAATATTACCCATAATGTAAAAGTATTGATTCTATTGATTTCTAACGTGTAATTATTAATATTATGATTTTAACGCAATCTTTTTTAAAAAATATACATTTATGGTATTCACATTAATAACATTTCAGTGCAGCTCTCATGGAAATGTACTGCAATGTATTAAAACTGCTGTTGATCGAAGAATTATATCCAGCTATCGCGGCTGGGTTTGACTATAGTATTAGTGTCAGTGAGAAGGGCATTACAATAAAAATGAACGGATTTAACGAAAAACTGCCAGTAAGTGTAGATTCGACGTGTGCATTTGAAGTTATACATAATTTCGAGATACATCGACACTTTACTTGTATTACAGCTCTTGTTAATGGCTATTGCGAAATACATGGTGGACTATCCGACCCTTGTTACGAAGGACTTGTTTGAAATCGTCAAAGTGCAACAACTCAAGACCTATTACAACACATTTATAAAACCTGGGAAACTCGTCAAGTACGGACTATTTATTTGCAGAAGATTATTTTTTGCCAAGCGTAAAATTGCAACAGTTACAAGATTCTTGCTTAGCCAAACAATCGATATTATAAAATGAATTATGTCGAGTTATATTTCTGCCACAACTAATATATCTTCGTTCTTTTTTTTTTCGCAGGGACGTGAGACTGTGGATACTGAGGCTCGTCCATTATACGCACGTGGACACGCACGCCGCTCTACACGGTATCAACTTCGAGGAATTCCAAGACTTTGTGAAGTCCTTCACCAATCATCTGTACATTCAGTGTCTCGTGCAAGGCAACATGACGCAGGACGCTGCGATCGATACTGTACGGCAGTGTGTCAGCATAATCAATTGCGGCCCCTTGCTGTCCAGTACGATACCGCAGATGAGGGTCACTCAGATACCCTTGGGCATGTGCTACTGCAAGTTGAAAAATATCAACAAAATTGACGCAAATTCCGTGGTGACAAATTATTATCAAGCCGGCGTCGCGTCGATTGAGCTGTCGGTGTTAATCGATCTGATGATCGTAAGTATCGTAAAATTGTTTCGTTATATTTGCATGGAATTCTCGGTTTATATTCACCTACATTTAGGCCCATTTTCACCATATATGGTTAACGAAAAAGTTAAATTAACTAAAACCTGAAAGTTAATTAAAACACACTTTGATAAGCTTATAAATCAAATAAACTAAAGACTACGTGTACATCAGTTGAGTTGACATCAAGTTAATTGGTTGGTTAAATCCTAATCAAACGTTGTTAAACAATAAACTTCTTGGTAATTTTTAATCTTGAGGTAATCATACATTGTGAAAATGGGCCTTAAAAGTAAATGAAATATGAATGGACATTTTCGATTGTCGCGACAGCTTTTATCCGCCCATCACACTCATCCGCACACATCCTCCTTTTCAGATGATAATGGAAGAACCGTTATTCAATCGGCTACGAACCCAAGAACAGCTTGGTTACGACGTCTCGTGCGTCCTTAGAGACGTCAACGGAATCTTAGGATATACCATTACCGTTCACACTCAGGCGGATAAGTACACGACCGAGCACGTGGACCAGCGGATCGAGGAATTTCTGAGAACGTTCAATAAGAGTTTGGAAGAGTTCTCAGAAGAGGAATTGGACGACGTGAAGGAGGCGCTGAGAAAATTGAAGCAGTGTGCCGACATCGATCTGGAGGAGGAAGTCGACAGGAATTGGCGCGAGATCACCAAATGGCAATACATGTTCGACAGACTCGAGAGGGAGGTGCTTGCGATAAAAGACATAAAGATCAACGGGCTGAGAGAGTGGTTTGCAAAGCACACCGCGAACGGAAGTCATTTCAGAAAATTGAGCGTGCACGTCGTAGGAACTGATCCGAAGGAAAGTGCACACAAGGAAGCGAATGGTGAGCAAACAACACTTTTTCTCGTTCGATGTCCATTATATTCACCTACATTTAAAAGTTAATGAAATATGAATGACACTTTCGATTATCGCGATCGATTTTATCCGCCCGTCACACTCATCTGCACACATCATCTCCTTTTCAGATAATGGAAGAATCGTTATCTAACATTTTTTGCCGTCCGTTTTTTTTTTTGGTTGTCGGAATACGATCGAAGTGACTCGGATAAAAATGAAAAAAATTAATTGTTACAGATACTGCAGAGGAATCGCATCGTAAGAAAGCGCAGTACTTTGCTTTGGAATATATATCGCCAATCGGCGATCAGGCGCAAAAGGACGCTGGAGTTAATCACATTACTAACGTAGAAGATTACAAGAAGGATCTCTACGTGTATCCAGCGAGTGAGGGGACAAATCCTCTCAGAGCGCAGACTAAGTGATACTTTAACATAATAGTATAATGATAATAAAAAAAATTTGATAAATCGTACTGCCTTACGATAATAAGATTCTTTTTTTTTATTTATTAAATGCTTAAATTTAATACTCTAATTCTCCGCATAACAAATTTTTTTTCATGTAACTCTTCACACTTATCGCCTCCTTTCCGATAAGCCATTTTATCATAGTAATTAACATTATTGGGAACATTTTGCACGTTGCAATATGAAAAATTCGAAATTAATAAAAGGAAATTGTCTCACAGATAAAATAAGGTTTGTGAGTTTTATATTAATTTTATTTTGTAGCTCATATTAAACGATCTTTTGCATGGTTCTCTTTCGCGTGGATCAAAATGGAAATTAAGTACGATATAAGAGACTAAATACGATATAAACGAATGCATAAATGTAGCTGTAATCATATAAGATATCGATACTAATCAGGAAATAAAGTACTCGCTCGGGATGTAATTTTTCATATTCTTTTAATTGTATTCAAGACATGACAACACGTTTTCAATAAATCATTAAACTTCCGAAAATATCAGCCATATTCGAACTCCCTCGCCCCTTTCTTTCTCTCTCGCTCTCTCTCTCTTTTTCGCTCCTCTCTTTCTTTCTCTCTCTCTCTCTCTCTACTCGTGCTAACAGCTTTCTTACAGGACTCGATCGAAAGTTCGTTATCTTTTACAAAAGCCGCACAACATCACGTAAAGACTTCTTTATATAAACTGAACGGAGGACCCTACAAATCTTAAATACTCTAATTTCGCGTGTGTATGTGTGTTGAGAGGTTGCGTTTTATAGAATATAAACGAAGGGTTAAATATTATGCTGTTGAAAAGAAAACGGAGGAAACTGAAATTTATCTGTCAATTGGATCAACTGCTCTGCCCCTCTTTCTCTCTTATCTCTCGGGAAAGAGATTTCGCGAGCCAGCGAAGTGGGCTTGCGAGCCGTGAGGAGACAGGCGGAGCACTCGCCCTCCAAGAGCCAGATTTACAGCGAGTATTAATAATAATGCAATTTAAGTATTTCTAAATTGTTATAACATCCATTAAGAGTGCGTTTCGCATTTTATACTTCGAATAATCATCGTATATATCTTTTTTTCTTTTTTTTTTCTCTTTGCAGTAATATTATATAGAGTTGCCACTACATTTATATTAATTATTTACCTGCTACTCTCCAAATATGTATCCGTTTTTTTTTTAAGTAGTTTAAATGTGTCTTTAGAGTTACGATAATCTTTTTTTTTTTTCGGTTCTGCCTCGTGTTCTCGCCAGCACTGATTCTCTTTACTCTGTCTCTCTCTCTCTCTTTCTCTCTCTCTCCCCCTTTCTCTTTTTGCTCCGCGTTTCTTTAACTCCGTTGAATCACGTATAATATACCCCACAGGATCATCACGGAAGTTGTACGAATAACAGTTACTCCGAAACTTGTGCACACGATCCCTCGGATTTTTTTTTTTTCTTTTAACTAGGCGAAAGCATTAGAATCAGCTCTGCTCGACACCAGACATGAATGGGGGTACATGTTACAACAGTACAATGGGTTTACAATGGGTATTAATAATCCAACAAGAATACATCAATGCGGCTGCGTTTATATTAAATGCGACGACCGCGGATGGGTCGGCTACGTGCGAATCGGCGGCATCTCGGCACTCGCGACCGACTATAATTGATTACCGTATAAACGATAACGTGCTACAACTATAATCTTCCCCGTGCGAAAGGGCTTTTCGTTCTACTCTTGTGGGATTTTTACCTTTTTTTTTTTTCCGCGAGTGTTTCCCTCTTTCCACTCCGTGTTGTCTCCGGTATCCACCCGATGATAGCGGTGAAAGAAAAAAGCGGTGTCTGGGAAAGGACGATTCGAAATCTATACGATTCACGCGCCGCCGCGCGCACTTGTCTCTCGCAATGCGTCACGCCATCCGCTGCGACCGACCCACCGAAGTCAAATTATATAATTGTCAATAACAGCTGAGCGCATGTACAATCTTTTTTCGGATCGACGAACGTTTCCGTCCCCTCCTCCCCCCTCCCTCCCCCGTTTCTATCCCTCTTCTCCCTTCGATAACCGGAAATTCGAGCGACAGTTCCGAACATGATGTGCAATTGGTCTCGGTTGAAAAGTTCGAAAGGGCGTTCTCTCTCTCTCTCTCTCTCGCTCTTACTCTCACACACATATACATCCACATAAATGGAGTACACGCAAGTAAATTTCCTTCCCTTTTTCACATACATCCCATGCGCTTTTGCGTTATATATTTTTCTTTCTTCGGATATAAGAAGAGAAAGTAAAAAAAGAAAAAAAAAGAACGGGAAAACAAACGTACTAATGATTATCAAGTATACATTGTTATCGCGCGTATGCGTATGTAATCTTTTCCTTCCCTATGAAAAATAATAGCGTAGTTATACGTTATGTAATATTTAATAAGAATATATAAGGTGTGTGTGTGTGTCGGGGCCCACATGCGTATTTTTTTCTCTCAACTACATCGATATCTCTTTTTTTTTTTTACTTTTTACTTTATTACATTATACCTGCGTTTCGCTATCGTTATTTTAGTTTATATCTCGTATTACGTATATAAGCAAAGCTACGTTAAGGAAAAAAAAAAAACTTAAAATTTATTAAATCGTCGAGTGCGCGCAAACCCGCGGCGAGAGGTGGAAACCTCCCTCCTTTTCGGCATATTATGCTTGATACGTCGGATCGCTACGAAAAAGTTCGAGTTTCTATTTGTACGGGCTACTAGTTAGAAGTTAAAAGATAAGAACACACGTGTACACGCGTGACACACGACCGTCATCACGTCTGCGTATACAATCTATATGCGGAAAAACGTAATATACAATACAATGTTTTTTTTCCTTTTCTCTTTTTAATCTATCATTTAAAACAAAGTTATTGAAAATTAAACGGTCTCCCCTTTTTTTTTTTTTCTCCAAGATTCCTGCAAGGCAACCTAAGGCTCTACAAGATATAAAAGAAGGAGGAATATATATAGAGAACATATATAGAAGTATATGAGAAAGCGGGGACTTTTCTCTCGAATTAAAGGACATAACTGTTGATGAATACATATGTTTAAAGTGTTAATGAGAACCCTTATACTCGGCTGTATATCGTATATGATAGCTCTGTGCTAGAAAAGCGGCGGTCGAAACGAAACGAAAAATAGTCGTTTTTTTTTTCCTTCGAAAAATCTGAGCGTGTTGTCTAAGCGGCAACGCGCCGCCGTTTACGTTACGCGCGTTTACACATAAAGACACGTGAAGAACGAATATTCCGCGCGATATTCCATTTAACCGTATCTTCATTTACAATGGAATCGGTTTCCGGTCGTTCCAGCAAGATTATCGAGAGTTTAGCATTTATTTGGTGTACAATTAATTTTTATTTTTCTGTCATTAATTATCTGTTCACAACACACAATGTTTCGAGGATCATTATAGATTGTTACTCCATAAATACGATAGATTACTTATAGCTTTTTAATGGTAATGTCTCGGTAATTATCATAGACGACTTTTCGTGGGCCCCACTTTTTTTTTCTACTTATCAACAACGAAAAGCAGGCGGTCGCACTTTGAGTCGCGAGCGCGCCCGTTTTTTTTTTTTACGTCGCTTTAATGCTTTAATGCGAGTTTCCTTGTTTTTCAACATTTCTGCTTTCTGCTGTATTCAATATTGAATTCTCTTTTTTTATCGTTTTTTTTTGCATTACGCTTCGCGTTTACATTAAATTATTTCACGTTATTATTATTATTGTTGCATACTCATATCAGTGCAGCAGCAACTGATCGCGTTGCATATACATCGTTATTTGTGTCTTTATTTGTTTTATATCCGGTATACATTATATATTATATATATCTCTCAAGAGTTCGATTTCTCAGAAAGAAAATCATCTATCTTTACGTAAAAGCGTAAAGTGGCGTTTTTTTTTACTCTCAAATTCGTATTTCGTCAGATTCAAGAAGGTCGGCTTCTCTAGTACGTGTTAAATATGTATTATGTGTGTACATGTGTGTATATTGTATATACGCGTTCGGAACGAACGGCTTTGTCAATTCTCGAAATTTACGTTTTTCTTTTATTTGTTTTCTTTTATTCTTCAGAAAGGAATATCGTATCAGCGATCGTACTCGGTGCATTGCAACGTACTTTGCAAAGTAATCGTAAGCGTTCGTACGCTAATCGTAAGTCGGTTACGTGAGACTCGGATGATTACGAAAATCATATATTACATGTATCCGTGAAACGTATGATTTTACAAACGATCGTGTCGTGACAAATACGTTATTAAGCAAATGTTGATTACTTCGCATAAATATGCATCGCGTAAAAACGGTCGAATTATTTTTTTCCACATATGCTCGGCGCACATCGAAGCTGACATTATTAGTTATATAATTCATCTCTGTTATTCATATATATATATGCGTTATACACATCTTTTATTTTTTTTTTCCTGTTCCTATCCGCAACTCAGGAAACTGAGAGCTTCGGAAATGTAGGAGAACATGGGACTCGTTACCTCTTTTTTTTTTCTTTTCGGCAAAATTTATCCGCGGATGTTATATTTCCTTAACATGCCATTTAAAGCACTTCCGTCTGTCTTTCTCTATCTCTCTCTCTCTCTTTCTCCTTCTCTCGCTTTCTCTCCCTTTCTCTCACAGGATCTTGCACCTTCAACCATTCTCAGACTCGTTAACTGTCATTTTACCTCAAATTATATAAAGTTTCTCATTGTCCTAATGCATTTTACGCAATAACAAATCTACAAAAATATAACATTTTATCTTATCACCATATCTCATTATATTATCTCAATAAATGGTTTTCTCTTTTTACTCGCTTTAATCACCTTCGTGCACGTGTCTTAGACACGTGTCTGCCTCGTCTTCGTTACTTATTTTAATAATCGTGTTCTGTCGTGCTGTCTTGTTATTTCGCTGTTATATATCATTTTCTATTGATAAAAGAACCCTCGCTTTTTTTTTATCTCTTTTTAAACTCCGATGATCTTTGGTAGAAAGTCGTTTAGACTATTCTACACATAAATAGCATATTTTTAACATAATCATCTCCTATTCCGATGCGTAATAAACACATACGCACCTGAATTCTGTATATACACCATATCAATCACACTGCGTCACTTATAAAGCAACTGTTCATATGTACAATTAAACGAAGAATATTTCTCGAAATATGCTACATCAGGTGTGCAGTGAAAAGCTCGTCTTGTTTTGTGCAAAAAAAAAATTAATTCTTTCCTTAAATGTTCAACAATCAATTTGTGACGTATTTTTAATACGTATTATCAATTTTAATCAAACTGAAATATCGAAATTGATCTAGCACACATTTCGAATTATTATAATATTATAATATAAATATTATATACATTGTGTGTAAAGAATATTTATATTATAACAATATGAAATATGTATATTCAATTTCCATAAATCTGTGCATATATGGAAACTTGTTTATCATATAATATTAATATTCTTTATATATAATATATAAACAATATTTATATTATAATGATATATTGTAATGTAAATTTTTTATATATAAATTTAATAAACTAAATGTTTCCAATGTAATTGCAGCACATGCACCATAATGTAGCATATAGTTCAAACAATATGAGACATACCGTAAGGATTATTTCTCAACAAACACCCTTATACTAGCCAGCCTTACGATAAGCCTCAAGTCTGCCGTTAGATAGAAACGTTATCGTATCTAAACCTCAAATTCCATTCAGGAAATCCGTTCACACAATTCTCCAACGCAAATAAATATATGATCTAGACTCATGTGTGCGTACCCTCGTCGGTACGCACATGTACATACATAGGGTGGTTTAATACCCGTATGTATACGTGTCTATAACGACGTAATATGCCACGTGTATGTACATCATTATCGTGGCTCTCACACTCTCGCACTCTCACTCTCTTCACTCCTCCCTTTTTCTCACTCTCGTTCTCTCGCTCTTTTCCACTCGTTTCTTTCTCACTTTCTCTCTCTCTCTCTCTCTCTCATTCACTCTTATAATTACACACACGCTCCAATATTCACAATTTCTCTTTCACACTCTCAGGTACAATACATTCACACGCTTTACACAGGCACAACTTACGTATAATATACTGCATGAGAACTCTAATCTAAATAATATATGTATATATATAAATATATATTTTACCTATATGAAAAGCATCAGTCTCCATGTGCTAATGACTATCTCAGTGTCCCGTCTGACGCTTTTATCTACAAAAAATCAATTAACCGCTAACATGTATCAATATGGCGTGTATGTGTATGTATGTGTACGTGTATATCAGACTACCCTCCTCCTTTGTCGATCAAATCGAATCACTGAGATACGTCGCAGCGAGCATTTCATATAATACCGGAAAATATATATTTTCGTGTAAAAAAAATAATCACACTTCTTAAGAATTAAATACTTATAGCAGCTGAGACGATTTGTTCTGAGTAGTAAAATTAGCGCACGCATACACTAATCAGTCGAGTTCCATTCCATGGTAATGCGAGCGAAATTGGCTCGCATTGTTTTCCTTTTTTTTTTCTTTGCTTTTCTTTAGCACAAGCACGATTTTTTTTTTGTCTTTCTATCTTATACAGAGTGGTACGTTTGGCAGTGAGGACATCATGTATCGCATACGTCAAGAACGGGTAAAATCTTTACACATCGTGCCGCGTGCTTTATCGAGACACCGTAAAGTAAAGATTTCTTGTCTCCTATTAATAGATCAATAGTTTGGACCCATCAGAGCTTTAGAACTATTGTGCATGTAACATTCAGAATCGGATAGCTGTCATTCAAATCAATAGCTATCAATATTTAGAAGATGAAATTGTGTTCGAAATCATCATATTAATTTTGTTATTATTAGATATATATACCATAGAATTTTAATTTAAAAAAAGAAACCAGATAATTATAAATATAATTTTAAGTTACTGTAACTGTTGTCAATTCAAAATCTGAAGTACGTTTAATGAATGGTAATAAACATCTGAATAAGTTTAGTTTTTGATGATTCGCAAAATCTGCGGATAATACACATTGCCTCCAGAAGTGTCTACCAAAATTTAGACAAAGAAATAGAAAAATATCTTTTACTATATAAGTTTATAATAATTAATAATTTGTAATATTAAATTTTCTATTTAAAGATTATCAAGAAATCTTTTTGTGTAATAATTTCGAAGACCGATATTCAAATGTTACTGATGCACAATTGCTCAGAATATATAAGTAGATTGTTAGCAGTCTTGAGTCACCATTTGGGAGTAGTTGCAGTCCTTTTTCGAGAAGTTTTTCTTTTTTTACATCTAATTTTCCGTGGCGACCGCAGTGACGAGCGGCGCATCGCCTTGCCCCTTTTCCATGCCCTTACCGTTCTCCACTGCATCATCAAACTGACCTGGTACTGGCAGTGCGTCTTTCGTCAGTAATGCACGAGCGTTATCGGTTTGAGTTTCGCTGAAAACAGAGCGTAGAATTATATAAATCGTTATTAAAAATCTATAAAAATAATTTATTTGTACATAAAACATAATTGTGCAATTGAATTATTTTGTGAAGTAAAAATTTTAGAATTACTCGAGAATTAAACGTAGATATATTGTCATAATAAAGTAAAACAAGTTCTTTATAAAATGAGAACGATAAAGCAAAACATTTTCTTGCTCCATCACGAATACGACAATCAATAAATATTTGATTATAAAACATATATTGGCATCTATAGAAAAAGGAAGATTTTCTAACATTCTAGAGTAGGAACACTCACTTATAATCGGTAATTCCATCTACAGTGACACGGCCCTTGTTGTCCTTTTTCTCAGTTTCCTTGGTCTTCTTAATAGTAGTTTTCTTTTTACCGGATACCTAGAATTAATAAAAATATGTATAAGATTTTTATATATTAACAAAAAAAAAACAAATCAAATTGTCTCTTTCGATTTTGACGAGATTTATATATTGCGATATAAAGAAGAGACGCGTTAAATATTTTTTCTCGTCTAGTACGTTTTTTAGAAGTACGATCGCCTTGCAACTCACGTTTACTTGGATTATGTTTATTCATGTATGTATGTCGGATTAATTATCTCACTGCATTCATATAAACTTTATTCCAATATATTATCGGTTTATTCGATATTTAATCCGGTAAGAATCCAAATTCAATTCAAAATTTCCAGTTTATGTTCCTTTTTTTTTTGTTTATACACTTATACTTTTTTTCATTTATATACCTACAAAATATTTATACCTTCATTTGAGTTTTCTTGCCACGTCCAGCGATCGGAGCACGGGTGGCCCCGCGTGTTTGAAATGTCGGTCGGTTTATCGGATTAAATCCACGTGGAAGACCGTATTTAAGTCCACCAATAGAAGTTACCTACAAAAACACAATTTATCTACATTGTGATACATACAAAATTCTTGTTGTCTAAATGAAATACTGCGACGCATTCTAAAGATGATTTGTAAGTCAGTACTTCGGAAGGTGAGCTTAGAATTCAAAACAAGAAAGTGTCATATAAACATAGACTATTTGAACTTTATTTTCCGTGTCATATTAAAAAGAAAAGTGCTCGTTTCTCATAAGCACATTCCGATGTATTCTGATATGAATTTTAATATAGATAATTTACTGTAGTGATATATTTAAAACTATAATGCATATTATGGCTTTACACGCGTATAATGTATCATTTTTTATTTTGAAGTACATTTAAAAAAATACAATTATGTAACTTTATCTTTCTCTCAAATAAATTTAGGCAAGAGTTATATAACACACAAAAAATTATCAAAATTATTTATCAGAAGAATGTATTTCGACAAGAGATAACACGTATTCCAATTCAATGCAGAAAAGATAAATTGAACTGAAGTGAATTTCAAGAGATAAATTCTTAGAAAAACATGCTCCACAAAAGACAAAACAACTTTTACTTCTTATTAACAACCTTAACAATCATGACAAAAATTTATTTTTTTTTAGATCCCATATTTCTTTATTTAAGTAATATTTATCTCTCTATTAAGATTTTCCAGAAGATAAAGTAATTCACACGCACGCATGTGTTTAAAAAAAATATATTATTTAAATTATTAAAGAAATATAAAGTGTCTCACTTTTAAGTTTTAATAATAGCAAATATATATTATTATATATTAATAAAAATTACGACATAACATTGAATAATCAAATTAACAAATACATACGTGTCGTTTGAATTATTCAGTAAGAATTTCATAAGAATAATTGGCAAAAAAGAATATTAATAAATATTTCTCGAATAAGCAATTCATTTTCAAAAATCTGTATGTCGTTTTTATATACAATGATTTACGTACAACTATGTGTAATTTGGCAAATATGATTTCATTACATATTATTCAGCTATATTTAAATACATGCTTCTCCGAAATACATGCTTTCTTTTATTAGACTACTTCGAAAATAAAAAATATATATTACCTAAAAAGAATATATATATATAAAGGAACACCAGTTAAAATACTCTGAATTAAAATATATAGAAACCTTTATTTTAACAGTGTCCATATTACATGTAAAAAAAACATGCGATAATACAAAACCGCAATGCTACAAAAAAAACATCATATAAATATAATGTGTGAAAATAATTTCTTTTTCATCCTAATAAATGTAATAAAGCAACACGTATAAAGTCGCATAACGAGGATGAGCTAGCTATCCTCCGCTTAATATACATTCTCAAATACATGATTCCATAATTTATTTCCATGATGAACGTCTACATATAAAAACTATATAAAAACTGTATAAGCAAGTAAACTCTGCATTAAATTGATTTACGTGATGTCCCTCCTAAATGCACGTATTATCCGATCACACACCAGCGACGGTTAAATAGTGAAAGCGGACTACTCAATACCTCGAACGTTCCCCTAAAATCTGTCCAGAATATCGTCATCGTGTGCTCCTTACTCCATATACACGCAACGATACCGAGTCATCGTTATGAAATTGCAATCACATACCCTTAATGGAATCTTGTCATATCTTACCTGCGGTGGAATCCGTCCGCGGGGATGCCCCTGCAGGGGTTGCGGCAATCGACCGGGCTGTCCGTAATTCGGGCCCCATTGACCCACCACGACACCAGCGATTTCCAGCTGACCACCGCGCGAGGGGATTGGACGGCGCATTAAACCGCGTTGCGGTAACGTGCCGCTGCCACGACCGCGCATCAGCCCGTCGTTGGGTATGGTACAACTGGCAGGCAAGATATTGGAGGGAACTGATACACGAATACCTGTGTAATAAGTGTGAAATTATTATAGGCATCGTAAACAAGTGAATGAAAACTAAATGTATCATTAACTTATATAGGAAAATTAAAATAGTGCGTAGAAATAATTTTTGTTATGTAGAATATTAGTTCTTAATACGTAAGAGTATTAGTTTTTGTTACATGTCTAATAATTTGCGTATATAACGAAATTGTTTCTTTATAGAATGCTAATCAATTTTCTGCGTTATGACATTTTTTTAACATTTGAATAACGTTCTCAAGAATATACGTGATCTCCGTTTTCTGATGTGACCCATATATATCATAGTTGCTTCTTAATAACTTTAATGTTCTCGCAGCAATTTTCAGTTTTATGTTACAAATTTAGGAATTTCTTTTGTTTATCAGAATATTTTATCGCAGTTTTGAGATTCGCAGAGCTATATTGATAAACTCTACGAAGCAACATTAACTGCTTTTTTTTTACTTCCATCCGAAAACATCCTATTATGAAAGATCATAGGATGCTAAGGAAACTGGAAGAGTTATTAATAAAAAATAAAAAAAAGAAGCATTGAGTAAAGATCAAACCAAAATTCGGACGTTTTACCTATCAAATAAACTAACGTTATACCGATTGTTATACTAATTCTTATTCCCTTTTTTTTCTCAGTGACAATATCTAATGTGAATGCCTACACATGATTGTAAACATTAAATGTCATATTAAATATGTTATACTAATAATGCTAAGTTATGTAAATACATAAAACATGGTGTAATGCATGACTAATACAACGTTTTTCATAAGCAAAATTACAGGCTGTAGTCTCATTATAATAATTATTATAAGAAGTTTATCGAGGTACATATTGCTCTATATGAAAACGATCGATAGTTGAAGGGTCTCACGTTCGAATCCGACTGTCATCTCATATATGTCTCGATTTTTTAAGAAAATTGGACATTAAATGTTGTAAGTAAACAACAAAGTGACAAAATGATTTCCCGCGAAACCTGTTTCGCGAGAATCTATATTTAAAAAACAAATACACAATATCCTTCGTTCTATGCTATTTTGATTATGAGGCTGATTAAAAAATCGAAGAATCAATGGGTATATATGTATTTGTTTTTTAAATATAGATTCTCACGAAGCGGGTTTCAAATATATATATATATATATATATTTGAAACCCGCTTCGTGAGAATCTATATTTAAAAAACAAATACATATATACCCATTGATTCTTCGATTTTTATATATATATATATATATTTATATATATATATATATATATATATATATATATTTGTGATATATATATATATTTGTAAAATTACATATAATTACATATAAAACTGAAGAAGCGAAGCTTTCGAAAAACTGCGTCAAACCAATTAAAGGCGACTAAAGAAGAAGACATTAATGGCTTAAAAGGAATTGTGACATACCTGGAGTGACGGGCATGGGCGGTCGCGCAAACACAACGGTAATTCCCTCGAGTATAGCTTTTCTCATCCTCTCGACCTTTACAACGCGGTCAATATGACCGCTGCACAGTTCCAATAAGTTCTTGGCAATAGTAGCACGAGCCAGCGTATGGTGGAACAATTTGCCGTCGAAGTAGAGCCAGGGGCAGCACATTAACCATGGAATCGGCGCGCCACAAGCATCGTTCGCTAATAATGCAGTCTCGACACCAGCCATGAACAATGTAGCCAGTTGTACGCCGCGCGATGTCACTAATGGAAGCTGCGTACAAACGGCACGTTAAATGTCGGCCCGTTCCAGGTATTTGCCTGAGCTTAATGGCCGTTGTCAAAAATACACGTTTATTTCACCTGCAAATCCTGCAAGTACTGAGCGTTCATGAGCTCCGGCGAGAAGGCTTGCGCGATGAAAGCGTCCAACTCCTGACGGCGCAAGATTTTTATTTTGTCAGAAAAGGACATAATGTATCTGCGAAAGGAATTAAAAAAAAAAAACATTTATTGATCGAGTTGTTAATTAGTTCCATGTAGTTACTACTGCCTTTTCATTCGTAATGTATGAAAATTAAAAAAAAAATCCCTGTCACTCTTGCTAAGAGCTTGAAAATAATCGTAATCGATGTTCACCTTAAAACACAGGCCATGACCAGCAGATGTTGCGGCACGTACGCGGTATTTAACATGAGAGGTGTGTCCGATCTCATGCAAGTCAGGAAACCCCTGAGTCTTCGCCGTTTATCATCTATGACTGTGCTGAAGAATAGGAAGTCTTGTTAGTTTGTAAAAATTATATAAACATTGTGTACAGTCGTGGACATATCGGTTGCGACACTTTTTTTCACAGATTTTTAGTATATATTCAATATACATTTTATAGGTAACTAATATTTTGCAAATGCGAACCACGATGGTGTATTATCTTTAATTTAGAGACAGTACACCAATCGTGGTTCGCATTTGCAAAATATTAGTGCGTTTCGGAACCTATTTAAAAAAAAAAGTGCCGCCCACCGATATGTACACGACTGTACATCCAGTTTAATTGAATAATAAATCAACGCTTACCCGAACCACAAACGTTGAATCGTAGGTACGCCCCAACCGATCTGTTCCGCTTTCACCAATTCGGGAGTCTGATACGGATTGGACTTGGACCATACCCACTCTTTTATTATTACATCCGGTAAATCGACCTTTTCGCTATCTAATGGTAATAAATTTACAAAATAAAAATTTAATAGAAAAAGGGACGAATCTCTAAAATATAAAAAATTACCAACGCCATACGTACCGCCTTTCTCTTTGCTCTTCATAGCTAGGTACATTCGGTGATGAAGATTGAACAAAATCGCATACACCATCTGCCGAATTGGTCTATAAATCACGTGTATAGACGGAAATTCACGGTGGTTCTCGTCTTCCAGAAGGACCGGCAATTTGATTTCACCGGCGATGAGAATCTGGTAGATGTACGGCGACATCAGCCCCTTCTGATGACGCTCCGAGGCGGTGCGCATAACTTCCGGCGACGTGGTGGGAACGTTGGTCGTCTTCTCCGGCTGCCTCGCGGAGTCGGCCGTTGCGTGGGACGGCGATGTCGCAGACGAGCTACTACTCGAACTGGACGAGCTTATCAAGAGATTGTGAGTACCGTTGATAGCATGTCCATCGCCTGTTTCAAAAATTCCAGACGTTTAGGAATAAGAATATCAATAAAATCGCGTTGTCGAAAAGCGTCGTCGATTTTTTGTTTTTAGCCGGCATACTTTGCTCTTCCTCCGTACGTATGGCATCGGTATCCCCATGGCCTTGAATACCCGGTGGATCGATTACGATTTGCGGCGCCGCCTTCGCGTTAGCTGTTGCCTGTTTGTACGCGTTCAAACTTTCGCGTTCGCTCTCCAGAGTTTCAGACGCAAATCGCGACGTTTCCAAATTGGAGTCACCTTCCGAGGCTGATGGCGTGTCCGACAAACTTGACTGAGTTTGTGTGCTCGGTTTGGAATCGAGTTTATGGACTGAAAAATATTGACGCGGATACATTTACTTTTAATATTAACTATAATAAAACTATATTAAAACTAGCAACATACAGATATATAAACAATTACTATCTGCTTCTATATGTTCAGTTTCTAGAATTCTATCTTGAAAAACGTTAAAACATACTTTACTTTCTTTATACAAAACATTTACTGTGAATAGAAAATTCTCTAGCAGTACATCTCAAGTTTGAAAAACTTTGGAATTGTCTGGTAATAAATCATTACTTATGAATAAAAAATTCTCAAACAATATAAGCTCAATTAAAATATTTAAATTGTCCGGCGATAAGTTGTATTTGGCAAACGTTTCGATATTAAAAAGCCTCACCTTTCGCAGGTTTCACTGGCTTGTAATGTAAAAATCCCTCTTTCGTTCCGTTTAAGTAATATTGAACAGATTGTCTCAATTTCGAACACCTTGGATCGGAGACGGAACCGAACACCTTTTGCGAAACCACATCCAATTCCGCAGACGGAAGTTCCCTGACGAAATTCGCAATTATCTTGATCATTTGTTCGACGCTTGTTTTATTTAGCACGTTGGTGCTAATATTGTTATTTTTGTAGAAGTCGGCCAAGTCATTTTCGGTCAGTATGTAATTTCCAAGTAAAGCTGCCAATATACAGAGCCTGTCGGATGGTATGTTGAGAGCTCTAGTGAGTTCGGAAAGCATGTATTCCTTTGTATCGAGAGAACCCTGTTATATAAAAAAAAAAATATATATATATATATATAATTGTTAGCGTTCTGTAAATTGTCGTTGCGCAAAACACGTTGTTTTCCATCTAACTGAACAATACGTACCTTGTATGTAAGTTTTAATTGTTCAGATGAGAAGTAGCGTGGAGGATCGAACGCGGCGTATTCTGCATCATCAGCTATCAATCCATTGTAATTATTCTCACGACAGTAAGCAATGACTTCTTGATGATGATCATCCATGCTACATAGCTGTTAAAATATGAGTATATATATAATATTTACAATTAAAACTTTAATTGAAATGTGATGTATCGCAGTATATACATTAGATAATTTTAATAATCTGTAAAATGTTACGTAATTAACATTATTACTATGCATTGGTAATTGTGTCAATAATTTCAATTAAAATTTTAACTGTAAAGGCAAAGGTATGATAAGCAATAAAAGGAGGATGCTCGTTAACTTACAACTGTGACATTCAGATGCCTGAGAGCCATACGTAAACTGGTTCTTAAACATACAGGAGGAGTCCACCAGATTTTCGGTGGCGGCGTACCTTTCGTTGTTATATGTTTCAAGACCTGAACACATTTCAAAAAGACATCTTTAAAAGTTTGCCAATTAACCCAACAGTTAGATTTGAAATATATGCCATGTGGACGAACTTACATTGTTAACTTTAGCGCGTACTTGCAACTGTTGTTGCACCCAATCTGCTCTCCGAAGAGGCTCGAAACATCCATTAAAGAATACAGCTATCTCCAATCCCGACATTTCCATCGCTTGTATAAGAACAGCAAGAAATTGGAGCATACGATTCCATTGTCCACCACAAGCCCAATCTGTACCGAAGTAGCAATATTATTAATCATTTCTCATCAAGACAAAACTGAATGCATTTTGAAGTTATGCGCTTAATATGCGATTTGCTTTTTTGTCAAAATAAAATTTATTTATACTTAAATCGTCATATATATATTGGTCTCGCTATCTTATCTTTTGATTAGTTAAAAGTTAATTTTCGTAAGAATTTTGCAAGGTACAATTATTTTATTATTTACCTGAGAAGAATCCTCCATACAATCGGTCCAAGCAACATTCTCCATCGAGAACTAGTCTTAATTTGCCGAAATTATGCAACTGCTGTCCTTTAATCACACGATTGCGTTGGGATTTTTGAGCGACCATACGCGCTATCTTCAACAAGTCCACAGGTACAGATCCCCCTTGTACGCAATTGCCGTCCAGGAAAGTTTGCAAGTCTTGAATGCCCATGTTTCTTAATATTCCCGAATTGTACTCCAGTCACGAGTCGTCACGTTTACGTTTGTTTCAAATTTTCTTTTTTCTTCTTTTTTCTTATGTACACAATAGTTTTACTATCTTTGTAGGTTGCTTATTTTTGTGTCTTAAGACCAGCAATGTGTTTGCCCCTTTTGTGGTCTGGTATATTTTTGAAATGTTTTAAGACATGAAGAAACCTAATTCCAATTTCAAAAGTTTCAATCTGCAAAAGAGAAGAACCAGGCAATGTATTTTCTGACGTAACATTCAGTTGGAAAGTCGTCGTTACAATCATTCTCATTAAGCAAAATATAATATTAGCAGTCTGCTAGCGATTTGTCGACAGATTTGAGTAGAATTGTCGTAGAATATATTACTGTAGAATCAGCATAAAATGATAATTTTCGGGAACCGAGCAGAATGTGCCGTTTCACAACCATCACAAGTGGAATCACTTGAACAGCTACGAAACGACAGATTTTGCTCGGTTTCTGCGAATCGATCAATAATCGTCACATTCCGCTAGACAGATTTTATTACATTTCTGTTAATATTCTGCAATCCGAGATTTGCAGTAGTAAGACATTCTACAAAATCTGTTTTCCCAGAGATTTAATTATCGTAGGGTTCACGTCTCGCATCGACCGTGACCAAGTCAGCTCTATTCACGGTCGGCTATAAGACGATAAGACCATTTGCATTGCATTTGTGATCTATAAGTAATTAAAAATAAATAAACAGGGAGAGGGGGGGGGAGAACTCGAAGCGACATAATTTATTCGATTCGCAAGACTCGTTGCTCCGCAAGTTGCGTCCCTCTGCCCCTCACGCCGTCTCTCCCCCGCGCCCCTCTCTTTCTCTACTCCTTCCCCCGGAGGTGACAAGCCACCGACGAGAGGAATTTCCGTAGCGTGTTCGGCGGACACCCGGCGTTGCGGAGCGTCGCCGCGAGAACGTCGCGAGGAAGCGCGCGCGTCGGAATACTCGGAATATCGACATCGGGACCAGTCCAGCGCCATTTACTTTGTTTACGCGCGCACGTCTCGGGACGTCTTCGACCGTCGTTCACGCCGGTTGGCCTCCCGCGAGGAGGACCGGTCCCATGATGGTGGTGGGATGGGCCCAACCCCAGGGGACCGGGGTTATTGTTTAACGTAACCGGACGCAAATCCCGCGGAGTCGGGGGGGGCGACGAATAGCCGAGCGGCACGGGCCGCACGGGCGGCTCCCCCCGTGTAAACAGAAACGCAAGTCGGAGCCGATCGTCCCTGGCATTCGGTGTCGGCGGAGTATTAACGGGGCCGCGGATCCGACGATCGTGAAAAGCGGCTCGCTCGCGGTCACGGGATACGCGGGACGGGCGCCGATCGCGGCCGCGCGAACACGCCCGGGCGGTCCGCGCGTGCCGCCGCGACGTGTCGCGTACTTACGTTAAATTAGCGATAATCATCGTGGCCCCAAAGAAACACAAAACACACGGGCTTTCGGAGTTGGATGACGTCGGAATCGAAAACGGAAATGGCCACCCCGGTAACGGTGGCGCGCGCGACGACCCGCCCGGCACGTCGCCGCGGCGGTCCGCCGCGCCGATTGGCCGGCCCCGTGGCGTCCCCACACGTCACGGACCGCGGTCCCTGCGTTGCCGGCCAGCCGGCCGACCGTGGTGGCCGGAACTGCGCGACGCGCCATTGTTTCGAAACGCGAAACGCGTCCCCGTTTCCAGTCCGGCGTTCGTCCTCGACGAGGATCGTTCGTCGGCGATCGTCGACGAATGACCACCCCCTTTACGGCTGTACTGTTAAAGCAGCTATTGTTTCCTCAATGTCAATCGATTTATTTTCCTGTCAGATGTACGACACAATTTTTACTTTTATGAACACATATTTTAACGTATATTTAGATGTTAAAAATTAATGCCCTTTTAAATATTTATTAAAGTAACTTTAAAACATGATTTCAATTGTTGAATTTATGACCCAGGAAATTATCCTGTATAAGAGATCTCTAATTCTCATGATCCGTAATTTTTAAATTACTTGTATATTTATAATGTAATTTTTACTTATGTTACTACAAATTTTATATTTTACAATTTTTATACAACGAATATTAACTCGAACTTTGAAACACGATTTCGATTGTTGAATTTATAACTCAAGAAATTATCTTGTACAAGAAATCTCTAATTTTCATGATCCATAACTTTTAAATTACTTACACTACTATATAATTTTTATTTATATTACTTGAAATTTTATATTTTACAATTTTTATACGAATATTGATAAACTCTTTTTTTTCATTCTGTATTCTTAAAGTTAAAACATGTAATTACTTTAACTTTTGAATGTTAATAAAATCACATCAGTACAGTAGATATAATTCATTTTAATATAATTTGTTTCATGTACAAATACATTCACACATATATCACAAACATACCATACGTCAGTAACGCTCAGTCAGGAGCTCTCTTCACGTTACTAAAAAGATGTGGAAGATCAAAATCAAAATCAAAATATACAATAAATTATTTAAATTCTTGAAATCTACAATTTAACTGAAATCAATGATAAACATGATCTAACGTCTGAGATGACGAATGTTGCGATTAATGGCATTTCGTATAGAAAAAGAATTTAGATACGTTTCGCCTGCCGTTTAACAGTGATTGAAAATCAGTGTTAAAACGAAAATCTAATATCAGACCGAATTTAACGTACTTATCATAAGTTGTACATATCTAAATTGTTTACAAACTTGCGACAACGAAGGTCACACGTTAGGAGAGCTGAACTATACATTGTATAGCTACGCTTCTAGAAGTCTTTCAAATATCGCTTTACATTTCCCTCTGTTATTACAACTCCTCGTGCTTGTCGTCGTCTTCCTCCTCCTCGTACTTCTTCTCGTCTTCATCGGCGTCGAGGTCCGACACCTTCTCGTTGCTCACCAATTCCTCCTCCTGAATCTCCTCCTCCTCGGGCACCTCGTCCAAGGAGATGCCCAGGCTCTTCCTCATCAGTTGCTCCACGCTGTCCGCGAAACTGGCGGTCTCCCGCAACATAAAGCCCGACCGCAGAGTCGCCGTGCGGAACATCATCAGGGCCATGTCTTTGGCCGTCTGATCGGCCGAGTCGACCTCGACTCTGCGCAGCAGTTCCCGAATGAGCGGATGCCTCGGGTTGATCTCCAGCGTCTTCTTCTGATTCATATAGTAGCTCCTCTGCGGATCGTCGGTCTTCTGATGCGCGTTCGACACCGCCAGACGTTCCATATTGCCGGTCCAGCCAAACATACTGGCGACCAAGGCGCACGGCGAGTCGGTCAAACGCTCGGACACCTGCGCCTTGCTGATTTGGTCCTTCAGGACGTCACTCAGCCACTTGACCAGAGGCTCGAACGTCTTCTTCAACTGCTCCATCCGTTCCTTCGCACGCTCGCCCTCGTCCAGCGTGAAGCCCTCCTTCGCCACATTTTGAAACTTCTTGCCGTCGAACTCGGGCAACGCCGAGATCGCGTACTCGTCCACCGCCTCTGTCAGGTACAGCACCTCGTAGCCCCTCTTCTCCAGCCGTTCGACGAACGGCGACTTCCTCACCTCGTCCTCGGACGAGCCGGCGATGTAGTAGATGTGCTGCTGATTGGCCTTCATGCGGGACACGTACTCGGGCAGGGAGGTCATTTCCTTCTGCGTCGACGAGAAGAACTGCAACATCTTGGACAGTCTCGCGCGATTCTGAGGGTCCTCGATTATGCCCAGTTTGATGTTCGTGCTGTACTCCTTCCAGAACGTCTGATAGTCCTCCTTGGAAATCTTCTTGATCATGTCCAGCACCTTCCTGATGAGCTTCTTCTTGATAACCTTGATCAATTTGTGCTGCTGGAGATTCTCGCGCGAAACGTTGAGCGGCAGGTCATCGCTGTCCACGATACCGCGAATGAAGGACAGGTAATTCGGCATCATGTCGGTGAACTTGTCGGTGATGAAGACTCGCCTGACGTACAACTTGATGTTGTCGGATTTGGTGCCGTAGCGATTGAAGCTGTCATTCGGTTGAACCTTCGGGACAAACAGGACAGACTTGAACGTGACCTCGCCCTCCGCAATGAAGTGCGTCTTCGCCAGAGGTTCCTGATTGTCTTTCGTGAGCGTTTTGTAAAATTCGTTGTACTCCTTCTCGTCGACCTCGTTCGGCTTCAGCGTCCAAATCGGTTTCGAGTCGTTCAACAATTCCCAATCCCACACGGTCTTGTCCACTTTCTTAGATTTCTTCTCATCCGAAGCCTCCTCCACCTTGGCGTCATCCTCCTCGTCCTCCTTGTCGGAGTCATCATCCTTCTCCGCGTCTTCCTTCGCGGGCTTATCCTCGTCCACATCCTCCGCGTCGACTTGCACGACTTTGCTGTTCCACAAATATATGGGGAAATTGATGAACTGCGAGTACTTCTTCACCAAGTTCTTTATCGTGTCCGGCTCCAGGAAGTCCGACGCCTCTTCCTTCAAGTGTAAGCTGTAAACGAAAAAAAAAAAGAAACGCGATATTAAGAAATTATTTCCACAACGTAATGGAAAATAAAAAAAATATGTATTATCACTCGCGGCGACTCGAGAAACTGTGACGCTCAATAATTCGCTTAAGAATAAATTGTACAACGCACCTTACGGTCGTTCCTCTCTTCAAGGTGTCCCCCCGTGGATCCTCAACAATGCTGTAGTTGGAGCTGTCCGACTCCCAGATGTACTGTTTGTCCTTGTTATGCTTGGTGGTGACCACAACGGTATTCGCGACCAAATAAGCGGAATAAAAGCCCACGCCGAACTGGCCGATCATATCGTTCATGTCCTGTGCGTTCGTGACATCCTGCATCTTTCCTAGAAACTCGGCCGTGCCGGACTTCGCGATGGTTCCAAGGTTGTTCACCAGCTCCTTCTTCGTCATGCCGATACCGGAATCCGTTATATGCAATATCCTGTTCTCCTTGTCCGCCTTTATTCTGATAGCCAATTCGGCGTTCGTATCCAGGACGCTCCTATCGGTGAGCGACAACAGTCTGATTTTGTCCAGCGCGTCGGATGCATTCGAGATCAATTCTCTGAGATAAATCTCTTTGTTACGGTAGAGAGAATTGATGATAAGTTTCATCATGCGATTGACCTCGGTCTGGAACGCAAATTTCTCAGACTTGTCCCTTAATTCCTTCACCTGAGCGGTACTTAAACCGTCGATCTTTATCGCTTCCTCTTCCCTTTGTACCGCTTCATGATCTGCAATAGAATTTAAATGTCATTTAAATGTGTGAAATAATTACAAGCTTAACCTCAAAGAACTCGTTTCAGCTTAATTTTTTTAAGCAGAATCTTTTCGAAGTAATAAAAATAAATAAATTCACAAACTAATAAACTAATATGTAAATTAATAAATTTATAACAGATATAACCGATTATATATGCAAATTCTAAGTTAATGTAAAAAATGGAGCAGGTCAAATTACGCATAAAAGAAACTCCACTTTTGTGAAATAAACCTGTACTTTTCTCTATCAAGCTCCATCACAACGTTCGAACAGTTACGCTACACGTCACTCTAACGGACTCCTCCCACCTGTTACAACGCCTCTTCCAAAAATCACAGAATAACTACAGCGAATCTATTTTCTATTCGTAAATCAAACTGTAAGAAATAGTAACCTGTTCGCGATGCCTCCCGGCTGACGCCAAGATCGTCCTCCACGGTGCCGGCGTTATCCTCGACCTCATCCTCGGCCCGGACGATTCCTAGAGGGCAAAAAAAAAAACAGGCGCGTGTAAAATATCGAGGGAGATACACGAGACGAGAGAGATCCCCGTTGGCAATACAACGCGGAGGGCAGCTTACCCGCCAGCAAGATCAGTCCCGCGATCAGTAGGAAGAGTTTCCTCATCGTCGCCGCGGCGCGAAAGGGATTCCGTGAACGATTCCGAGAAACAGGTAGAATCACCCAACGAGCTGGCACTCTTCTACTACTGGCAGTGGCAAGCCGCTCGCTCCGACCTGCTCCGCTGTTTTTTGACCGACTGTCACGAAACGGCCACGACGGCGACGCGATATACGGGCGACACGCACGACGCCGGCGGGGCGAGCGGCCAATCGCGTCGAACCACGGCAGCACGTGCCCGGCGAATGACGGGCGCACCCGACGGCAGCCCCGTACAAATGGCGCCGCGCGATTGGCCCGGTCGTTACCACGTACAAATGTGTCTGATATGTGCGAGATGTTTGTCTCTTATCCCGCGGTTCTAGAAGATTCATCCGCGGCGGGCCAAGCACAACGCCACGCTGCAGATTCGAGGCGACGTACGCAGAATCGTCGCGATCGCAAATTCACGGAAGAATTATCAGTAATCGTCGCGCGTACGTAGCGAGCGGATGCTCGTACAATGGAAAACGCGGCTAAATTGTAAGTCGAAATCGGGCTGTTTTTCAGCTCCGGCGACCCCGACTCGACCCGCTGATGCTATCAAACGGGCTTTTGTTGTCCTGCCGGCTAAATATTTGTTTCACGTATTGAACTGATGACGACACGCGAAGCAACTTTTTACAGGCAACACATTATGTTTATTTTGATTCATTCTGTCGCTCCTACATTTGTAGTGAGCGATAACGGTTACAGTATTTTAGTTGGCGATATTATCTATTGATTATTTCTGTTGATGTAAATTGATAAAGAATTGGATAATCGTAATTATCGCGGAAAAATTTCGCTTGATAAAGCAGGAATGCCATGTTATCAAGGGTCAACAAGTGAGAGAACTATGCAAGCGACAAAATATGCAAATCTGCAAAAGTGTCGATAATTGCAATGTGATTGGGGCATTGATAAAACAGATTTCTACCTCGTTCCCTTTCCTTGAAATCAATTTTTTAACTCTGGTAAACATTATAGATATGCAATAATATCCCGTCATACGAAACGAAAAATTTTGAGATTCTCAAAGAGTCTCAAAAAAAGTGTGTAATTAAAACTTTACTAAAAACTAATTAATTAATAGATATATCTTCGAGATTTTCTGAAAGATATTTTAAATAATTAATAAATCTATCGATCGTTTACAAGATATTTTTTTAAGCACGTATAGCTATTTATAGCAGACATTCGATTAGCGACATTTATCGATTAGCGGGGGGGGTGCGCTATTAGCGCTATAATTGTGTCGTTTTATCCTTGGTTTATGTTTAAACGAATGATAAAGGTAGGACAAGGCGCAACAGCTGAGAGCACGCTGTTTGAACGCGGCCATAGCGTGGCCAGCCTGGCGATGTAAATATATTATAAAAACATTTACTGTGCTTAATGTTCGACAATTCGAATGTTTTTTATTGTTTCAATATCACGATGGCACAATTAAGGCAAGTTCTGTGAAAACAAAGTGAGGAACTTTGAAGGACTACCGCAATTATTTAATAAATCTATATGATGTAATTATAATGACAATTAAAAACATTGGGATAGCACAGAGGTTAGGTATTGTATAGATTGCGTTAAAAAAATGATAGTAAATAACAAAAATATGTAAATGTTGAATTATTGATACATCGATTTGTTAAGCAATTTTCGTTTCTCTTTTGTTTATTTCTTCTTTCATAACATTCCTCTTAGTCTTCACGTGTCGCAGCGTAAATTCACTCTGAAATATTTGAACGATCAAATAATGCTTTTTCAATAATTTCACAAGAGGAATGAAATTCATTGAAATGTTTTTCAGGTGTCTTCAAGGTGTCGCAATTCTTCTTTGAGGCGACGTATCTTATAAGAATTAAACGGCTGTCTTTTACCTTACAGTCAATAAAATATTAAAATCGCGACAACATTGTTCCTAAGAAATGCCATCCGTCTATTCTCATCAGTTGTCGTATTGTTCGGGCATATACGTGTCACTTTAATAGCGATACTGTCGCTGTAACGATATATTTGGCCACGTATGTTTTGTCACACTGTCCTACTGAAGTCTCAGTTGTTTGGTTTACGATCGGGAAAGTAAATAAATGTAAGAGTTCAAGTACGCGGGGGCACGCTACATACGTAATCCTACATTATACGCTTGTACCCTACATCACAGTCAGCCGGCAACTATGTTATTCGACGCTATAGGGCTGATCAAATATGTACGGTAATTTCTCTATACTTTCTGTTGTGATGTCGTTTGGTCTTGGTCTATCGATATCAATCTGGGTCTATTGGTATCAAAATAGAGGTCAAGGTAATATACTATCGCGCGTCGCTGAAAATAAAAAAGTTAAGTGATAACGTAAATCGTATGAATTTTTAAAATTATTTTTATATGTTGCAGATCGAATAGACTTTATCTGAAACATTTTTCGATGCAAGATAATTTCTCGGAGATTTTGACGAAGGAGTTTAAAGTGCAAAGAGTGTTTTAGCTTTAAAATTTGAGATTGGACACATATATGTAAAAAAAAACATGTCCTTTAGAGATTTTCGATGATTAACGATATATTTCAAGGAGAAATCGACGTTGGACACTTGGATAATGTGTGAGTTTGCCCAACCCGTGTTAAATTATTACAGTTGTATTTGAGTTTGCCCTACCCAGTCTGAGGCGCTCCTCGAAACTTAAAGAGACTAAATCGATCGTACGAAACCTGTAAATTAATCATATTAATTATTTATATTGTTATTCTCGCAAATAAAGGCATGTTAAGTACAAGTATCAAGTCACAGAAGATATTTAAAATAGCTAAAACAAATATATTATAATTAATACATCTTCAACTGTTTAGCTCTCAGCCGACCGATCACGACCGATCAAATGACGACGACGAACCCACCGATTATTCTCTCGACGACCGGAGCGTTTTTCGATTCTCCTTCGACCTCGCCCCTCGAGGAAACAATCGGTATCGGCGATCGATCAATCAATTGGTCACGCTTTGCAATCGCCCGCGCGAAGCGGATGCGATGGGCGTGTTGTGACAAATCGGTCGTTATGGATACATCGTGACGCCCTGGGGGGCCCCAGTGTATAGGCTCTTCCCATACATCGTCCAGGGTGTGTAACGTAATGTGTGTCGTCGTCACTGTCGTCGTCGTCGTCGTCGCGCTATAGGATTCGCGGCGAACGTCGCGCCATGCGGAGGGACCGCCACTCGCCTTCCGGTCCTCTTGGAAAAAACGTCGCCTCCTCCGCCTCCTCTTGCGAAGAGTAAGCCAGAAGTTCCTCCGGGGTTCCTTCCTCCTCCCGCTGGTCAACCGCGTCTGCCGTCTTCCACTGCACACGCGCGCGTCTCCACCGCCCGCGTTCTCCATCGCCCGCGTTTGCCGGAAGCTGCCGGAAGCCGCGAGCTAAGGTGAGTGCCTATAATGCCGCGCGAAGGAAGAATGTTAGCCGGATATTCTTCCGAATATTCTTTTTGATACTCATTTGTCCGTCACGAATTATCATCGCGAATTTTCGTCGTAAGTTAGAAAAGTACGAATAAATTGTATTTTTTCGCGAGGGAGAGCGTAATAATTAGATAATATCGAAACGAGATTTTTTGGGGGAAAAAAATGCTCGGAATAATGTGTCAAAATATTGTGTTTCTTTATGCAGTTGTGAAGAATATGTCATATTCTTAAATACGATATCTATAGAGAAAATTATCGCTTCCACCTTCTTAGACCTAATCAACATGTACAAACTTTTTCCCTAATTTTTAAATGTAGTTTCAAACTTTATTTCTTTGAAAATGATTTACGATCATTATGACGAGTCCCAAAAGTGATGTTTCATAAATTAATTTAAGACTATTTACGAGCGGTTGCTTTCACACGTGGCGGTCGATGAATGTCGATGTTACAATGTAGAAAAGCAGTATTATCATCAAGTAACAAGTTGGCAACAGAGACGGTTAATCAATAACCCACTTTTCATCTACCTTTGTGCGCATGATAGTGAAAAACCTTATCACTATTACATCTCACTACTTGCAAATTGCAGTCAAAGATGGATCAGATATCATACATGCGGTCGATGTTTCGTGCCAATACAGTTAACTATCAAGTCGGTTTGAGAAGCTATTTCATTAAAATATTATAAAAAATTCATAATCCCCTAAAAAAATTTCAATTCTATTTTATAACACATTGATCTTCGTAATGGACAATAAAATGGTACCAATAACAAAACATTTATTATGGAATTTTATTAAAAAATGAAAAAATCCTGAACTTGTATTACTTTAAATATATTAATTAATTAAATATCTTAAACATATATTTATAACATTCAAATTTACAAATCTAACTTTTCGACTATTTTCTTGCAAATAATAATTTCTATTCCAGTAATTTTTTATTGTCCATGTATCCATTGTACGTGACATTATCTCTATCAGTCCGTCTCATCTATTTCATGACATTTTCGTTGTATACACTATTTCTCGTCAGCTCTTGTAATATCGTTTACTGCGCATGCAGCATCGCGTTATTCTTTAATGCCCTGTTTTGGAATGTAAACTCTTTCACTCTTCCCCCCTCTCTCTCTCTCTCTCTCTTTTTCTCCGTGTGATGCACCTGACTCATGTTTGTCACGTGAGCGAATGACACGTACGTTTTCCTTTCCAGCGATGTTCAGCTTAAGACCGCAGAGTGCTACGACGCGACAGGAGATTGAGATGATCAATAAGGCCCAACGGGCCGTACAAACCACCACGGATTCCATTGAGAAGCTGCGTCTACTTTGCCTGGCTAGGGGTGCCAATGGCATTCTTGGTCTGGGTAGGTGAGTCTCGAGAGCACCCTTTAATATTTAAATTGCCATTAAGTGACAGCCAATTATGACATCATAGGATAAAACTACGTGACTCACGTTCCTTTTCTCATAATTAGGTCACGTTTTAATTATCTTTTTTCATTATTTTTCTCATTAGTTAGCCGTTGATCGATATTTCTTTTTAAATAAGTTCTTTAATTTTAATTATAATTTGAGTAAAAATCACTACTTTTTCAACTGTAACTCTCAGAAAAAATTGTCGAAAAGAGATTTCAATTCTTTTATATTCTAAAACACTAATCCGAACTAAGAAATAACGACAGATTTTACGTAAAAGCTAAACTGCAATAAATTTAACAGAACAGATTTAAATTTAGCATTTACTGCTGATAAGGAAAAATTGCAAAAAAAAGGGATGCGAATACTTGCGTTACGCGAGACAATACAGATAGAACGAGATGAAATGTTGATGTAATGTTAATTATTCGCTGATAAGATTCAACGAGTCACGAACGTGTGCGTGCGATGATGATACGGTTTTTGTCTGATTCACATATGAATCAGTCTAATTAAAATACTGCTGTCCTCGACGTTCGCCAACGTAACGCATAATATGCTGAAGCATCTAAATCTCGTTTGTATACATATCTCTTTAGGATATTCCGTCGTCTGGACGAGGATGGTAACAAGAAGCTAAGTCTCGAGGAGTTCACATCGGGTATATCGGAGACCGAAATGGAACTCTCCGAGGATGAGATTGGCGAAGTCTTTCAGAAATTCGACACCGACGAGGACGGAAGCATCAGCATCGACGAGTTCATCGTCGGCATAAGAGTGAGCTCGCGCACTTTTTAATTTTAACTTAAACGTTCATTTCAGCGCCGTTTTATCTCGAATAAAAATCTAATTAAGAGAAACGTTTTACGCGTCGCGCTCGAACGAAAAATCATATCTAAAAGTTGACGATCAGAATGCGGAATAAAATATATCCATAATACGTGTAGATGTATGTAATCGTAGGAATTAATAAAGTTGATGAAATAATTCTCCCCGTCAGCCGGCGATGTGTCAAAGCCGCAGAGATGTGGTGGATCAAGCGTTCCAGAAATTGGACAAGACCGGCGACGGACGGATCACCATCGACGATCTACGAGGAGTCTACAATGTGAAATATCATCCGCGTTACATCAGCGGTGAGGAGAGCGAAGAGAGCATTCTGAATAAGTTCCTCTCGAATTTCGAGCACGGCGGCAACGAGGATGGCGTTGTAAGTGATTTTACGATGTTTCTCACGTACCGTAAGTTCGCGTAAATTAAATTGCTCGACAAACCGCGTGTTAAAATGTAAAATCTTGCGCTATCACGCTTAAATCAAGTTTGATAACCCTTTAAACACTTGTTGACCCCATAAACAATTTTATCGAATTAACAGTTTTTCAATTATATGAACAGCCTTAGCCAATGATACGAAGAATTAATAAATTGTGTAAAATTATATTGAATATTTCATATTTTTCATTGGAAAAGTATTATTTAAAATCGTTGTGATAAAGATATAATACAAATCAATTATACATAATTAAGAGATATATTTTTAATGATAAAAATGTTGTTTTATTGATATCTCCTCATGATAAGAGAATTTTCTGTTTACTATAACTGTTGACTGAATATGATATACGTATCGTTATATTTATTTACAGGCAATTCGCCTATCATTATATTATCATTATTCTTCTTTGTGCTGCAGGTAACAGAAGAGGAATTCATGAATTACTACAGCGCTATTAGCGCGAGTATAGACAACGACGCATATTTCGACCTGATGATACGCAATGCTTACAAGCTGTAAATCACGATCTCTCCATCTGCATCTCGCGAGATAGCACGCCTTGCCGGTCCCGCGCGCATCTGTCTGTAATTCTACTATTATAGTTGCCGAGAGCATCGACATCTATAAAGTCACTATTTCGCTAACCGATGTATAAATTTCTATAAATTAATATCGTTGTCATGAGTGCCCTTAGTTTGTTAGACCAGCACGTATTCCTCTTATTGTAATCCAGCAGAAGAACACGTTATACTAATGTTTAATATTGATGCGTGAATTGTTACCGACAAACTTCGTTAATCGTTAATTTATTGAAGTGTATCCTCGATCGAGAAGAAGAAAAAAAAAGTAGAAATTAAGCTTAGGGGGTTTCTTATAGAAATTAATCTGTTGATCCCCCCCCCCCCCTAATTTCTTTCCCTTGTCGAGCTACACGCCGGACTCGCCGCGATAACTCGTCCATTTCGAAAACTTGTGAAAAGTTACGACGTAACTTGCGAAAACAGAAGCGAGAGACAAGTACGTGTCCGACAATCTTTTCTTTCTTCTTCCTCGACGCTGTATTAGCTATTTATGAAAGAAAAAAAAGTTGGTTATAGGGTCCAATTTTACAGCGCGACTCGCGGTGGACGCGCCATGCGCGCTCGCATTTTCTTTCTTTTTTTTAACATTCCTGTTTATAACTCCTATATTTGTTCTGCGAATAAAAATACATGCGACTGTATGAAATGGATTGATTTTTTCCGTGCTTAAACTTTCTACGGTTCGACGTAGCCGCAGGGCTCGCGATAAAGCACTCTATCTGATTCGTTGCAACCTACTTTTTTTTACAAGGCTCAATAAAGGTAAAATATAAAACTGGAATATAGAAACGCCGTTTTGCTTCTATAAGCGGTTGATAGTCAATATGCGATGCGATCGACGCTATTTCTCGATAAAAGTTCCCATTAACGAGGTACGATCCGATCGGGAATTAAATTACTTTAATAAAAAGTAATGAGGTATATCGAGTGCGGCATAAAGGCAGGGCTGCAATTAATTACGCAGATAAGCTAACTCAATGTTCTCTTGGGAATGAGAGCGGCACTTCCGTGACGCTCGCTCCGAATAGCATTCTCGAAATTAACATCGAAGCGAAAATAACATTTGTAAAAAAAGAAACACATATATAATGTGAAATACACTACATTTTTTATTTTTTTCGTGCTAATCTAGAATATTTTATTTCGTTTTCATGAAACAACTTATTCAAATCACTTTGTACGCGATACAGTTTTGTCCGAATCCGAAGTTCGAAAGTGTACTGCAAGACGATCCCTTGCTACACGTTCCACAGTTATCATATCAGTAAACGATAAGCAATCGGAGCTTGGTTTATGATAGTTATGTAATCAAAGATAGCTGTTGTACTAAACTATATATATTAAATATCTTTACTATATATATCATATATCTTTAGAGACGGCACTTCGGAAGAATTTCCACGAAGAGATAACAATATATTTTCTCAACAAAAGTTATGAAATTATTGCAATTTCAATTATTTTAACTTAGAGATAACATTTTTTAAAATGTATCTTACGTTAATTACGTGGCAAATAAACTATATATGTATAGTTTCAAAAAATAATATTGAATGCGTAAGAAAGAATACAACTAAACATTGTTAAATTTATATTTTTTAACACAATTTTCAATTAAATAAAGTCTAAAACGCGTACGATTAATAATGTGCACTACAAAAGAAAATGCAGCAAAAAAGGAACTGCATCGGCCGGGAATCGAACCCGGGCCGCCCGCGTGGCAGGCGAGCATTCTACCACTGAACCACCGATGCTCGGTGAGTTTGTTTACTCAGAGAGTATAAGAACTAGTAGCATAAACTAGATTTTCTAATCTATAATATATATTCTAGTTATACGCACTTACAATTTTATAACTTTTATAATTTATATACCAAACGACAGATAACTGTGAAAACAACCTCTATCTGAAACCTGCAAATACGTTTATAGTCGTAAGACGTAAAAAGATCAAAATACTAAAACTAGAATTTACTAAAATTTGACACCAGGCTCAAAATTTTATAATACGAATTATATTACAGCAATCTCTCTCGTTATATATATGTAGATATAAAATTGTAATTGTCGATTTAAGAAAAAAAAAGTCTCCCCGGCGGGGAATCGAACCCCGGTCTCCCGCGTGACAGGCGGGGATACTGACCACTATACTACCGAGGACTTCACGTCCTCGTAGTAACAATTTATGGTACACATATATCGAAAATGAACGTTAATTCACACGACAAAGTAAAACTTGATAAATTTTATTGAACGATAAATTTGCATTGACGTCGTTTGATTAATTTAACGCGTCCGCGTTAAAAACGGACGAATAAAGTACAAAAGTCATAAAAAGAATACTGTAAAATGTCTAAAATTTTTGTATTTAGATCTATATATTTCTAAAAATTGTCTCTGTGAATTAAACTATGCCATGAACCGTCGAAAGTTCTTTCCTAACAAATCCTTTTTAATAATTTTAGATTAACATCAAAGTGATCGATTTATAGATCTATTTTAACCTATATACTCATTTTTAATCCGGTGCCTGCCGAAACTTTCCACGCTTGCACATATAATGCATTATTGCAATCTGGACTCGCCATCGTCAAAATGTAACGCTTATTGTGAGCGACGGAAACCTGCAGTAACGCTGAATATTTAACGCCGAGCTTCGTCTCCGTATGCAACACTTTGACCCAGTTTACGCGAAATTCCTGCGGCAAATTACGGACGAGAACCTTCGTCGCGGTTCAGCTGGTAAAATTCCGTACTCTTGGACGCGTTCGGATTCGTCATTTGACATTTCTCACTGGACTCACTCGAGTGCCGTACTGCCATGGCGTCCACGTATCGTTTCATCCTTGTTGTTTACCGACTGTTGAACAAGAATAGTGTGAGTGACCTGAGGAGCACTCGAATGGTAATCCGAACGTGCCTCCCTCGTACGTCGTGCGGACGCAAGGTGGCGCGCGCGTAGATAAAAGCGGCGCACGCGCGCCGAGCGCGTTCAGTGGCTGCAGAGCGACCGTCGTGGAGGGTGGGTTTGCGCGTGTTCGGTCCTTATCTCTCTTAGTCCGCCTCTCGTCTCGCCGCTCCCTCCTCCCCCTGCACCTCCTACCAGTTCTACCCCTCCTCTGATCATTGTTTCCAGGCCTGGCCGTGTGGACACGGCTCGCTCGTCCGTAATAAAGGATCGGGTCACTAATAGGTGGACTGGCCGGCCCGCGGGAACGGTGCATTCGCTGTACATTGTGCTGCGCGAAGAGTTACTACACGTGCGAGTGCGTGATCCGTGCGTGCGCGCGCGTGAACTCCCTGCTTCGTTCTGTTGTGAACCCCAGCCTGCTTCAGCCGTGCCGCGCCGCGGGGACAGCAGTACCCTACCGTAACCTGCAGTAACCCTTCTCTGTGTGCCCCCCTTCGACAAGAGGACCATCCGCAATTACCAAAATGAAGTGCACCACGTTCACCGCCGTAGCGTTGCTTCTCGGTACGTTTCAGCTAATTTTGTCAATTTGTGTATATCTGTTTTGCAAATCCCTCCCCTTTTCTGCCCCCCCCCGTCCTCCTTTCCGTTTCCGAATCCCGCTCGGCACGCTGCCAGTGCGACGTGTTGCAGCCTCTTGCAATCGGTACAGATAAGTCATTTTTCACTGATCTCATCGCTGTTGACACGTTTTTTAGTTAGGCATACAGATCTGTTGCTCGTGTTAGATACAGTACATCGGGTATCTCTCGCGTAATCGTGGAACAATTAAGTATAATCCGCGAGAAATAAAATTTCTCGCGGTGTCCCTCTGAAAAAAAATCCGGGGCATTATTAAATTATCGAATCATCTTGTTAACGGTGGTTTTGCACAGTTTAACGAGCTCTATTCGAGATCGTAAGAAAGTCGCTTGATAGCGTAATTAGTATGTAAACCGAGCGGTAAAACCGAGAAAGTTGCGACTACCTATCGGAAGCAATGATAAGCGTCATCCGGAGAAATTCCGGGAAGCCGAGGAAGCCGGATTAAATTTCTAATGCCTTCTGAAGAGCACCCTGTAGAACAGGAAATCGGACGCACGTACATATCATTTTGCTACGTCGCACAAAAGCGACAGCTTAGGATTGAACGTGAAAATTAAAACTGTGAACTTGTTATTATGCAATATTTATGCTGGACAAAGAGCGGGAAAATTATCTGTGTATACGAAAAGTGAGGTACGCAAAACGTTCAAGGCTATTGTAAACATTATAAATCTGAAAAATCCTGCGTGCGTTTCTTTGAGTTTATTTAAAATGTTTCTCCTGACCTGTAAAAAATGTATATGTTTCTAGGAGAAAGCGTTTATCTCTCTCTCTCTCTCTCTCTCTCTCTCTCTCAGAAAATTTCCTTTACGATGTTACGCTGCACGAGATTCAAATTGTGGAGAGTCTCAAGAAACTCGGAGAAAAAAAATTCGAATTCCAACGTGCGAACGCACGTTGAAGCGTTTTCGTCGGCAGACGAATCGCGAAGGGGGATAGTCGCGAAAAAAAACAATGTTGCTATAGCGCCGGTTTATAAATCAGATGTCAAAAGTCAGTTCCGCTGTATATTATTAAACGCTGTACCTAAATACGACAAGACGAGGCGAAACGAAATCTCTTCGTAAAATTTGAAATCGAAACTCGCAAATTTCTCGCGTGCTGGTCTTTCAGTAAGTACAACTCGGCGGATCTTACAATGACTCGGATATTTTGGCAAATTTGCGCGCGTGATTCGCCAGATTACACTGTCCCACTGGACGGAATGTGTTTCGCAAGGCAGGCCGTAGTTATCGTAATTTTTAATTGTTAATTATATGCCGGTCACATACGGCGCGCTTTTGCGATGACGTAATCTGTAATCGACTACCAACAGCAGCATCTGATCTTTCCTCGCAACGGGCGCATTAATCGCATTACATTCGATTATGCATTGAATATAAAATTGTTGACCTCGATTTAAATTGAAATTACGATCATATAGCCATCGTCGAGATTGAGTGATTCGATTGTATAAATTATTTCCTCTGAGTTAAGAAGCGCGCGATTTCTACAAGTTTCGAAAAAAAAAAAAAAATGGTGCAAATAGTGGATGATACTCGAATTGCGAAATTATACATACGACGCCACGTACATTACGCGTGCTTCACAACCTGTCGGACATATACATTAATTATATAAGTATAGTACTCGCGCGGCTCGTTATTATTCAGTATAATTATCTCGACTACAATTTTATTATTTATTATACGTGACGTATATCCTGCTATTGAATTTTACTCTTATCGCTTTCGATCAGATCGTCATTGGCTCACGATAACGACATTCGATCGTTGATCGGGCAAGTTTTTAACACAATGTAATCGACGCACTTTGCCCGATGATCACGCATTTAAATGCTTGGACCTTGTCATTACATCGGCAAACACCGGGTATCTGCCTTATTTATCTTATTTATCTTCGATGTGTCCAACTATTAATAGTCGCTCGTTACAATACTTATCATTTAGTAAACAAAAAGGTGCGACACGTGAGGAACAATCGGGACATGAGCTATTTGCCGCCGTCAGCGAATCCACGACACCTGCGTAAAAAACTAACGATATATCGTGAAATGGAAAATAAATGTTGGATCGCGCCGCGTGGAACAGTAGAAGACGTTTGTCTGACGTAATGCGTGTAATATCTCTCTGAAATTAATACCGATCACGTTTCTTTTCCAACGGAAGTACATTGATAAAAAAACTACACTTTAATTACGCTTCAGGATCTTCAGGTTCGACGAATGGAATTACGCAATGCGTTTTGTATTTTCTGTTAGAGATGAGACGGCAGGACACCTTTGACGTGACTAGATTTCAAATACAATGGAAAGAAAACACTGTTTTGTCAGCCTAAAAAGATTCTCTACACCGAGAAAAAAAAGTTGTTGAAACAATTAAATGCGTTTTATTGACAGTTTTTCTTTGGTTCAATTATATATATGTTTTTGAATTAAACATACATCAATAACATTGATATTCACATATTTTTGTGAATTAACAAATATTCATTTGGCAGCCCGTGATCGCCAAGTATAGTTGAATCAAGAAATATTCATTTGATTTTACACTTTTTTTTTCTCAGTGTAAGTTTATCAGCTGTCACCGAAATCTAGTACACTGATAAGCGTGAATGTTTTGACAGCTGCTCAGTTATTTTGTAGATCAATCGTGGAAAAAATTATTCTCTATTTTTCCGCTATGATTCATTGATTTTTAAACACATTTGTTCGCTTTCAAAACTACGCTCATTCTCCACATATATAGTTTAATGAAATCGTATTACTCATCGTGGCGATCTGAAGAATACCTTTATACGAAATGTCATACAGCGATGAAGAGAGAAAAAAAACGACGGCGGCTTCGTCGATGCATTTTAATTAATCGATCGACGAATCGGAGCATCCGTCGAAAATTTGAGAGAGATGTTCAAGGCCGGTACGACGATCAGTTCGACAGCATTCCATTGCGAAACGTTTCCTGCAAGAACTACAACATACAAGGGAGTAAGATAAGACTTCATTCGTTGAAAGGCTGAATAATACGGATACAAAGTCCACGGATGACGCATTTCAAGGGAGCTTTACAGGAAGCTTGCTGCAAACAGAGGGAAACTGTAGCCTTGCAGTTATTATCGGAACTGTCCACTAACTCGCGAGACAAAATCTAATAGCCGCGTGAGGGATTCGAAGAAAAAATTTGGAGAAAAGCTTATTTAAAAAAAAATTAAAAATATAGTTATGAATTTAATATTGAGAATTAAAGGCAGTAGTTAAATTCACAACAATGGTTTAATATTTTATCTCGCCTATATAGGGAAACTGCAGCCTTGTAGTTATTATTTTAACAATTCACTAACTCGCGGGATAAAATCTAATAACCGCGTGAGGGATTCGAAGATACAATTTGGAGAAACCAGGATTTGGATAAGCTTGTTAAAAAAAAAATTAAAAATATAGCTACGAATTTAATATCGAGAATTAAAGGCTGTTAAATAAGTACACAACAGTGGTTTAATATTTTATCTCGCCTACATTTAATGAACAATTCTTTCGTGCGTGATTAATTAGAAGCTCGTGGCTGCATAGAACTACTTACACTTACGTAACGTAACTTTTTAATAAATATCATCGTAGTGTTAGCAAAATTAAACCTGGGAATTGCACGGAGTATTTCGCACGAAAAAAAATTGTCGCTGACAATTCAGTGAAAAAATTCATCGATTTCGCTAAGAAAAAATGAAAATTCTTCCTGAAACTTTTTTTTACTAGTATATACTTTTGTACATCGCATCATATCATTTGCGGGATAAGTCGTGCGCCTGCGAATTGTGTTGAAACTATTGCAAAAAATTGCGCTAATGCAAGGTCGTTGCGAACGATAACCAGAAAAACATCAATCAGCAAATATGTAAAACGTATATAGCTCCCGGTAGTTAATCTGCATTTTTACTGCGGTTTTTAGAACATCGGTTCATTACAATTTATATCATTACGACATTAAACTGCCATTTTGCCAAGAAATTCAGTTTGCCAAGTAAGTGCAAATCACGATTTCGAAACCGCTATGAAAAAAACCCGTGAGGTATTCAACATATTCAACATCACCATCGTAATCATGTATTGTGTAATCCCAATTGAAAAAAGGCACACGCGATTACTTTGTAAGAATATAACGACTAAGATTTCTCTTTACGATACAATATGAAAAGCATGTGAAAAGAAAAATATTTTTTAATAGGCATTTCTAAAATTAATTGTTACTTTTTCTTCGACGTTGAATAAAAGATGAGGTGACTCATTTAAATGATAATCTGTCTTAAAGGAAAAGATATTTCCATATAACTGTATAAGCTAAAAGCGTTTCCTCGTTTCAGGTATTATTGTTGGGTGTACGCATTCGCAAGAGAATACGCCGTCCGCCGACGACGTGCTGCAACAGGTCGGCAGCGTGGTGGGCGACATCCCGGAATTGAAGAACCTCAACACGTCGGCGCTGCCCAGCATCGAGCAGGCCAAGAATCTGTTCAGAGAGAAGTGCACGAAGAACGGCGGACCGGACGCGTACGACAATGCCCAACGCGCCCAAATTGAGATGGGGCAGTGCCTTCAGTCGCTCATCAACATCACGGAGCTCCAGGCGGAGATGGAGAAGTACAAGCCGACCGGCGATTTGGATATCGTCTTCAAGAACTATTGCAACAAGCGCTCCACTCTGCGGGCTTGCGTCAACAATTTCACGCAGACGGTGGAGCTATGTCTAGACGAGACGGAGAGGGAGAACAAGAAAATAGTGATGAACATAACCGACTCGCTGCTCGAATTTGTCTGCTACAAGGAGGGAGATCGAATCGCCCGTATGTATATGAACCGTGATAGTTTTATTTATGATACATCGATGACACGAAATTCCTGTAAGAAGCGTCTAGAAGAAGTCTCTAAAATCAGAGGGCCTTAAAAGTTATACTTTCCAAAGAAGCTTTTTGAAGGTTTTCTTATAGTGATCAAATATTAAAGCAGAGCCAACACGGGTGTTGTTGGTGTGTAATAATTTTTTTACAATATTTAACCACACCAACACTCGTGTTGTTGGCTCCCATAGGCCTCTATTTTAATATTTGATTTGTTTTCGGGAGCTTATTCCCTTTAAATTATTTTCTACTGATATTATACTTAGACGCTTCTTAGAGACACCTTTGCGAGATGTATTCGCGAGTGTTGCTAACGTTATTTTATCTTTGCAGTTTTCATATCGGCTGGAGGACCAGAGTGCTACCAATCAAAACAGCAAGCGATTCAGGATTGTGCCAACCGTACGTTTAGTGGTTACATACCAAAAACTGATTTCAGTAACAATTTAATGGAGAGTCTACCGTCATTGCATTTCGGTACCAAAGAATGCAGGTGAGCCGCGCAAATTTCACGAATTCGTACCTTTTCTTTTGTTCCTGATATAATTTGAACATTCGTATTAAGAATCTCGCATATTTGATGGTTTAAGTTTAAAAATACTTAAAATCGATATTTTCCTACATATCTTTCTCTGCGGAAAGGGAAAAAAACTTATATTTGCTCGATGCGTCACGCAGGGACATAACCAAATTCCAAGCCTGCGTTGTGGCGGAATTGGAACACTGTGCGGATCCCACGCCTGCGAACATAATGGATTCGATATTCAATTTCATCAAGAGAGTGACGCCCTGCGAGAACTTACTCAACGCAGAAAGCGCCGCTGCTACCGGTACACAGTCCACATCCAGCGCTTCGCGCGTGGGCGTTTTTTCTACCACAGCGATTCTGTCTATTGTTTTATCTTTTGTAGCAAGCTATTATGTTGTAGCCTTATCCATATAACAATGTAAGTACATTGTGAAGCTTTAAGACATATTCCAAATATTGCGAGGACACGCGACGAATAGAGACATATGAAAGTTTATATGACGGAAAACTGTAAATATAAAAAATAATTCATAGCCACAAAGGATATGTTTTCAATTATTATTTGCTTTTTTCTAATTGTATTTTTTATTTTCATTTTTTACAAAATAAGATTTAATTTTCTTTTTTTTTTTTTGGCATAGACATATACTTATTACGAGAGTAATAATTATTAATTAAATATAAAAATATAACTATTTGTAATTTAATGTACATATTAATATGCAAGCTATGTTGCATTCAATAATGCTGGTTTTTTTTATTTTATTGATTAATATGAAAAATTCTTGAACATTCAAAATTTTAATATTTTGTATTAAAAGCAGTTTCTGTTCTTTCTGTTAATCATCTTAATGGCTACTCACATCAAGATTCTGTGAAATATATAAATATATTGCTATATCTTTTACACGTCTATGTCTGTTATATGTAAGAATATTATTTATGTGGTTATATTCTATGTATATGTTTACAACTGTTACTTGCTATATTACGCAAGTGAAACATATAATAAGCGAGATAATTCTTATAAAAAGATTAAAAATATTTTACATTAAAGTATATGATAAATTAATTAGAGTTACGTTTATATGAGTAAATATTTAATACTACGTGTTTTTTTTTGTACATTTTGTACATGTTCCCAAAAATCTTGTAGATAAGAGTTTAGATAAATTCGTTTTAGAAATAAAATATCATGTTGTCAAATTCAAACTTTAATTATAAAACAATTTTTGGAAAACAATTTGCTTCTCTAAGAAAAGAAACGTTCGATTGTATAGTTTATAAACGCGAACAAATTGTGATGTTAGCTCGTAAAAAGCTTTCACTACTGTACGACCGAGGTAAAGCAGTATTGTTTGTAAAGCAACTTAATTAGAACTCGCATGACATTTTTATCATTAAGATAAAAGAAACCAAACACGTGGACGTTTAATTAATATAAAACTACTATTACGATATGTTATGGCGAATGTATCTTAATGCATACTTTAAGAACCAAAGTTGTAATAATTTTGTTAAGGCAATGTATTTAATAAATTCGGTACCTTATTTACAACCGAGCTTTCCTAAATCCGTTACATTAAATAGATATTGGAAGATTTTTCATATATTCTTGACTTTTCATATCAGAAATTCTTTCCATTTTTAACTTCCATGTCTCGTTAATGTTTCTAATATGAGAATTAGGTGCTTAATTCTGTTTTCTATGTAAAATATAATATTTTTTTAAACGAGGATAATTTTTTTAACGTTAACACGCCGTCTTATTTCAATACCGCGCGAACAGTCAATTAAGACTCAGAAATTGGAAATTCCGTCGTAATTAACGCGTAAACGTAAACCGAATTATTCCGCGCCGCTGACGCGCACCTGCGCAAACAGAGCTAGGGTGTGCAGGTGCGCGTGCAGTTTAAATCCCCAGCGATTCTGCGCGAGCTTCGCGACGTTAACGGGAATCACTAGAGTCCCTAGCTAGGGAGGACTTTAGGAATCACGAGCGCCGATTGGCTCGCGCGCGAGATCCGCGAGTTCGGGCGTCTTCGGCCGTGATCGAGGGCGGATCGGGCACGCTCGGCTTGACGACGGACGGCTGCCCAGGCAGGGAGAGAGACGAGCACGATCAGTGCACTTGAGAAAGCCCACCGTAGGCTGTCTCGACGTGTATGTTCTGAACGCTCCGCAACATGTTAATGAGTTTTCGTCTGCTCCCAACGAAAAATTCACGTGGCGTATTCAGTATACGAAAGAAAGACATTAGTTCAAGACATTTACCCTCTTGATCGAGCCTTTCACCTAGTACCAATTGTGTAATAAGCAAGCTGAGGAACGATGCCAGGCAAAAGGGGCAGAAGAGGAAAGTGCGGTAAGCGAGTGACTTTGGTTTCTCCCCTGTGCGTTTGATATCCGCGATAGCCCGACGTTACTTCCCCGTCCCAGCTTCCCTCTCCTCGCCCTCGCCGTCCGAGGGAGATAAAAGGGTGGAAGGGCCCTCGCGATCCTCCGGAGCGCGCACGTGACGCGCGCTCGACATTATTAAATTATCGATTCGCGCCTCCGTCCGTCCGTCCGTCCGTCCGTGTGTCCCCGAATGATTCACGTATCCGGGAATGGAAGTGTCTCGCTTATTTCGTCGACTTACGTCACGACGCAACGCCGCCGCGCGTCTCAGCATCCCCTTTTTTTTTCCCTCCCTTCGTCGTCCGAGATTCGCCCCTTCCGAACCCATCGTCGTCTCGTCACGCCGGGTCTCCCTCGCGTGGCCCTTTTTGGCGCGCGAGCAGGTTTTCCCTCCAGCTATGGCGGACGAGCGATGCACGGCTCCCATGTGACTCTCATGCCTCTCCGTGTGCCCCTGGAGCACATGGAGCTCGCGCGACACGCGTACAATACCAGCGACAGTCGCGACGGCCTCGTGATAACGCAGCTGACAGCTCCGTCCGAGAGGCATGTACATATGTCGATCCGTAAGGATACGCGGCACGTTCGCCGTTCGCGATTAAAAAAACGCGTCGCGATTGTCCGCGTGAGAGGTTATACGAAATATCGCGAGCAGCTAAGAGGTGCGGGCGGGAAGTGCGCCAATCGTGCGTTACATCTTTACGTGTTTTTTTTTTTTCACGATATCGATAATTGTCGGAGACGAATACTCCGAATACTCGGTCTTGCGAGACCAGCGAGACAATGTTATCTATATATATGTAGGTATATATATATACATACGTGACGCGTGCGATTCGTAGGGTATACGTATATATATTTTTTTTACACACTCTCTCTCTCTCGCGCGCGCCTCTGTGTCTTTATTTCGAAACAAATACCTCTTCGCTCTCTTTTTCCCGTTCCCTTTATTTTTATTCGCACGTATTACGACTCGCTCGATACCAGCTCGCCACGATCGCAATGGGATTGTGCGCGCTGGTAGGAATTTGCGCAATCGGTAGCAATCCGCTGTAATCGGTGGACCGTCCACGTTGTCAAGGCTTATATTGACGTTTTGTGCGTAGCCCTCCTCAGATGTTTGTCCATCTATCGACCAGATGAATATTTTCGTAGAAAAGCGAGACGTTTCTTTTGCTTCCCCCTCTCCCTCCCTCCCTCCCTTCCTCTCTTCCCACCTCCTCTTACCTCTCGTCTCTCGAGTCCCTCAAGGACTCGGCTCAAACTGCAGATTTTTAATGTTCCCATACTGCGCATTTGAGATGAGTCGCGGATTTCGAACGTTTTTCCTCGACGAATCGGCGATAGCTATAATCTTCCCAAGTTGATAAAGCTTGTGGCTTGCAGCCGAAAGAAAAAAAAAACGCACGATTCGAGAATCGCGAATTTATCAACTTGAAAATTATTTTAATTTTCTGCGACGAGTGACTTTAATTACTTCGGCGGCGCGTTCGAGTGTTTTTTTTTCACATATGTAGAATTATGAAATTATTTTTTTTTTTTAATGTACTTGACAACACGCGCGCGCACGTGCACGTGTGTGTTGAATACACTTTTAGAAAATAATTACCGATTATACGATCTACTTATAAAAAATATATAATAAAGCAGAAAGCGCAATTTGTCGCGGTTGTAATCTTTTACGATTTTTCCTACGTTTCAATTATCCGCTCCGGAACACGCGCCGAAACCCGCTAATGAGACAGCTGTGTGGATTTCACGTTATGTAACGTGGCATTCACTTTCAGAAGCTGTTATTATTTTCCACGGCTCGAAAATTACCCTGTCTTAATAGACTTTCGTAGCTTCCGATCGACATACGAGGCTCCAAACTCCAAACGTATTTTATCTATCGTTGAGATAAGCCATTATCAAATCACTTTCGGCTGACTTCTGAGAAATTTTCTCGCTCTTAATAACTCGAAAATATTAAAATTGCTTATCGCTGTTTATTAATGGCCACAGTTGTCACATGTTAACGAATATATGTGAGGATCGTAACTCCATTTAACGATGACTTGCCAAATATATATAACATATGTGTGTGTGAATTGTTTTGCATCTCTAGCTTTTGTTAATTATAATTTACATATCGTGACTCATAAGTAGTTTTAAAAGAGAGAAACGCGTACACACGTGCGTCTACACAGCCGCACGAAGTACTGCATACCAAAGCCCAGCGTGGACATACGCCTGAACCATATGTTTTGCGCTCTGCCGACAGGTGGAAAAAGAGCTGAGTTTACATCCGATGAGGATTCAATCAACAATGATGCGTGTAGCGAGATCAGCGGCCAATCCGACAATCGTAGCGTGCTGGAGGACGCAAACGACAACGAGGTGGACGAGCTCGCGCAGCAGGAGGCGTTCGAGGAGGAGCTGAAGGAGGCGATCGACGGTCTGACGCAGAAGAGCGCGAAGGGCCGCATCGTCTGCTTCAACGACATAGAGAACATCTTCGCCGTCAAGTACATACCCGACTTCGTGGAGGACAGGAAGATGACCATTACGGACGCCGTGGAGCGCGCCCTGAAGAAGGGCCGGGGCGACGAGCAGTCGACGGCGGCCAGATTGAGCACCCTCCTGTGCGTCCAGTTGGGCGCCTTCGACAGCGCCGAGACGATCTGCATGGATCTAAAATCGACCCTCATCTTCATCGCTAATGACAATGCAGCTTCTGTCCATGCTCGCGCCGAGGTAAACCATACGAATTATCAAGTCCAAGATGTATTATTGTAAATTTTTTGCATGCACATTATTTTTGTATTCATTAATGACAGAATTTTCATTTCAATAAAATGATTCCAGTGCTGCTGGGCGTTGGCCATGAATCAATTCTTGTCGGGCAACGACGCGACCGACACCATGGAAATCGCGCAGCTACTGTCGTCTATCTTCTCGGGCTCCTATTTGAAGGGAAACGGCGCGATCGCGAACATCTCCACGGACGTGGCGGCGTTGCACGTGGCAGCTATCTCGTCGTGGACCCTGCTTCTGACGGTCATGACCTCCGCGGACGTCTACAATTTGCTCGCGAGCGGCAGAACTAACAGCTACATGCCGTAAGTTCCATGGATCGTCAGCAATCGCGGAAACATCGCGGTTGTCGAACGACGATAAACACGCGTGAAAATTTTTTTTTCTCTCTTTCAGCTCGCTGAATCGACTGCGCGAACTGCTGGAATCACCGCATCTCGACGTACGCCTGTCAGCCGGCGAGGCGCTGGCGGTGATATTCGAACTCGGTCGTGATTTCTCCTGCGACTACGAGCAGAATTGGGCGCTCGAGCTGACCGAAATTCTCAAGGAACTCGCCACCGATTCGAACAAGTACCGCGCTAAGAAAGATCGCAAGCAGCAACGCGCTAATTTTAGAGATATTCTGCGTTACATCGAGGTAAATAGTTATATACTGTGCACGCTGTTTACTCGAAGGGAAACGTGTTTGCTTTTAAAAACGCGTGCCGATGCCAAGAGACAATGAAGAGACGTTGATGCATTTCGCTTTGCTTTCAGGAGGACATCGTGCCGGAGATGCATGTGAGATTTGGCCACGAAATTCTGAATTTGGAAGGATGGTGCGCGAGACACCAGTACAACGCTTGCTGCCGGCTGCTGGGCCCCGGCTTGAATATTCATCTCGCTGAAAATCAACTTCTGCGCGAGATCTTTCGCCTCGGCAACAAAGTTCTACCTCCACCATCGGCCTCCCTCAAAATGAGTAAATTAGAGCGAGTAAGTATTTCTTAAGAGTCCTTTGTTGTTCGTTTTAAATAATATGACTAAGTGTTATTTTTTTTTTTTTGCAGACATTGATGAACGCGGCCGCGTTCAAGGCACGCACCATTCAGCGCAACAAGAATCGTGACAAACGATCTGCAGCTATAGCACCGCTATAATCATACTTCTACGCTGGTTGTCTCATTTTAGTGTAATGCTATACTTGAATTTTCTTCCCTTAATTTATTGTAACTGTACATTTAATAGCGTAAATTGATGTTTTCTCAGTCGATTCTCGAGTCGAAATTATACAGATGTTCCACGTGATGCTACCGCCCTTTCCCGTCGCATAAATTCTGTCGATGTGAACATGTTGAACATGTGACACTCATATCGTCGCTTTAACGACTATATTTATTTAGGTGATATTTAATGATTTGAAAAAGTCTACGTGTGTGTATATATACAAGTCGAAATATGTGTATATACAATTGTAACGTTGGTAACGATGATTGCATTTCATATAAATTATTTCGGTACATGGTCTTTTATCAACTTGAGTATTGATGATCTTTTGAACTGTTGTTGTTTTTCTCTTAGACATATATTGTACGTGTTGATGTTTCGGTGATGAAATTACATGTTTTTAATTGCTATAAATTGAACCATATGATGGTTTAAAAATGGATTGTAATGTAAACTCATGGAATTATTTCGTATTTAACAGTAATAACTATATACACGAGTAAGATGTACGAAATATCTACTAGCATTGTACATAATTAAATGTAAGATGTAATGACATATTTAAGTCAACTAAAAACTGTAGATTATACAAGGATAAACGTCAACGATAAAATTGCCTGTTTTATTATTATTATACATCTTTCTCCACAGAAACAGTCCAATAAATGTCTAGCAGATCCCATTATCTTCGGCGGTTAAGAATGTCGATCACAGTCAATTCCATTTAAAAAACAAAAAACGTACAACAATCACGAAATTATATAATAACGTAACTTTTTAATTAAGTACATTTCAATCTCTTTCGATATATCCACAATAATAACTTTTACAATCACAATTACAATACAATGGTACATAAAAATAACATTGCACGTAATTTACAAGACTTATCACTAATATTAAGCGTACAGTCGTGGCAACCAATCTACAGCCTCATTTCATTATATAAATATAATAAATTAATACTTATATAAAAAGATTTCAGAATTACAAAAACAAGCGGGTTCTTGCGTGTGTCACAGTAAAAACAAAATTTATCAATTGTATACTCCTATTAGTAATTACATATATTTAAAGTTTTAGTAAAGAATAAAAATGAATAATTTTGTTAATACATTATTAATTTAGTATAAAAATTTCCTAGTAAATGCATACAACTGCTAATTTTATATTTTTACCGTGACACACATAAATCGCTCCACAAGCGGCCTATATATGCAAATTTAATATTTGCGTCTTAAATTCTTTCTCGGACAACATGTGCCATCGATAACCCAGTATTCTGGACACCTCCCTCTCCGTGTTCTCGTAGCTACGGCTGTTTGCCTTGATCCAACGATAATACTCGGGTGATCGGTCCAGAATTTTCGACCAGGCTCTATCACATCTCTTCAGGACTACGTTACGCCGAACGTACAAGCAGCGCAAGCATTTCGCGGTCGAGACAATCTCTAAAATCGTAGCGGTCGATATTTTATCTCGGATCATCTGTGGAAGAAGCGTCATTTGTCACTATACTGTAAATCGACAGGCATTTGCGGACAGTGATAGAGCAGTAGCGTCTTAATTATTTTTTTTTTAACAATTGGTTATTGTTATATTAGGCGTTAAAGAGAAGCTAGATAGTCGATGATTTGTTACGTTCATCCTGAATACGAAATTATATCTAAACAAATCTCTCAGGAATTTGGGACTTTATTCATTCGAGTTCTGAATGATTCATATTTAATTATAGCTATTCGATTAATTGTATCTAAACGCAGAAAGGAGAGCATTTCTACTATTTTGAAATTACAAACAAGAAGATCGAGAAACCCGTAGAGATCATTAAAACAGTCTGAATATTTACTAAAGCGCAGCATCGGGGATAAGTAAGTCTAAAATAGTTAGGAGGAACTTACACTCACACATTAGCAAGAAAGACTTTCGTAAGTGTGTAAAGGTACGAACGCATGCCAGCACATCGTAAAGTCGCGTTGTTAACATCAGTGTTTTTTTTTTGTTTTTAGAAAAGCTGTCACAAGCTCCTTTTTTGTTTGATTCAAATACAAAATGCTACCAGTGTATGCAGGTTCGGGCACATTCGGCAGAATTGCACTAACGCCTCGTCCAATCTCTTGGTGAAGCTCCTGTGCAGATAGTATCTCGTTATTCCCTTGAAAGCGTACACCCGTATCGTCGAGTCGAAGAACGCTGCGTGTGTGAGCACCATGGACGGCGAGATCTGTAGAACATAAATTTTTAGCGTGAAGAAAAATTTCTGCCCTCGTCTCCGATATAAAATCACGCATTGTCATCTCGCTAACTTGTGTGTTCGGATTATCCAGTACTATACTGTGACACGGTATGGCGCTATGTTCCAATAAATCCATAGGCAGAAGGATATCCGTGGCTTTGAAACTCTCTATCTCAAAGTGCACTTTCAAATAGGGATTGCTCACTTTCATTTTGACCCAAGACGACCTCTTTGGCTGAAATAAAAATCCAAATGAATCTCTCTCGATGCGAAGATTATCGTAATAAATCGTGACAGAGATTACAATTACCAATCGTACGGTGGTGTCCTTTGGACTATATCGATTCTGCAGAATATGCAGGTGCCTTAATTTTGTGTAGCCTATTAATTCTATTATGTCCTCGTGCAAATTTTGGGGACTGATAACTAAGACCTGAAAGCGTTTTCAATGAAATTTAATAAGAACTGTCTGTCAAATGTACTTGACGTACTCACGTTTAAGTTAATGAAGACTCCTACGTGTAGTAACGGACAATTGTAACGCGTGGTATTTATCAATATCAATTTCGACAGAGTCTGCGTGCAATTCGTGCAGATGTCGTCCATCAGGTGCAACGCCTCGTTGCTCTCGAGCATCAGATCTATCAGCTCCAGGCACCGGAGATTCTGCAGATTCCTCATGAGCCTCTTGAGCGCCTCCAGCAGCTTGCCACCCGTGCCGAAGACCCGGATCCGATCGGGATCGTCCCTGTTCGCCATGTTGCAGGGAAAGGTGAACTTGAGCCGGCGCACGTAGGTACCCACGCCGGCCACGGACGTGTTGTCCGAGCCCTGCCGCTCGGCGTACCACGATATCATGTTCATGAACTCGTAGAGGTTGTAGAAGTTCAGCATGGGCTCGAACACGAGGGTGCGGAAGTTCCGGCCGACCTTGTTCAGGCAGGTGGACGTTCTGATGTGATCCAGGACGTACTGCCAGCCGCTGTAGTAGTTGAACTTGCCCCGCGTGAGGGTGGTGTCCTCCAGGGTGAACGTGGACCAGACGTTTTGCAGCTTGAAGGCGCGATACCACGAGCGGCACACCAGCGACGCATAGTAACGCTCGCGTATCGTCAGATACGAGAATATCTCCTCCAGCAGGATGTCGGGTATCTGATCCCAGGCGCTGTACTCCTTGCACCGCTTATCCTCCTCCGTGTCCTCCTCCTCCAGATCTATGTACAAGGCTTGGCAGATAAGATTCGTTTTATTCCTTCCACGTGAGAATTGAACTTCTAAACAGCTCGGTGTACCGTGCTACGCTCGCGTGTTTTCTCTCCTCGTGTACCGACGTGTCCTATTTTTATGTGTCTACCTTGAATGCGAATTATTTTTAGACGAATTATTAACGTCCGATTCCGATTACGAATTAATCTCGGGGGAGGGGATTTCAATGATCCCGTCGAGGTGAATCTACTAATTCACACACGCCGGCATCCCCCACGTAATATACGTTACACTTACACGAATTACTCGGGTGTTACGTTGAGAAGAAAAGAACAATTATGCAGAGAAAATCGTGTGTTTACGCGCGACAACACGAGCGTACAATTGTCAGCCTCTTTAAACGGGGAAAAGGATTGCGACGAGCGATCGGGATCTCATATATCTGAAACGTAAATTGGCGTGGAGAACCGCAGGGACATCCGGCTTTTCCGAGCCGCGAAATCGCCCGAAATAATCGATTGTTCTCATGGATTTCTCTCGGGGAGGCGAGAGAGAGAGAGAGAGCGCGAGCGAGAGAGGCGAGAGAAGGAGAGAGAGAGAGAACATCGCGCGCTCACCTTTGTCCTCCTCGTCGAATTTCCAGCAGCCCTTGCTCATTTTCGATCCGATCGCCGCTCATCGATGTTACGTTGAAATAACGTTTCTTCGCAACGGGAGTATTTATATGCGATATTGCTAAAAATATACCGAAAAAACGGGAAGGGGCGCCCGCCGCGGCCGAGCGCGCATCGCCATGATGCCGATCGTTTAAATCGCCGCACCTGGCCAGCCACAGCTGACCCGCGGGCGGTCCCATCTCCTGCGTTTCTCGCCTCGCTGATCCTTCGCGGAAACGTCGCGAGAGGAGGACCAATCGCCCGACTGTCGCCCGGACGGCGACGACTTCCCGTCTCGGCGACTCGCCGCCGGAAAGTTTCGGCGGAAACGCGCTCGGCGTGGAAATCGCATTTCCGAAAACGAATTTTCTCGCGCGCGCCACGCCATCAGTGGGAGGTGGAGAGAAGAACGGAGCAAAGGGAGAGAGAGAGAAACGGAGCGCGCGAACCTAACCTATGTAAACAGTGCCGTCATGTCACGTTGTCGTGAAAACTAACCTGGATCTACCTGCGCCGCTGCAGATCTACACCTCGGATCCGTCGTAGACCCGCGCCTCCGGATAGATCCTGACAGTACGATGAACGTGATCGGCAGATTATGCCAACTGAGGCCGACGTTGCGAGGTTACAGGTGCGTGACGTGCGAGACACGTGAGACATCACGTTTGCTCGGATTGTTAAAAAAGAAAAAAAAATAGAAAACAAAAGATTTCGCTAAGGAACTCTGTTGCGTAACTCGACATCGTCGAGTGTTGCATGACGTTTATTAAGTTGAAAGAAGTTTGAAATGATTGTTGAAATTGATTTGTCAATATATATACTAGAGAGAACGAAAATAACGACCAATTTTCTGTTCAAAATTATTGAAAAATATAATAAACTTTTATCCCCTTTTTTTTTATAAAACAAACTTTTGTATTCTGACTTGTCAATTACATCTAATGTTGGCAGGAATTTATACACTACGCATGCTAAGAATGCATACGAGGGACCTGGTAAAACCACCGTGACGTTCATCAGCAAGGAGATTGGCTCTCGACTCCTGGTGACCCGTTGCGACCAGGTAACCATTTGGCGCCATTAATTTATCTAGAATTTACCGTTTATTCATGTGGAATAAACAGTATTATTTTACTTATTAAGTAGCTAAGTGTCAATTATTTTACGTTCAGGCAAACGAGAGTATATTAACTCGAGGTTTCTCACTTTTCAGCTCGGATTCCAGTTGAACACCGGCGTGAGGGTGCTAGGGCCAACGGTGCTCTTCCCCAGACATGCCGTCTGCTGGAACGTCAAGTCCGGCAGGCACATAGACGAGGCGTCGCTCTCGTTGTTCACCGTCCTCGAGCCGAAGCCCGATCTCCTGGTCATCGGAATGGACGATCAGTACGATTTCGCCTACCTCAAAAGCCTGCGCGAATGCGTGCAGAGGATCGGCATCACCGCGGAAATACTGTCCGTGTACAACGCGTGCACGGTGTTCAATTTCGTCAACGAGGAGGGCAGATACGTCGTTGCGGCACTGATACCGCAGAAAGCACCTAGACAACTACGGAAACTACCGCAGGGTGAATCCAAGCAAGTGGAACAAATAACGGACTCCGATAGTGCTGCGAACATCAAAACGGACAGTGTAAAAACGAAAAGTATAAAAGAATGATAGAAAATGTACAGGTACATACATATATATATATATTTGACGATTTGAGTTAAATTTTTGACTGTATTATATTGTGTAAAAAATAACTCTTCTGTAAATGATAATTATAAGATTGCAATACAATTATAGATTTGTTCGTTTTCGTTGTCTAAAATAAAACGGTTTTTTTTAGAAAGAGAAAGAGAAACAAATAGTAACTGAAACGAATGTTGATTTCGCCACAGAAAATGGAATAAATCGCTTGAATAAAACTACAAGCACACGTCAGTGCGTTGAAACGACGTTGCGATTAATTATGAGGCCCAATCGCCGCATAATAAAACGATTTTGCGCGCAGCGGCGCGGTTCGTACTTCGAATAAAATAGTCGTTAGCCTCGAGAGTGTTCGGAAATCCAGTAGATCCCAGAGGCAGGATTTCGTCGTCTTGACATTTGGCATTTTGTTGACGAAACATTCCAACAATCCATATCCTGTCGACTGTAAAATCAGACGGAGGAATAATAACACTCCGTTCTCGCTTCTACGAACCCTCGTGAGGAAGGCCTCGTGCATTTTCGCCGAACTGCCAAGATGGAGAGAGAATCTTCGAGGTTTGCGTTAAAAAAAAAATCGCTATGTACTCGAATTCCGAGATTCCCTAAGAAACACGCGGACGCAGCATATAACTCTAAAGGTACAGCCTACTGAATCATCGGTCACGCGAAGCGTAAATTTTGAAAAACGACGTGTCTTGCATTACTTTTTGCGGAGCATCGATATATCCAGTTGAGCACACGATTATCGTTAATATCGTTGCCTACCCATCGAGTTTTGTACGCCTTACTATGTAGACCGATCGGAAAATTAAATTTCTCGACGAATTAAACGTACGGAGACAGGTTTTTCCCTGCTTATACTTTGACACATCGTTTTTCGCAATTTCTCGTCATTTCACGCGTTCGGCACGAAGCGGTAACGTAAACGTTTTCCCGACGATCCGGAGAAAGATTCACGCTGCGAATAATAAACGATGTCTTTGACAGATAAAGAGTATATTCAACTTGATTTATTTCACACAAGAAATGTACAAGAGACGGGGGTCGTAAAAGCTCCGAGACTGAATGGATTATCATAAAACAAAAAAAAGGGGGGGAGTTTGGAAGAAATTCGTGACCACTTGCCACTTTCGGAGCTTCTCGTAGACGTAGCTAATTTTTCGGATAATGGATGACTCTCGTGTAAATACAGTTTCTTTCGTCACAGCTCTCCGATCTACGTACGGGAGTCTCCTCGGGCAATACGCACGAATCTCGCAAGTAGACGATGGTCACGTTTTCCGTTTCGTGGGAAAAATCTCGACGGGAAGGTTGACGGGGATGAGAAGAAACGGCTTGAGAATTAAAGGACTTGTCAAATTTCGCCCAAATGCAGACAGGTGGTTTTAACAAATGTGTGTATTGAACGCAACTCTACAAAACAATTCTCTCGATTTTCCTTCGCTGGACTAGATGCCTTATCGTAAATATTGAGCTCGACAGGGGATCGCTTCTGAGGGAGACAAGCCAGGCACACGCACATCCGTGTTTCGGAATTTCTTTTTTTTTATTAATAATTCACTCAGTTTTCCTGCAATAACCCTTTCCTTTTTGGGACACATGCTGTGTGTATATTATCAAATTTTCGAACCTGTCCGGTATTGCACCTGCGAGAAAATCGTGTGTCGCGTCCGTAAATACTTAATCGTTAACGCAGTCTTTCGCCGTCCGATGATGCATGATCGTGCGTGACTTTACGATACGTCCGCCGTAAATCGCAACGCAAGGGTGCAACGAAAGAAATTTTGAGTAGAAAATCTCTACATGACTTAGACAAATATACTTTTTTTTTCTCTCCCCTTTTTTCCTTTCCTTCTTTTTCCCTTTGCTTAATTAAGGCACCGGTGTACCTAACTTATTGATAGCTTGAAGAAATCGCGTTGCTTCCTATACAGTCGCTTTCGACAGAAAAGTCCCTGTGTAACAGTCTTGTGAAATACTTGAAGAACGGCAAACGTCTTTAGAAACCGTGGCGATCGCTTGAATTTTTTTTAATGCATTTTTGTGTTTCTATCTGCGTGTCTTTTCCCACAGATTCTCAAAATGTGATTCTTATTAATTCGTCTCTTTAGCTTCGTTTTCCTTTTGTTTCCCTCGATTGAAGTCAGGATTAACTTTAATGTTTGGATTGAACACGGTGTGTTATAAAAAGAGAAAAAAAAAAAGAGATGTAAAAACCAATTTCTCGCGAGTAAACGCCAATTAATAAGAAGCGACATTATTGCCGTGTACATTTGAATACCCAAAAGTAAAAAGTCAGGAGCCACATTGACGCCTATTTTTTTTGTGTGTAAAAATAATGCAGTACTCGTATCGCAGCACGCGTATCCCGCGGTATGTACGTTATTTCACATCTATGCAATTTGTATCTCACAATTAACAATTGATTCCCGCGTATACAGCGATATTACAAAATCAACATCACGCGGCTGCATTTGCCCATCATTAATTTAGCATTGATTCTATTTTCTTTTTCCTAATGGTCTCTTAATTTCTTTATCGTTAGCACAACGATAACGACAATAATGACGGTGACGAGGAGGATGGTGGTGAGGATGATTATGATGATGATGACGACAGTGATGACGATGGTGGTGATGATGGCAATAACAATAATTATGAGAGTAATGAGGGGAGGGGGGAGGGAGTGGAATAGAAGCGGGGACAGTACTAATAATTGACATAATAATACTAATAACAATAATATTAATAATAATAATAATAAAAAGGAATAATATTAATATTATATATAAATTATAATATTAATATTATAATTATAATAATTATAATACGACGATGTTGATGTCGATAACAATGGTACGAAGGGATGGCTGTTCGCCGCACGGGGTTGCACATGTACGATCAGCGAGAATAGCGGCTAATATTAATGGGAATGATTGATGAGAAGGAGGATGGTTGCCGGTAGGATGCAGTGCGTCAGCGTGAATAGAGAAATGAAGAGCACAATCAGAAATCGCAATAGAAATCGTTAGTTTTAATAGATCAACCGACCGAGAGCGGTTCCTCGGCCAACTTGGCTTGCTTTTTAATTATCCGTAGAATTATCTCCTCCACAATTATTTTCTCTCGGAGGCAGGAGGGGTGATGGAGGGAGGACAGAGGATAATAATAGAATAAGATGATAAAATCACTAATCGATAATAACATAAGGCATTATGTTGAGGATCTCGGCCTGGTAACTGGGCCTCGCTAGCATCTGATGCCACTCCCGAAATTCCACATTGTCAGTTTGGTTGTTATGCACACTTTTTACACTATCCACGTTCGATAATCCTGACGACACTCCGTTCCCTCCGTCCCTCGCATTCGAGCGCTCGTGATCACCGTCGGAACACGCGCTCGCCGTCGTCGACAGCCTCGGCTGGAAGTTCCCGTTAAGTCCTTCGACACACTGCATGTGTAACCTCTCGAGATCCTCGGCGGTGACCTCCCGCGGTGGCGGAAAGCACGCGTTGTCCCGTTCCTCGTTTTCGCCCCAGTCTATCGAGCTGGGATCCAAGGGCGGTAACTTGGCCAATATCTCCTCGACCGTGAGGTCCCGCTGCAACGGCGATCGACACGTCGACGTCTCGGTGGTACCTGATAGCCTGTCGTCTTCGCGCAGCCTGTCCTGACACGACGACTCGGGCGAGGGCTCGCGGCAATTCTCCGCGGATCTCAAAGCTCGAGTCGCCCGTTGCGTTTTGCCCGTGGACGTCTCAGAGGATGCCAGACCCCTGTGGCTCTGGGAGTTCTTCTGGCTTGAGCTGCGCAGATACTTGGACACCTGCTCATTGTTGCTACCCCGCAGAACGTCCTCCATGCTGGGCGGTTCCGCGACGCTTTGACTAGGTAGGGCATTGGCGCTGCCGACGGGGCTGCAATTGCTTCCGCGCGCCTGCAGATCGGCCAGTAGCTCCTGCGTGGTCTTCAGTTTCGGATTCCTCGAGATACTGGCCAGCTTCTCCTTCACGCTGTCCTCCAGAAACGATTGTCGCTTCGCGGACTTACTGCCCTTTTTCCGGCCGCGCTTCTTCGGGCCCGACGACTCCTCGTTCGTGGTCTCGAGGGAGGTGGTCTCCGCGAAACAGTCGGAGATTCGTTCCTTCAGTGTAGGGCTAGGCACTTGCGAATTTAAATTACCACTTATGTTCTCGCCGTTGAACCGCTGCTTCTTGACTTCTTCTATCGTCGTCTCAGCTCCATGCGGCGATTGATAGTATTGACATTGGTCCTTGCTGCTCTCCTCTTTCCGTAGTCGCTTATTGGAACTGTGTGTACGCGGCACCGCTTCCGTTACGTGATTCTGATTCGAGGTACCGAGTACTGGGGACGCATTCCTCGAGCAGGAACTTATCCTGTGATTGCTGGTCAGGGTAATTGACTGCTTGTTGTTCGAAGACGCGTTAGGAGATCGTGAATGGTCGCTGTGCACGGATAGTGCCGGACTGAGAACCTGTAATTATAAATTCGCGATGTTTAATACAGTCAGTATGGTTTCTTCCATTTTTTTTTTCACAATCTTGCTTGATGACAATCGATCTCTCTATAAAAAAAAATGTAAGACTTACTCTAAAAGGAGTGGCATCTTTCAAGGCTAGAGGACTGTGAGGCTTAAGCTCTCGCAACGCAGGACTCTGTGGCTTGAAACTCCTCAGGGCCTCCTTCGCACCGTTGAGAGCCAGGGTAGGCTGACATGGCGTGGGGTGTACCGTCGGCGGTAAAACCATGTCTCGCCAGCGGCGTACCAAATCTTTCGCACGCTTGGCCAGGGCTTCATTACTCGTTTTTCGACGAAGCTCGTTGATGTGTTTTCCGAGTCTCGTAATCTATCAAAAGTGCTTTCATTACAGTACACTCTCGCTTCTTCAGTATTACAACAATCATTAGAAATTTTCTGTTGAACATAAATATTGATGTGAATGTGGTGATGAATGTGATAAATAAGGAAAATAAATTATTATAGTTATTAATAGCTAAGTGTGCGTATACATACATACATTAAGTATTTAAATTAATATTATTTACTTTATTATAAGAAATTATAACCTATTAACGAAAAACTTATCGACAAGCATTAGTTACATAGGAAAAATGTTGCATTTAATTGATATTTTTATTAGAAAGCATCGTCAAAACTGCAGTTGTATCTTTGTATAGTTGTATAAATAGTTTGCAGAGCTTATATATTTTTGTATAAAATAAATTAGATATTATACAATACTTTTAACTAAATTATTCTTACAGATACAATGCATTAATTACATCATTCAACTGAAGTAATATCAAAATAATTCCTTTTTTTTATTTTTATTGAATTTTCTGTTATATTTGTGATTATGCTTATATTTTCATATTTATTTATAACGTTACAAAATGGAAGAACATATGATATATACGATACAGAAAAAGAGAAAAGCAAATTATCGTTAATTAATAATTATATGTATGTATATATATATATACATTATAAAATTGCCAATAATCTATTTTTCATTACCTCCAGCGCCTCTTTAGTGACTGTCGTCTTTTCCAATGTCGAAATGACATCGACCACGGCTCGCATATCGACGACCTGAAATAAAGACGAGTGTAATTTTTAACATATGTTTATTCTAATTACGAGCATGTGAAAATTATAATCATATTTCGATACACGAGGTATGAAACTTTTGGAGGAAAGATGCCAATAACAAATTCTACACATACGCACACACACAGACACACAGTGCATACACAACACACACACACACACACACACACACACACACACACACACAACACATTCGCACGAAGTACTACATATATATAATTCTACATATGAATGTATACACATACGGTACACACACATATACACACATACATATTTTCATGAAAAAACGTATTCAGTTATGGTCGGTAATAACAAGTATCTCGGCAAAAATATTCGACTAATTGAAACTAATTGAATTTTAATTGGATTTTCAGACTAGATTGAATTTTTCCGATCGTGGGAGTTGCATCACAAATTGCCGAACAATGTCAAAAAAATACGCGATAACATTTTCATGCGAATAAAAGCTCCTCAGAACGGAAATACTTCGAGAATTAACAGAATGCATTTTATAAAGTGTTACACGAGGTGGTTCCGCGGGAGGGTATCGCGCACATGTGTACGACAACCTCGGAGCCGCGATTTTATCGGATCCGCGGGGCAGCGATGGCCTGGTCTCTCCGTCCAGGAACAGACGAGATTATCGTTTGGCGGGGACTCCTATTTCGACATCGAAGTGTCGAACATTCGTACGAACATACGTTCCTCTTGACAGAAACGTCGTGTGCAATTTTGAATAACCGAATTTAAGGCAGGGCGATCGAGGGGGGAGCATCGCCGAAGGAAAAACGGCGTTCGCATGATCCCGAGACAGATTCCTTCGCGGCGACCCGCGAAAGTTGCGATATCGCGATGGTGTAACGAGGGAAAGAAAACGGGACGAGACGTCGGACAAGGTGCACGAGGAAGGGTGGCATAAGCGTCGCGTGGGCTCGGCATCGAGGTGCATCGTTTCGATACGATTGAGGTTATGTAGCCAGGTAGTCGAGAACGCGCTCGCACGCACGTTACGTTACTCCCGACTTCGGCCGATGTCCTTTTCCCTCCCGCCTGCTCTCTCGCTCGCTCGCTCTCTTTCTCCCTCTCGCACGCACACTCGGCGGCGGGCGAGCGTGTGCGAGTGTGCGAGCGAGCGAGCGAGCGAGAGCAGGCCATACGTAGTGCGCGCGGTGATCTCGCCGTCTCGCGCGTGTTCGCGGAGAGAGGAACAGTGTGCCTCTCGCGCGCCGCGGCATCGCGGCGCGCGACGGCGACGACGGCCGTGGCCGCGGCGGCACTCATACACTCGCGGCCGTCGTCGCGGCCGCCACGCTACCACACACGTACACGCGCGGCGCGCGTAACACACGAAGAGAGAGAGACGTACACGGACGCGACACACACACACGCGCACACACATACACGCACACGCTGTCACTCTAGCGGGCACTCTCGCGCACGTCACTGGTACAGGCAGCAACACGGCGCACGGGGGATCGAGAGTGGCCCGATAGCCGTTTGCGCGTACGGACCAACGGAGACGGCGCGGTGCATCTCGCCGCGACACACCACACTCTCCGCCTTTACTTACATTGTATTCCTTGTCAAGGGATTTCAACAATTTTTCGGTCAGCTCGCTGCAAATTCTCTGCATCGGGGTATCGCGCATGGGGGCCCACGACGGGGGGATGTATTGTATAGGATCAAGCGGAAAAATAGAGTCCGGGCTCCACGCGTATATCGCAGAATTCGGTCGCGATGCGCGAGACACGAGGGAGACTCGCAATGGCGACTACCGAACTGTGCGCTCCACCGTCGTTCGCATGCCCTCCCTGCCTCCCGAGTGCCTCCTAGTCGCGGCCCATGCATCGTCCCTACCCCCACTACCGGCGGTCCGGAGCGACGCTAGCGACGCCGGTCGGCCGGCCGGAGACGGCCGAGCGGGCCGAGCGCGGCCGGGCGGGCTCCCCCCTCGCGCTCCGCGCGTCCAGAACCGCGTGTCCCCCGGCCCCGCACGCCCGCGCCGCGACCACCGAGCGCGCCACGTTTCCTTCCCTCCGCCCTGCGCTCCCCCTCTCCTCAGCACGCTCTCGGCCGTGTTCGCGTCAGTTCGCACTCGGTGCCACTCGGTGCGCTTGGCGCTGCCGGTTACTCGGTACACGACGCGCAACGGCGCACGAACACGGGTGGATCGTCGCTGGTCGTTCGTGGCGTTATCATAGAGCAGCAGCGACAAATTCCAACAAATTGCCGCCCGACCCGACGATTTCGACGACCTCGGTCGACACGCGTCGCGCCGCACACGTATCTGGCACCGAGTGTGACTGCGCGACCCGTATACATGATAAAAAAAAACGATTTTTTTTATGTCGAACGGGGAAAATCTTGGGCGCGTTAGACTCCGATAATTAACCCGAGGTAGATATATATATATATATATGTATATATATTATATATATATGTATATATATCGCGCGGAAATACCATGTTGTATCGTACCGGCCGTATCTCTCCTAACGTGTTTCGAAACGCGCGCAGGGGTGGTGGATGACTCATCGTATCCGATGTCAAACGACGAAACGTTGTTGCGCCGCTTCCTCGAAATCGCGGGCGGCCCACCAGCGTTCACGCCGATGAACCGACCGATATACGGGGTTGAGGCGCTCGAAATTGCCAGCGCCAGCCTGACGGTCACACGTCGATATTTCGCTATCTGTGGGAGAGAGAGAGAGAGAGAGAGAGAGAAACAGGGCGAAAAAAATAAACGGAGGGAAAAAAAACTTAACGTCTCCACGAGATAGATCTCCGCTCGTCGACGATCTCCCGCGGTCGGCGTGGCTTCCGCTTCGAGAACGCGAGTTTTTCAGATGCAGGAACTGCACGATATATGCCGTAAATCGATCTTTCTGGTAGGCGTCCTACGTGTGCAGGAATGTCAAAAGTTAATAGGACCAACGAGGATTGGAACGTGAACTAAGAACGGGACATTTTCGTATTTCATTCCGAGGCGAGGTGCGCTCGGCTCTCTCGACGATTCACCTTGACTATTTCCGTGTATGTATGTACAAACGTCGTTGGGAGTAGCCTCGGCTGGAACGAAGTTACATCGGTTACCGTAATGTACATTATACATCCGGCCGTCGAAGTGACGCGACTTTTACGCACGGCCCATTTCTCTCGATAGGTACATAATACTGGCGTGAATCAAGGTGATAATTTCAAGCATCTCACCCTATATTCCGAGGTTCCTCCTCTCTCACCACCCCTCTCGTAACCATCTATTACGATAAAGCTGTAACATCGGGGTCATAACATGGGCGTAGAAATGTATGGGTGCTGGACAACGTAATGGTAGACTCTCGAGTCGATCGAGCGAGCCCTCCATTTCGTTGCCCACCGGTTCTACCTTTCTGTTATCGTTATTCCGACGGAATTTCGGTCGATGGGAAATTCTCGCTAACCTCGATAGAGACGGGAACGGAGAGACGAACCGACGTCTAGGTCTAATAAATAGGTAAACGTATCATGTGATGTTATCGCGTCCCTCGGAGGAGGACGGAAATCTCCCACCCTCCCCCCTGAACGACAAGAATGAGAGATAAAACGTGGAAGTGAAGTGCTGGATGTGCGTCAGAGAGGGGACGGAAGAGGAGAGGTTGGGGGAAAGGGGAGGTTACGTGCGTCCGTGGCGTAGTAGAGGATTGTAAAAGCGAGGCAGCGGTACGTACATTCGCGCGAGCAAATCTCCGAGATCTCGACGATCACCCCGTGCGTGATTTAGTGTATATTTGCATTCCTTTGCCGAATTCTCGCTACATTACAGCCTCGCATCTCCCTCAGTTCCATAACCATAATTGCGATCGTAAAACACGATCGTCGCTCTGTCGGCGCGTTCTGAAATCTATCGAGCCAAGTTCATCGCGACTCGACGGTTCTCGCCGGGTCCGATTTCAGTCGGTAAAGACGGGAACTGCCGCAGCTGCTCGACTCCGTCGGCAAAGACGAGTCGCGTTGTAATCGCGGTCGACGAGCTCGATCTACCTAATCTATCGATCTATGACCGCGATAGCGTATCAAGTTTGAATGTGTGTGCGTAACGATGTTGTTATGAGAAACGAGATAGCGGTGGACTTTAAACGCCAGATAGAATTATGCCTCATCATTACGGGTGTTTTTTTTCCCCCGTTTGTGCAGAGCCGATCGGAAGCGCGAAAGTTAACGCGAGTGTCATTTTGTCATTTGCAATTTACAGGTCGCTCCGTACGTCTTGCGGTGAATAAGTATCCTTCGTGCGTAGAAAGATGGCACAGGAATTGCGCTTCGACGGTCGAGTGGTCGTGGTGACGGGAGCGGGTGCAGGTAAATGTTTTGCTTTATTATATAAATTTTTAAAATATTTTTGCGCTCGTATTACACTTTTCCGACTAATTAGACCAATACCATATGCAAAGCAGAATCAAATCGTCTGATTACATTTTATCATTTATTATTTATTATTTATTGTATTTCTTTATTAATTTATTTAATTATTTCGCATTTATTACTTTTTGCATTAAATATATATGTAAATTGAATGAAGAAAGATTTAATACATTTTTTTTATAAATGTAATAATAACACAATTTAATTTATATTAACTAACAATTTTTTATGAAAAATATATTTAAAAAATAATAAAACTTTGTTTATTTTATGTTCATTTGCTCACGTAACCAGAAATGTTTTTGAATACGAAAATAATGCGAGTCTATTTGACTATGTATCGGCTTTTATCTTGAAGATATAATATGAAATGTGCAACAATTTCCAGGACTAGGACGTACCTATGCATTGCTGTTTGCGTCCAGGGGTGCCAGCATAGTTGTAAACGATTTAGGAGGCAGCAGGCACGGAGATGGAAGCAGCACCAAAAGTGCGGACGCTGTGGTTCAGGAAATTCAGCGAAATGGTCAGAATTTTAATATAATTTACATAATTTTGTTTGCTCATTAAAAACGATATTTCTGATCTGGTAATTAAATTATGTAGTTAAATACGCATTATTTAATCTAGAATGATATATTTAAAAATGTCATATGTGATTCATTATACATGAATTATGTAAAATACATGATATAGAATTTTGTAATTTGTTTTTTCTAAGCCAATGTATGTGTCCGTTTTATTTAAAGTTTTTCTATTAAATTGCATAATATTTAAGATTTACATATCATTAACTTTATTGTGCATATATTATTTAAATTAACTTTATTATACATTATTTCAAGAATATTAATGGAGTATTCATGTTAATCTTTTAGGGGGCAAAGCTGTCGCGAATTACGATTCCGTGTTGGACGGTGCAAAAATTATTAAAACCGCAATCGACACATTTGGCCGCGTAGATGTAGTTGTCAATAACGCCGGTATTCTGCGGGATGTATCGTTCGGAAAGATGACGGAGGCTCAATGGGGTATGTAATACGAAATAAGATACACAAACCATTAGCTACTTCCTTGTTCGTACCGCGATTTTTAGAAATCCTCTCCTGTATGAATCTACGTGTTCTGACCTCGCGTTTCTTTCAGACGTCATACACAACGTCCATCTGAAGGGTGCAATGAAGACGACGCAAGCAGCGTGGCCGTATTTTATGAAACAGCAGTACGGCCGTGTAATTTTTACGTCGAGCAACAGCGGCGTGTATGGAAACTTCGGCCAGTCGAATTACAGCTCGGCAAAACTGGGTCTCGTGGGATTAGCTAACACATTAGCCATCGAGGGCGCGAGGAAGAACATTTATACCAACGTCATAGTGCCCACAGCTGCCTCACGTTTAACGGAGGATATCATTCCACCTGGTGAGTCGTCAGCAATGTTTATTTCATAATAATCCCTAAGAGCTATGAGATTTTATAGGTTTTATTAATTAAAATATGAAATTTTATGTCTCAAGTCTTATTAATAATTACAATACTTTTAATCTTAATGTTTGAAATATTGACAAATCAAATTACTTGTTAAAAAACATTTTGCTACATTATATTCAATTAAAAGATATTATGTTGATACTTTCCCGCGATATCTCATACACTCACACATACATGCATCGCGTTCTGCTGAAAAGGGCAAATTGAAGAATTAATTGACATTTCGCAGATTTCTTTGAGCAATTGAAGCCTGAATTGATAGCACCCGTAGTCTTTTGGCTGTGCCACGAAGATTGTACTGAAAATGGCTCTATAATTGAAGCGGCATTAGGCTGGGCTGGCAAATGTAAGCATCAAAGATATTTAATTCTATAGCTGTTAATATTTGTAAGAAAAAATTTTACGAATAATAGTTTTTAAAGCTTCTTATTCTTTGAAATAAGTATATATTTATCGTACATTCTTAAAAACCTTTTCATTTTTTTTTATTAGAATAAGTATAAATATTGTAAAAATGGATATAAAAGATGCTCGAATTTACAGGTCACATAATCCGCTCTTCGGGCTGCGCCTTGCGACAAGATTTGTCGGCCGACGTTACACCAGAAAACGTACGAGAAAATTGGTCGAAAGTGATAGACATGACATCGACAAAGCGACTCAATTCGGTTCAGGTAAGAGAATATATACCTGTGTACATTTTAACTTAACAGGGACCTCCTGTAATTCTTGTCCTGTAATCTCTGTTTAGGAAGCAACGGGAGAATTGATAGGCGTTCTCGAGGACATGAAGAGTGGTGCCCCTTCAAATGAAGTAAGTTATGCTTAAGTCTCTTCTTCGCGTATCACAAAACTTATCTTTATCCATTCCCATTGTCCACAGGTAGATCATGTCATGAGAACCACATATAATTTCCACGATACTATATTGTACGCGCTCGGAGGTACGTAAAACAGACTGATTATACAATAGATTCATATTAAATTACGTAAACTTATCGGGGATTTCGTGTTTCGTAGTTGGGGCTACAGTTCAAGAACCAACCGATATTCGTTATTTGTATGAGAATCACGACGAGTTCGCCGTTCTACCTACATTCTACGTTTTGTACGGACCTATGGGATGCATGAGCTCTTCTATCGTGTCAGACGCTCTTCCATTTACAAATGTTGATCCAACGCGAGTATGATTGAGAATTTTTTTTTAAAACCATTGTATTATTTTATTCGTCGTTTATGAGCAGTGCTTTTCATGTTGCATTGATTGTTTGCAGATACTTCACGGCGAGCAATTTCTAGAAGTTTACAAACGACTACCTGCGGAAGCCACGGTGGAGACGCGCTTTAAAGTTCAGGACGTAATGGATAAGGGGAAAGGCGCCGTTGTCCTTGTTCAACGTATGTAAATCTTGCTATTTATATAAAATATTGGATTGTCATGATTCCGATTAATGTACACTAATATACACATTCACCAGCGAGTATTTATTCGTGATACGAATACAATATTAATGATCGATTTCATTAGTGTAAAATATTTGTAGTTTGGACGTATGGTAATCGTGAAAAATATAATTTGCAACAACGCATATGTTTAGCTTACGTAAATGCTATAACGTTTTGCTTAGAATAGTAAAACAATGTCTTTTTTTATACTGTAGAGAATAACTTTCTCATTTTCGAGATTTTTAATATAAATGTTTAATATAAATGAGCAATGTAATTTGTTTTTGTGTTTTTCTAGATGATACCTATGATGTAGCGAGCGGAGAGAAGCTATCGACTGGACAGATATCTACATTTATCGTCGGTTCAGGTGGTTTCAAAGGAAAACGAACATCGACGTTTATCATCCCGACCGTTGACCCTCCCACTCGAAAGCCAGACGTAACGGTTATGCAACAAACTAATGTTGACCAGGTGAGAAAAAAAGAGTATACATGTTATATTCTTGTTTAACAAGATTAGAATTTACGTCTTAAAAAATACACTTAACAATATTGACGATTTTTATAAAACGAAAAAGCCATTTCGAAAAGTAATTTTAATAGTTTTATTGTCACGTCTACGTTTAAAATATAATATTCGTGTGTCTTTTGAGTTTTAAATATTTTGCATACATTAAATTATATATGCGACAATTTTTGCGTCATTTTTTACAGGCAGCTTTGTACAGATTGAGTGGAGATTTGAATCCTTTGCATATTGACCCTAATGTCGCAATGTTGGGAGGATTCAAAAAGCCGATATTGCATGGACTGTGCTCTCTGGGATTCTCCGTCCGTCATGTTCTTCAGACTTACGCCGCCGGAGATCCACATTTGTTCAAATCTATTAAGGTACTGTCATTAAGAAAATGATATTCACGAAGTTCCAAGGTAAACTTGTCACTCCTAATAATATGAGATGCAAACTAACAACGTAAAACTTTGACACGCGCATTGAACAAATTGCATGTCCATACATTTACATTTAAAAATCTTGAAAATAAGGAAATTATTCTCTACAGTACAAAAAAGATATTGTTTTGCTGTTCCAAACAATACCGAAATTAACAGTACTTAAAATAAGCCTTTGTAAAATTTATACATTTTGATAGATATTATTTCAAATTATATTTCTATCTTCATATTTTCGTGTAAGAAATATTAATAAGAACAACAGTTTTCATTATTTCTATATTTCTGCACGCGTAAAAACAAAATTTAAATAATAAAAAAATTTGATTTATTAAGTCACTTATGAAACTTCGTGAACTTTGTTTTGATTATCATAGTAATATATACAATATGCGCACTCACGGTCTACGCAGAACGACGTATTATAAATAGCACACGAACGGCAGATAGTACGTAATGCATGATATAGCACTTGTCAGTGGTGAACATAAATTGATCGTGAGACGGTCGTGTAGTTACATCAACGTAAGTCAGCGTTAAGTTAAATAGTAACCAGGTAATTTATTATAAATATTCTTCCATAAAAGGAAAATATAGTATAATAATATTAGCAATAATAATTAAAAGAAATACATATAATTGTGGAACGTAGAAGAAAATCTTGATATTTAGATTTTGTTTTACTGCAGCGGTCTGTAGCAATAAGGTCTATTGCAGTTACTATTGATTAATTTTTAATAATTCAATCCACAGCAAAATGAAACTTGGTAAATTCGTGCAACATATTTTTATATATTTATATATATATTACCTCAACCGTGACTGTCCATTTTATATCGCTTATCTTGGTGATATTTGTGTTATCGATTTTTGTTCAATTGTGTTGGTGAATGTGTCATTTTATCTACGTAATTATATTTGCAATAAAAGGTTTTTATCGTTTCAGTAATATTCCAGCGACGGACTCAACAATTTCGTTTATTTCGATATTATTTTATCAAAACATTTCAGGTGAGATTTGCAAAGCCAGTTATGCCAGGCGAGACCTTACGCACCGATATGTGGCGCAACGGTAACAGGATACATTTCCAAACGACTGTCCACGAGACTGGAGTGCCAGTTATTACAGGTCAGTCATTATCACAGAATTTGCATATAAATATATATTTTTTTCATTATTTTGTCTTTCATAATTCTGTCTTTGTTCTTGGAAATAGCGAGATAAGAACAGAATAATTTTACTTTGTAGGAGCTTACATTGATCTATTGGAAGTTAAAACGGGAATGCCGCGAGCAAATCCGTGTTCCGGAAAAACAAATTTGGAGAGTGATGCTATATTTGCGGCTATCGGTGACCACGTGAAACAGAATCCCGATCAAGCTAAGAAAGTCAATGCGGTCTTCCTTTACAATATATTAGTTGATGGGAAACAAATGTCAGAATGGAGTAAGTAACTTCGGAAAATGTATGATATCCTGAATTATGGAACTGAAGAAAACGGGAGATATTTAATATCAATTAAGACAAATGCCTTATTCTGTATAAATGCAACAAAGTGCAACGGGTTGGAAATTTAACTTTCTAAAATGTCGATCTGCAATCACTGCTCTTAAATTTGTATATTTTGAATTTTTAAACGCAAAATTGACAGCCCACTGCTGAAATAATCGTAAACTATTGAATTTTTTTCTCTCGTCATTTGTTATGATGTTCCAAAAGTTTAAAAAATAATACAAAAACATTTGTTCTACACAAATAACATACTTTGTTTTTCTTGACAGCTCTCGATTTAAAGAACGGTGAGGTACATAAGGGAAAACCAAAATCAGGGAAAGCAGACGCGACGCTCATTATAGAAGACAAAGATATGGTTGAAATTGTAAGTCAGCCATTTAAAAACAGAAAAAGGGTATTATATATTTTTTTCCTTCTAAACAATATCATGATTGTTACAGGCATTGGGAAAATTAAATCCACAGTTGGCATTTATGCGTGGGAAATTAAAAATAACTGGAAACATTATGCTCACGCAAAAATTGAAGAGTCTTATGGAAGCGAACAAAGCAAAATTGTAATTTTGCGTTGTCTTGTTTTTGTAAATAACGTAATTTGCATAATTAAAGAGGGCAGTAAATTACGAATTTACATAACTGTAAGTATAGGTTGAGGTACATATATTCTTATTGTTATTGTTTGTTCCGACAGAAACTTTTATACAGAATTTGTTATAGTCTGGGGATAATTTGATTTGATGTGACTTTATATACCTATATTGTAATACATTCCATAATAAAGTTTTCAACTAAAGAATGTTGATCACAATTTATAAAAAAATTACGTTTAAATATTCTTTTCACTTATTAGAATAAAACGAAATTAAATTTCATAGATATATAAAGATTTATATTAGATACATATAAAAATTTTGCACATGTATTTACACGACGCAAGAGAATTCTGATTTATACACAAAGAGAATAATGTATATATCTTAGGAATAATTATTAAGGGCAAAATGTACAAGAAAAACGCACGCGAAGCAGAAGGTACGAAGAAAATCTTTGGTTTAACATAGGTCTTAATAATAATAATTATAAACTTATAATTATAATTATAATCGCGCGATGTATTCTCCAAACTAAATGCATCAGTTTCACAGGATGCAACAGAGCTTCCTCGAGGGCGGCTTTTTCATTATGGCTCTAATAGCTTCCACAAAAACTTCTTCGAGACCTTCCTGTTTCATTGCAGAACATTCGACGTACTTGATTGCCTTGATCCTTCTTCTCATTTTGTTGCAATCACGCGGACTGATGATATCCATAGTTTCTTCATTTCTAAGATCTGCCTTGGTACCTAAGATCAAAAATATATATCATTCATGTATTAGTGGGAAACAAATTTATAATAGGATTATTTATAAAGGAAAAAATTTTATTCTGTAATATTTATTCTTTAATTTTGTGTTATTTATTCTGTATTTATATTTTAAAAGATTGAAAATGTGTAGAAAATATATAGAAAGTTCGTAAAAAGACTAGTAAGTCTTTTTCTTTTCGATAATAAATAATCGAAAAGAAAAATGTACTTGCAAGTATTTCGTATGTTTACATGTTCTTCATGTAAAAAATTTCCATTTAATGTACAAAATGTATGTACGCTTACCCACGAGTACAATCGGCACATTGGGGCAATACGTTTTGATTTCTGGATGCCACTTACTCACTACGTTTTCAAAAGAACTACGAGAGTTTATAGAGAAACAGACCAGGAAACAATCAGTCTGCAAACAGAGAAGAACGAACGCAAAACTGTATATGCACGAATATCTCGAGATACATTTTTTTTTATAGCATTGAAAATGAATAAATCTCGATGAAAATAGACGGGTTATCACGTACATTTGGATACGACAGCGGTCTAATCCTCTCGTAATCTTCTTGACCAGCCGTGTCCCACAACGTCATTTCGAATTGTTGTCCACCCACCCATACGCTGTCAACGTAGTTATCGAAACTGCAAACAAAAAATAGCAGGCGAATAAATAATGATTACAGTTGTATTCAACAGGAATGAAATTAAATATTTTGAGAACTCTAACATTTTTTAATATAACAAACAGAGAAGAAATGATACAAACGATACTTATATAAACAAATAAATCTATGATACTCTGCTAGCAAATTGCTGCAAACGATGATGCTATACATTGTGTTACGATATTTACACAGTAGGTACATATTCCGTTGGGAATTCTTTCTTCGTGTACGTGATGAGCATACATGTCTTCCCAACCATACCATCGCCAACGGTCGTAATTTTAATCCGCTTGTTTCGAGACGTCATTTTCGTTTCCTCTATAAAAAAAAAAAACACATTAATTACATACCTCGAGAGGTCGCGTCAGCGTTATTTACGGATTGTCGAATCTTATCGTAAAATGGTATTTCACGATCTTGACGTATCACCCTTATTTGCATTTCTTTCATAAATCTTACTATACTTAAAGGAGCGAACAAAAATATTTTTAAATTTTTCTTTAGTAGAGCACCATTTTTATCTTCCGCTCTTGATGGACTGCTCGGTGATTCCGTCACTCTTTAAACTGAAAAGAAAGCAACAGACGTATCCGGCCACTGTATGGCACCAAGGCTATCCCTCAAGCTGTACGTACGTCGTATCGCGCATACCAATGAAATGAGAGACGGTCACTTTATTCTTATTATTGTTAAACTAATAAGTAATAATTACCCATTCCACATATTGCATAAAATAAACAGCTAAATTCTCTAAATATTTTGTGCAACTATTACAGATATAGTTACATATGCAGATCTCATCGGACGCGAATTGATGAGGGATCAAAATTATTTTCCCGTAAATATTTTAATTAACGTTACAATAAAATATCTTCGGTACAAAACAACGATGAGGATTATAATTCGCTCGTCGGTACTCGGGACGAGCCTTTTCGTGCAATCAAGCGAACGAAACAAATTGGAAATCACTGCAGTACGTCTTTTTTTTTTCCAAAACGAATCAATCAGGATTTTCTCGCCTTCTCATCTAGATTTCGCGCCTTTAGGTTTATCCCTTTTTTTTTCTTCTTTTTCACAAGCAAATTGATAAGTCGCGCACACAAACGTTCCTTTCAATAAGATATTCATCCGTGACGGGCTCCTCGTACAGCGGGTTGGCGGAACTTGCTGGTATTTTCTTATCGAGTATGGTCATTATCAACGCGCCGTCCGGTCGACTCTCCGACTACGCGGATCTGCCTGAATAGCACGGATTGATAGTACGTCGCGATAATCATTATCGCGGTCCATTCACACACGAGTAGATTCATCCGAAAATTACAGCTTACACAGCAGGACTGATTACAAATACATTTACTTGCGTTTCCATTACAGGCATATCTCGTGCTAATGTAATAAACTTAATCTCGTGTTATTAAAAGTAATAATCTTCGTTAATATTAAAAGTAATCCATGTATTATATCACCAAAGATGACGATCCTGCACGGAGAGAATTTCCTTTTAAAATTTACCCTGAAAATCATGTTAATCGTGGGACATCATAGTATTTCGACAAATTTTATGTGATTTTCTCTGTTTTTTTTTACTGTGCACTACAATAAATTTGTTGCAGTACATATTTAAAAAAATAGTAAAAATCACATAAAATTTGTCGGAATACTGTTGTCCTACGATTAACATGATTTTTAGGATAAATTTTAAAATAAAATTCTCTCCGTGTGATATTTTATTCGAATGTTATACACGCATCAATTTTTCTGACCTATCATTCGTTATTTCGTTAATAGAAACCAAGAAGAAACGAGACTGTTTCCTGTTTTATGTTTATGTAAATTAATCCAAAATTGTCAATATATATAATTTATTAAATCTATTTCGATAAGCAGTAATCTAATCTACTGAATGAAATGATAATAATTGTTATAAATTGGTGCATAATCTAATATCTGCTAAAATGATAAATTCCATAAAGCTGTAAGTAGTTTCCTAGATTATGATTGTTGAATAAATATTGACGAAAGTGAAGGTATCCGCCGTCTGACTCATTACGTTATGGGATATGGCAATTGCTTAATTAAAACACCGCGTGCAAGACTGGAGCCATGTTTCCTAATTTGTGTTAAGACCCGCCCTGATGACACCGAGGTCAATATACTCTCGCGACAATTTAAGTTCGCGTGTCGCGACCGCGAGGGACGGGAAAATTCATTTCTCTCTGCTTATCTCTCCGCTTTTTCCCTCCGCAAACGTGCTCCGAATTTTCATTTTCTAAAAACCAGGAAAGTAAAATTAATTAATAATTAACATCGATCAAAGTGGAATATTATAACATCTTTCTTTCGTCCCGATATAATCTTTCTGAACGTCTCTTTAAAAGTTTATCCCACAAGTCATTGATTATCCCACGCGTTGTCATAATAGGTACACGCGTTATAAAAAGCTGAAAGTTTAACATGCCGGAGGAGTCGTGGCATTCACATTCTTTGCTGTTGTTTATCTTTCTTTTGCTATCCTTATACAACGCCACATGTGTCAAACCTAAATAACGCGCGCGATCGATCGACTGCGTGATGAACGTATCGAGGCGGTTCATATATGAATTCACGCCGGTGCGTGTGCATGAGAAGTTTACGGGATGCATTAGACCGGCACAAATTTGTATTTGTAAGGGGAAGGTATATCGACGCACGGAGGTGAAACCCGATAAAAAGACGTAGACAGACGCATAATTATATAAAACCATTTATGCGTTCGTTTCAATATATATTTCGATACAAAATTTAGATTCTACACGTCCGCGAAAATAATAATAGGCAAATAAGAAATTTTTAATATTCACCTGTAATTATAAGTAGGATAAATAGTTTTACAAAATTTTCTCCCATTTACGTTTCTGCGGTAAAAATCACATTTGAAATAATTTCTTCTGTTATTCTTAATATTTCATCTTTCTCTCTTCAAAGAAGAAAATTTAGAGAGAAGTGACTGCAGACAGCGCGTAATCAATGTGATTGTCACATCCTTTACGATAGGATATGGGGCAACTCTACGCGGTTATTTATCAGTTCGTTGTCTTATTTCACGCAGGATTCCGGAAAATTTATTATTATTAATCACGGTTTTCCCCCTTTTACGGAGAACTCGCACAAAGGGCACGCGTGGGATGTTCCGCAAAATACGTATAAGCAACGCGGCAATTGAATTAAAAATTATTAGGCTTTCTATTAGGTTTTCTGTATTTAATACATAAAAAGGAATTTCTCTCGAGAAATTAATGGATTATCGTAAAATTGTCTGACTCGTGTGACGTCACGCGAGAGCTACGCGGGCGAATTTAACGAGCAGAAGAGCAAATAAAAAAACTGATTACTACAAAAGAATTAAGATTATCTCGTTCACAATAGTACAACGTCGTGATGAAATGCAGAACAAGTTTCCGCGACATATTTCTCTTTGTGTTTTATTGCCTGATATATTTGCGCGAAGTCGCCGTAATTCGCACGTGAACGTTTGGTCGTTTGGAATGGTAAGGCGTTGAGAGTCATCAAAGGTGCGATAAAGAGATAAGATAATTAAAGAATAGATTACACAAGAAGAGAACGGCCTAGAGTTTAATCGTACCTTTTCAATGATTGGATACGCGTCTAAAGACTTTCGTATAGTTTTAGATAAGTTTTACGTCTCCCATGGAAATTCGATAATAACTTCCTCCTTTAAATCATCGCACCATGCCGATTTCATTTAACTGCGTCTAAAGAATGAGCAACATCAACTTTCTCATTATCAAAAATCATTATAAACATATTATTTGATTTTTTGAATTAAAAAAAAAAGATATGTATATATATATATATATATATATATATATATATAAAATTAAGAAATAAGAAGCGAAATATAACGAAATTTGCAATGAAAATTTAAAGTAAAAATTAATTCCGAAAAAAATCGAATATATAGATTTTTCTTACATACATCCTTCATTTCTGTTTTCCAGTTAAAAAAAAATATTAAGAATTAGAATTTTATGAAACAATTGGATGCTCTTAAGAACTCCGGCTTCATTTTCGCGTTTATCACATGACATCATTTCGAAATAAATTTCGCTTCCCGTCCGTGATAGAAACTGCAATGATGATACATAAATTACTCACCGTGAGATACGTCATGCGAGAAGAGAGCACGCGTTAAACGGCGTCTTCGAGAACATTTCGCACATTCGTTGATTTGCAGCTATGATTCGCGTAAAGATGACAGTCGACGTCGCGATACGGAATTATAACACGCGATACCGAGACACGTACGGAGGATGAAGGCGGGATGACGCGTGTCGCGTGTCGCGCGTACGCGCGTCGCAACGGTCGTTCGAGGACTACTCCGACCAGTCCGCAGAAACGCGCACGTTTGCGGGCCTCTGTGACAGTCGTCGCAGGAAAAATCAGCTGACGTGGAGTACGGCGATGACGGGAGCGGGACGCGGTCTGAAACATGCGCGTTCATCGAGATCAAATCGATTCACCTTTCTTCAACGCAATTATAATTGTACAAAAGATTGAAATAAAAAAAGAACGGCCCGTTCTGCATTGTTGTACTTTACGGCGCTTAAACTATAATTGCCAACGGAAGTTTGTAATTATATGTTTATAACGACTGCTGAGGAGCAAAGGAGAAAGGATGAAAATTAAGGAAGTTACATGAGCAGCTAAAAGAAACGATGATTGTAGCATCTAAATTAATAACACTCTGTTAAAAGATTTGAGTAATATTGCGGCAGATTGACAATTGCATCTGCATCAAGCTCGCGTTCTGTAATTATCCTTTTATGTCCTTGTAAAGACGTAAAGTTTGAAAATGTTCAGAAAATATCCTTTTATGTCCTTGTAAATATATGTCAAATACATAAAGTTTAAAAATTTTCAGAAAATATCCTTTTATGTCCTTGCAAAGACATAAAGTTTAAACATTTTCAGAAAATATCTCATATGTCTTTACCTCTCTCTGCAGTTCCAATCAGGAGACTCGCGGTCTTCTTCAAAATCATGTTTTCTTAACGAATCGTCGAGACCACAATAAGTATTCATTTCCATCCTGTGGCGATCGTAAAAAGTGCAGCATTCACATATCTTACGCGACATATATTTTCCTGCGCTTGCATATAATGCTCCTGGATGACGCAAATACGACCGAGATACCTTGATTAACATCGCATTCGTCCGCTTCGACAATGCGTGCCGTCGATTGTTCAGCCGCATTTGGCGTAATGATTATTATTACGATTGCGGCGGCGTGCCTTCGACATATATGAATACACAAAATGTATTATTATTACGATTCCTTAGTTTATCATCACGATCTCGCAGATACTTGTATATATACTGATTTGTAAGAATCAATTTCTTCTCCAAAAAAAGACTTATCTATCATTAGAATCTTAATTAATTTACCTATCGTCGAATCTAATTATATTATCATCAACCCCGCGTTTCACGTTCAAACTCGTCCATTCACCCTTGCCCTCAGATTTCTCACCGAGTCCTGTTATCATCTTATCCTTGTTGTTTACCAAAGTCCAAACGTAAACACAAAGGATAATATGATGCGGCGGGACGGAGGGAGGCGGGAACTGACATAACCCTTTCGTAAATACGTCCAGTTAGTCCAATCGTGAAATCCGAAAAGTTCTAAATTACTAAAATTACCTAGTTTCGCGAGTCGCCCCGCGATTGGTCGATTCGATACCGTTGAACGCTGCAGGCAGACTGAAAATAAAATTGGTAACATTGATCATATTTCAATTGGATTAGAGTCCTAGATTATCAGAGAAGCGCGACCGGTGTTACGAGTCCTGATTGGACTTGCAAATGGCCAATCATAAGATTGATTTATCGGTATTATAAATGGCTGTCGAATAAATCAATCTTATGATTGGCCATTCGACGCCATTTTTAATATTTTCTAGTACTTTTGCGATACTGCCATAAGCCGGTCGCGCTTCTCTGATAATCTAGGACTCTAAATTGGATGTACTACTGTGCGGACGCATCGATTACGCGCATCACGTGAAATACAAATCGCGGAAAAAAGTGGGATTTTAGTCTTATTAATAGGATTTATACTCTTCTCTCCTTAGCCTTTCACGAATGATGTTACCGTAGATATCGATACGCTCAAATTTTGCAAACTGCCCGGCCGCGCAGCCATTCGAAATATAAATATTGTCTTGATCTCTTGAATTCTCTTGATCTGAATCTGAATTCAATATTCTAGATATTGCAAAAGCGGCATTCGATAATCGGAAAACGCAAAGATGGAAAAATCGCAGGCTAGCCAGACGAATCCCGAGGAGATCAAGAATCGGTCCGGACCAAATATTAATTCTTTAATTAAACAGGTAAAACGCGTGAATAAATGCCGACGAAAAAAGCTCGCGCGTTATAGCTCGTATTATGAGCCTCGGGAATTTCACAATTAATCTTCCACTATAACATCACTTATTCTGCGTTTTTTTCAAGTATTACTTATATAATCTAATAATATATAATGCGTGATGAACGCTGGGATGAAAATCGCGGCATTTCAGTACGCAACGTTAAAGACATCGTTGGAAAAATCTAACAAGGAGCTGCAGTACTGGAAGAGGCAAAAGTCGCAACTGCTCCAGAGTAACAGCAACATCGAGACGAACGTCAACAAGCTGTCGCAGACCGTATCCAAGATTGAGGCGGAGATAAGGGAGTACACGGGGATCTGCGATGCGAAGAAGGAGGAGTTGAAGGACCGGCAAGGCGCGAGGACGGCTACGTTGGACAAGCAGTGGTAAAACTTAATTATATTGTTGTCGTTTTAAATTTCAGTTTCACCGCGTCGAACGGAAAATTTAATTACACGGTCGAGAAACGCGTATGAAAGTTTTCCCCCGCGGAGGAAATTTAATATATCGCTTCGAGTGATCGCGTCTCGTTTTGCAGGAGTGACTGCTCGTCGGAAATAGGGAGCTACGCGGATGACTTTTCCCAGTGGATAACGAACTACGTATGATTTTATACTTGACGATTTTTACCCAGGTAACATCTTGAAAACGTTTCTGAGTAGTTAAAATGTCTACTCAAAAAACGTTTAAAGAAACGTTTCATTTTGGTTAAAAAAAAAAATTAAAAATAAAAAAAACGTAGAGAAATATAATTAAAATATCTTTTTTTTTCTATCTGTAAAAAAGTTTGCTTGAAAAGAACGAATGCACAAACTTTTTTACAGATGGAGAAAAAATATTTCGATTATACTTCTCCACGTTTTTTATTTTTTTATTTTTTTTTTTACCAAAAAGAAACGTTTCTTTTAACGTTTTTCAAGTGGACATTTTAACCACTCAGAAACGTTTTCAAGAATCGGTTATGAAACGTTTCTAAAACAAGTACGTGCTACCTGGGTATAAATTTTACATTCTCTGGATTATCCCTGATTCGTAAAAAGAAAAAAAATTATAAACGCGAATTCCTTCTTTTAAAGTCTAGAGACGTTTTGATGAAGGAGATCGAGAATCATCAAAAAGATTGCGGAAAGGTTGGCCAGGAGCTGGCGATTATGAAGCAAGAGTTGGACGATATGAAGGGTGAATGCGATACGGAATATGTCGAAGCTAACGCGGACGACTTGTCATATCTGAACGATATAATATTCTGTATAAGGTAAGAAGTACACTCGTGTAAATTAAATTTATCATTTTACACCGCGTAAGGTAAAACGTAACGATTTTTTTTAATGTGCAGATCGGGCAATAACAACCTAAAGAAAAACGTCAGATTGCGGGAGGAGGAGTTAAACAAGATACAGAATAAGATAAAGCAGAGCAAAGTCGCGCTTAACGATGCTAAGACGAAGGAAAACGCTAATGCGTTCTAACATGTTTATTTCTTTTTTCTCAATAATAGAAATAGATTTTTAAAAAATTATAAACTTTTAAAAAAATACAAATTAAATGTATAAATTGTTAAACATAAGGTTTTAATTAATGTATAATTCACTACTCTGTAAACTACATGTTGAGTAGTTTCTAAATAATTTTAATAATTAAAAAATATCAGATTGGAGGAGGAATAGCGTTAAATAAGATACAAAATAAGATAAGCAGAACAAAGTCGCACTTAACAATGCTAAAACAAATTAAAAAATGCTAATGCGTTTTAACATGTTTTATTTCTTTTTTTTCATTAATAGAAATACTTTTTAAAAAAAATTATAAACGTTTAAAAAAATATAAATTAAATGTAATTGTTAAACAAACGCGTTTATTAATGTACAATTCACTACTTTGTAAACTACACGTTGAGTAGTTTTTAAATAATTTAACAATGTTAATACCAATATAAAGCAACACATTAATTAATTAAGAAATTATCTGTTCAATTGTATATAATTGTATAATTATTGTAAATATAATACATTTCGCTGTTTAAGTGTAATAATTTACTAAATCCAAGAGCGTTCGAAATACCTCGTGAAATCATGGTTCTCGATTGGACCGTCGTGCAAAAAGAAATGCCTCTCCTTCCTTCACCCTTTTTACCTTTACAGCAAGATAACGCGGGTGAACGTCGCGTTACATTCGCGTTCTCTTTGAAAAGCAGCCATTATCGCATTCCCGCCAAATCTGCGGAGCGGCACGAGCGCCAGCCGGCCAGCCAATAAGGGACGCCGTTTGGAATTCGTGTAACCTGCCGCTAACGGAAAGCCGGTTGATGCATGCGGTGATGTGCGGCGTTGCTTTTTCGTGGTGGTCAAATTCGGTCTACTCGCCGATGCCGTCGCGTTGTGTCTCCTGAGAGAGGAAGGGTAGCCGATAAAGGGAGTCGCTTTTCCTAATCGCCGACATGGAGCTCACCGACGACAATTTGCTAACGTTGAGCGAGTACCTGAAGCACACCCTCAGCCCCGACGTGAATGTCAGACGTCCAGGTCGGTATAACCTGCGAGCTCTCTTTCTCTCTCTCTCTCTCTCTCTCTCTCTCTCTCTCTCTCTACCTCGTCGTCCTCGCGATACTTACAGATACTTCGAACGTATGTTTCATCTCGCGTTTCGCACATTAATATCCGATTTTCATTTCAGCCGAGAAGTTTCTGGAGTCGGTGGAGGTCAATCAGAACTACCCCTTACTGCTACTTCACCTAGTGGACAAGTCTGAGATTAATATCACGATTAGGGTGGCTGGCGCGGTTGCGTTTAAGAATTATGTCAAGCGTAATTGGAAAGTGGTTGGTTTTTTTAAATGTTATATTCGTCCACTTTATCGCCCTTGTATCGTACGCTGATTTGCTGATCGTAGAATCGATTGTTTTAGGAGGAGGATATGAGGGATCATATACATGCCCAGGACCGGGACGCCGTCAAGAAGCTGATCGTCGATCTGATGTTACATTCGCCAGATTCGGTACAAAAGCAGCTGTCGGACGCGGTGTCTATCATCGGGAAGTACGACTTTCCGAACAAGTGGCCGGAATTGATTGATCAGATGGTGGAGAAGTTCAATACCGGCGATTTTCATGTGATCAACGGTGTCCTGCACACCGCGCATTCCCTGTTCAAGAGATATAGATACGAATTTAAAAGCGAGAGCCTATGGACGGAAATAAAATTTGTATTAGACAAGTTTGCGAAGCCTTTAACAGATCTGTTCTTAGTAAGTATTTAGCTAAAATCTCTCGGTTGTTCTGCATGTATTAAAAATGTACTCCTCGAACGTTTCTAAATGAGATTGAATTTTGCAGGCTACAATGAATTTAACACAAGTACATGCTAATAATATGGAAGCCTTGAAGGTTATATATAATTCGTTAGTTATTTTATGTAAAGTTTTCTATTCCCTTAACTTCCAAGTGAGTATATTTATATATATATTGTATTTGTCTGTGAAATATATGAGAATTTATTTTTACAAATTATAATTATTAATGCAGGATCTGCCAGAATTTTTCGAAGACAATATGGAGGCATGGATGAGGAACTTCCATACTTTATTAAACGTTGACGTTCCCTCCTTGCAGACCACGGTAATTTACATTTCAAAATTATATTACTGTTAATACATTTAAACGTATGAAATTAAAGTAATCTTTTAATTTCCAATCTGAAGGACGAAGAAGAAGCCGGTGTAATAGAGCAGTTGAAGTCACAAGTGTGTGACAATGTTGGCCTATACGCTCAGAAGTACGACGAGGAATTCCAGCCTTACTTACCCCTGTTTGTCACAGCGGTTTGGAATTTACTCACATCCACGGGCCAAAATCCCAAATACGATGCTGTGAGTAAAGTTCAAGATTGTTTCAGGATTCTTTCTTAAACAACAAAAATGTGAGAGTGCTGCACAGTGATGTTTTTTTTTATTTTATTACAGCTAGTGTCGAATGCGTTGCAATTTTTGGCCACGGTAGCCGACCGGGCGCAATATAGACATTTGTTCGAAGATCCGGCGACTCTTAGCAGTATCTGTGAAAAAGTCATTATTCCTAACATGGAATTTAGAGGTGACTACCACCGTAAATATATATACCGTATGTATAGCGTATTATTCGCGTTACTCAATTCTTAAAATTTTGCAGAATCGGACAATGAATTATTCGTGGACAATCCCGAGGAATACATCAGACGTGATATCGAAGGCAGTGACGTGGACACCAGGAGGCGCGCTGCGTGCGATTTAGTCAAAGTACTGTCTAAGTACTTCGAAGCGAAGATTATGGACATCTTTGGAGCGTATATACAGGTGAATATAGTAGAATAGGTATTGATGGTGACTTTATTTTTAACTATGCGTTATGAACGCGTATTAATACATATGCGTTTTTAAAATGTGCATTTTTTTTCAGGTGATGTTGCAAAAATATGCCGAAGATCCGTCGAAACATTGGCGCAATAAGGACGCCGCTATTTATCTTGTTACTAGTAGTGCGAGCAAAGGACAAACGCAAAAACACGGGGTTACTCAGAGCAGCGAGCTTGTCTCTATACCGCAATTTGCTGCGCAACATATCGAACCTGAGCTGACAAAACCAGACGGTATGATAAATGCATATATTCTAAAAAGAGTAATTTCACTTAAGCTTTAATTGCTGAGCATGTGGAAGTTTTATTTATTCAAAATCTAAGCTTTATCTAACTAAACTATAATTGCTTCCCAAAAACTAATAGCCCGATACGGCAATTTACTGTAATGAATAAATAATGACAATATGATAATAAATTTCAGTAAATGAGTTTCCAGTACTTAAGGCGGATGGAATCAAATTCGTAATGACATTTAGATCGATATTACCTCATGAGATGGTAATAGGAAGTTTGCCGCAATTAATAAGACATCTAAGCGCCAGCAGTATCGTCGTGCACACTTATGCCGCTTGCGCGATTGAAAAGATATTCGCAATGAGAGGTGCCGATAATCTGCCCTTGTGAGTGACCCATCGGAAAGTCGATATCATAACCGTTGATTTATATGAGCGCTGAAAATTCTCTTGTAATTTTGCAGAGTCAAAGGGGTCGATATATCGCCGTTAGCAGCAGATCTATTGAAAGGACTTTTCGCGTGTATGAGCATTTCGGGTTCCGAGGAGAACGATTACGTTATGAAGGCTGTCATGAGGAGTTTCGGTATCTTGCAAGAAGCGGTGGTGCCATTCCTAGCCGATTTGCTCCCGAAGCTCACCGAGAAACTCGCGATCGTATCTCGGAATCCAAGCCGGCCAAACTTCAATCATTATCTCTTCGAAACTTTAAGTTTATCCATCAAGTGAGCCATTCTAACGTAATAATGTAACTTGCGTTGCCGTTTTTTTTTTATTATAACTTTTTATTACAAACGGTTTTTTTCAATTTTTCCCTTTTATTTTTAACTGACATTTTATGGTTCGCGTTTTTTGTAATAAAACTTGCATGGTTTTTTTCCCCAGAATTGTCTGCAAGACAAACCCTGAGGCAACGTCATCCTTTGAACAGGCGTTGTTTCCCATTTTTCAAGGAATTTTGCAGCAGGACATACCAGGTGAGCATTTATAATTGCGCAGATTACAAATTTTGCATTTGCACGCGAATCAATATTTGTGTTCTTTTTTTTTCTTTCAGAGTTTATTCCTTACGTCTTCCAAATTCTTGCATTGCTTTTGGAGCTACGACTCACTCAAGATGTACCGGAACCGTATATGGCTCTGTTCCCGTGCCTATTGTCACCTGTGCTATTTGAACGTCAAGCCAACATCCATCCTTTAATTCGTCTGTTGCAAGCGTTCATTAGTCACGGCTCGCATCAGATCGTGACGCAGGATAAGACGAGCGCGCTATTGGGGGTGTTCCAGAAGCTAATTGCGTCGAAAGCGAATGATCACGAAGGATTTTTACTGATACAAAGCATTATTGAACACTTTGAACCGTAAGAATGCTTGAGAAAAATTTTCTTTTTATTCTCTTGTATTATACACATTTTTTTTTATATTTTTAATGAAAAAAATTTGATATACGAATTATAACTCTAATAATTTAATGTTGCAGGAACATTTTGGAACCGTTTATGAGACAAATCTTCGTGCTTTTCTTTCAAAGGCTGTCGACGTCGAAGACAACGAAATTCGTGAAAGGTCTAATAGTATTTTTTTCATATTACATTATTAGGTACACGTCGTCGAGTTTGATTGCGATCATCGACCAGATACAGCCGCAGTGAGTTTTTATAAATACATAAAGACACCCCCTGTCCTTTGAAATGCGAGAGAAATTACAGTAAACGTTTTATATTTAGAATGTTTGGAATGGTGGTGGAGCGCGTGTTCATAACCGATCTGCAAAAGATATCGGGCGAAGTGGAGCGAAAGGTGGTGGCCGTGGGAGTTTCGAACTTGCTGATCGATTGCCCCGCAATGCTCGAAGCTCCGTACAATTCGTACTACCCTCGCTTATTGGCTACACTGGTCGAATTCTTTGAACTGCCGCAAGATCAGAGCTTGCTGCCGGAGGACGATGCGTTTCCGGAACTCGACGACACGGTTGGCTATCAAGTTGGTTACAGTCAACTCATCTGCGCGAGAAATCCACGGAAGGACCCATTGCAAAGTACGAATTTTCTTTCATATTCAATTTGTCTTGCGCGATAGCCGACTTTTTTTTTTAATATGGATTTTTTAAATGGATTTTTCCAAAACGAATTACTTATTCACTTTCTTGCGTTCCTTTATTCAAAACGTTCAACTTTAAATCCGATTAAATTAAATTTTTAGATTAAATTTATCCAATTTTTTTAGAATAGAGCGTTAAAATGTCTAAATAAGTATCCTTATATAAATAGAGTATTTAACGTTGTTTACGTAATGAAACTGTTTGTCGACAGATATTGGTGATATACGTTTGCACTTGGCGCAAGGCCTCGGAAGATTATCGCCAGGACATTTGCCGGGACTGTTGGGCCAGATTCCTGAAGCAAACGCGAACCACTTGAGAAATTACCTCCAAACAGCTGGTATTACTGTTGCATAATACGAGCTGGACGTTCGAAACAGACTGAAGATCCATTTGATAGCTCGAAAAATGAACAATATTGAACTTAATAAATTGTAATTAAAGGAGAATCCCTTTTATACGGTAATTGTACAATTCGTGAAATACATTATCGTATTCTATTTGTAATTGCCATACTGTAGGAAAATGATTGTCATTTTTACACAGTAAAATTTTCGACACATTCATATATATTATTACAAAAGAAAAACGGAGAAAGAGAAAATACACATACGTCCATGTAATTATATATTTATATTTTTAATCGCACACACCAGCTGTCAAAATAGTAATTCAGATTATTCAGTTTATCCTAACAAGTTATTAAATATCCGTTCTTTTTCCTTAATCATTTATTTAATCAATTTTAATACATAGTTATATATTTTATATTTATATGTAAAGTAACATTGGCACTAATGTAAGTTGTTCCGCATACGTTTTCTAAATGCATATAGCGAAGTATCATTTACGATTAAATAATTCATTCAAATTCTCTTTCGTCCTTTAAATATAAAAACATGTATATTTTAAATCTTTTCAATATCTTTTCACGTAGTTTTTATAGCGCTAAAAAGAAATAGTCATTCGACAGTTTCTAAGGCTAGCGAGGAAGTTGTTTATAAAATATTATACGAGTTAATTTAAAAAGTGAAATACTAATCTACTTTTCTAAACTACCAAAGAAGAAAGACTTATACTAATAAAGATATACATCAATTATTTTTTATCAAAATATCATTAACAAATAAAAATAGTACACGGAAAAGATTTGAGGAGTAATTGCTTTATATTTTATTTCTTGTATTTTTATATGCTATCGTGGTCCTATCATTGTGACAACTATGGCAAACAGGAAATCATAAATAATCTTGTTTCTTCTATATAAAACGGATAATTTATCATAGAAAATATTCGAAAAGTGATAAAACATAATTATTTGTCTAGTGGCTTTACAGAAAGAAAGCACTTTAATTACTAGATTTTACAAAGAATAAAAATTCAAACGGCAATAATCAGAAAATAATTCAATTTTTTTCTAATTCAATAATTAAGAGTTTACATTATATATAATAAAACACATTAACAATACAATTACAAATGACTCTGTTCTAAATAAAGATTCGAATTTAAAAAACTTGTGAAATAGAGAATTCGCGTCATCTTATAGTGCAAGTATAATTGTCCACGCTATTAAGATTAATGCAGTTAGAAACTTTCTCCTTGCGTCCGGAGCTAAATATTTAAATCTGTATACTTTTTGGCGAGAGTTTAGACGTGTTTCTGTATAAAAAAATAATCTCTGATAAATATCTTTTCATAATTTTTAGCCAGTTAGTGTCAAAATATGCATTCCGACACGTAATATAGGCTATTTCTAAACGGGTATCACATATACGCTTGCTATGGGAATATTGGCATCTTGTAAATGTGCTGCTTACGGCATACGATATGTAGCGTATTCGTTACTCTTTACGAAGCTACGGAGAATATAATGCACGTGCCCAATTTGGCAGTTGGCTGTATGGCGTACGAGAAACTGGCAATTCACTTCCACTTAAAGATCCAGCGCTGAGTGATCCATCAAACTCTTCAACAAACTGTTGGACATCCTGCGGAAAGGAAGCATCATGTTTTAGTAATATAATCTCTATACAATTAACAAAAAATTAGATTGCTTCTATATTAATTTAACTTTATTTTTTTTTTATTAATGTCAGAGTCTACGTAAATTTTCGAAACGAATTTAGAAATATCAGTATCTATGCAATTAATAAAAAATTAGATTGCTTCTATATTAATTTAACTTTATTTTTTTTATTAATGTCTACGTAAATTTTCTAAACGAATTTAGAAATAATAGTATCTAGCAGAGAATTATGTGTTTTATAAGGAATCACTTACTTTTTCACCATATGATCATAAATGTACGATGGAATTATCGTTACGGTGATGATGTCTCCACCTTTCTCGATCTCCGCCGTGACATCTTTATCCTTCATCCCGATTACGTTCTGTAAAAATTATCGATTTATCTGACAACCGTTTTATTATTCAGTCTACTGAAAATTTAAATAGAGTACAGGTACTGTGTATCGTGCAAACCTTTCCATTAATCTCAAGTATCTGATGATCGGTTAGAAGTCCATTTCGCGTGGCCGACGAATCTTTCACCAGAGCAATGATTTTTCCGTTCTTAAATTGAAAGCCGATGTAACCCGTGCTGTCTTTGTGCATTGTTACGGTACGCTCGAATGGTCTGCAAATAAAAATAATGTCGTTCGTTCGCGGAAGAAATTAAGTAATGAAAACCGAAGTTTTCATAGATAAAATGAATGATAAGATAAAATGAAATAGCATATTATCTGACCTATCACGCACAATGACTCTGATCCCGTTGACGTTCGCGTTACGGAAGAGTTTGTGCACTTGCTCCATGGAGTATCCAGCAACGCATTCGTCATTGATGCTTAAAATTTGATCGCCGAAACGTAATCCGGCCATCGACGCTGGAGAATTTTGACTCACGAGGCACACGAAAACTCCATTGTTCACCGCGTGTACTCTAACGCCAACCTTCCCATCACCATCCTTACAAAGTGTCAACTGCAACGCGATAAAGTATTTTATTAAAAAACTATAATTCTCTCTTTTTCTCTCTTTTCACGGAAAATATATCATATAATTACGAAATTGAATATTTTGATAGATACAAATGGCAGATTTACAATCAATTATTACCTCTCTGATACCATTTGTTACATAAGCTTTCTGCAAAGCCATGGATCCTCCTGACAAAGGAGCGATCATCCCTGATAATGGGCTGCTTACGTTTGTTGAAGTAAGAGCTACCTAAAAAAAAAATCGTTTAGAGAACAAATTAATTTCTATATTACCACAATTGCTAATCCTTTTCAAGACTTTTGATAAAGTCAACAATTTAATAGTTTTATGTAATTAAAATTAAGCTGAGTTATTCGAAGTAAAATTGACATACATCATTCGCATTTTGACGTGTAGCGAGCGCATATTCGGGCATATTTTGCGCAATGGTCTCTTCGTTCAACTCGAGACCCATGTAATCTCCCAAGGATGGATACAGCATATTGGGTGCGGAAGGAACGTAAGTCGGAGCCGAGGGTGCCACGGATTCGATCGGTACCGAAGGGACATATTGTGATTCGGCTTGCAGCTGAGCCTGTAATGTTATTTCATGATGCAAAAGACATTATTCTGTAAATTATAATCTGATTTGAATAATTTGATAATTTTATATCCAATATAGAGAGAAATCGTGAACCATTCGCGAAGCTTACCTTCATCATATGATCCACTTTCATATCTTCCAGTGTAGGATAAAGAGACATTTTGAGAGTTTTTTATTAATTACTCTGAAATGAAATATAAATCTGTTAGTTCCCTTTTCTATTCTCATCATTTTTTATTTTTATTTTATCTCTTATTATATATCTGTTGTTTATCAGATCTTTTCTCATTCTAAGAACTTTATCTTTATTTGTTTCTTGTTAAGGAGGATAAGAATATTATGTCAAAATTTTTTTCTTCGCAGAATATAGAGAAATCAAATTAATACAGTATTTATTTATATTCTTTATTGTGTGACGTAAATAGTCACATGAGATCAAGTAGTTGGATGAGTCAAGGTGGTTTTTCCCATTCATTGAAACTGAAATATCTTACGCATGTATTTTTCGCAAACAAAATTTCCATCAGGGAATGGAAAGTTACTTTTTAAATTCGTTACTTTTTCGTTAGAATATTCCGTATTCAGATAGGCTAGGATAATGAAAGTATTTTTACCAATATTCACTAAAGATTAAAGAGATTAAAGAATTCTGAAGATTCTCTTCAATCTCTAGTCAATGTGAGCCCGGCAAAAATTCTCTCACAGATAGATAAAAAGAATAATTTAATTGATACATTCAGCATACATTTGGTACAGATATTTTTGCACACACTAATTTGCTGTTCAATCTAATCTAATCTAATCTAAAACAAGCAGCGGTTAGTCCAATTTAATTACGGAAATATTAAACATATGTTATATAAATTATCAAACAAAGAATTATTTTAGAGATATGCATGTGAAAATCCACACTCGTGCAAATATTTTAGATTTAGATTTCTGCATAAAACAAGGAAACGAAAGAGCAATTTCTTTGTATTACAAATGGTTTCATAATTATTGAGCAAGATACTAATCATTCTTAATGCATGAGTCATTTCCTTTCACTCTATCTAAAACACATCGATACTCATACTATAATATATAAAAAACACAAGTTGATACTTTATTCCTATCTAAAAAAAGGCATGTTTATAAAAAAAATACATTAAATCTTGATAAGTAATTTGTTTTTTTAACGTTTTTTTCATATTCCATATTTCTATGATATATGAAGCATTGTTAATATATCATTAAAAATATTATATATAATATTCTTACATGAAATATTAAGAATATTATTATATAAAATTAATACACATATAATTAAGAAAGAAAACAAAAGCTTTGAAATAGCAAGGAAGAACAGCACAAAGAAAAGATTAAATGCTACACATAAAACTATATATAAATATGTAAAATGCGCTATAAAGCTTTTGTTTAATATATATTACATTAAAATTTTTATGTTATTTTTTTTATGCGAGAGATTTCTAGCTAAATTTTGTAATGTTAGGAGCTTTCAGATCTGGTCCATACATTCACAAGCTTGTTTTTCGACAAATAGAACATTTTTAATTAGTAATTCCACTAATTCTATATATCAATCATTGTCTCTGCTGCACGCGTTGCATCATATTGTGAACGCATATCACAAAGATAATAGCACGATAGATATCTAGCGTAAACACGAGGTCCTGCAGCTGAGGACAAAAAGATAAGTGTTTATTTTTATACAGAGCAAACACGCTTATTCGCACTGTTGAAAACGTGCGTATCGTGTCTATTTCAGTCGGTCTCTCCCGCTTATAGACGCTTCCGCATAATTTTATCCCGGCTACGCACGTTAAGGGCATCGTACAATTAAGTTATAATTAGCAATAATAGGCCAAGAAGCGTCTACTCACGGCTCGATGATTAATAACATGGAAGACAGCATGCCGATATATATATTACGACGAGAATAGTCAGTCGGACGAAACGCGACTTACCAACGGACGTCAGTCGAAGGTTTTGGTGTACCGCTGCTGCGTAAATTTAAGGAAACTGTCAACACGAGTTGGTCGAGGTCTCGGTTAATCCTGGCAAAATTCCTTCCTGCCGCAAACTGTCAGCACACGCACACACCGTCGCGGACCACCTCCTGCTGATCGATGAAGTGTTTGCGCGCACCGAGCGAAGCGCTGCTGTGCGCTGCGCTCGGAAATTTTCTCGGTGACATTCGGCAATGTTCGGCAGATGCTCGGGAATTTAATCGGGGTTTTCTCCTCGCCCCTGAAATTAGCCGCTTTTATGTTCTTTAATTTCAAATAAAGTCAGAATTTATTTATCCTTTTGATTTTTTTTTTTTAAAGCGATTAATTTCATAGTGAGGAAAACCTTTGTTAAAATTCGAGTAGAGTTTGTCGTCCCCCTCGGCCGCCCCCACGTGTGCCCACGTGATACGTGATCGATACTGCAAATATGGCGGCATATTTACGCCGGGCTGTCAATTGAAGGCTCGCTCTGGAGATGAGTTTTAAGAGGATTGTCTAAATATCTCTGTATTGTGCGTGGAATTGAATTCTAACGTGCGGTGGGTATCCGTCAAAATTCGCGAATTCCTTGGAACGTAGAAAACAATCGCCTGACATTGCTAAAAAAAAAAAAAAATAAACTTAAGCGATCGTTTAACTCTTAATTTTCTCCCTGACAGATGATATCAACGAGGTACGTATCGTTCCTCTCGGGAATAGTGATAGCCTCCTTAACATGGGCGTTCAGCCTTTACCTGTACTCAAGACTGTCGCAAAATGCCAATATCGCCGCCAGCCCCACGATGTTCGCCCCTGCTGTTTCCCGTCGCGGCGAGAGCGTCGACAGGGAGATTATGCTGCGCGACAATGTCATCGTTGCGCGCGACGAGAAGCAAGTCTTAATCGGTAGGGAAACCTACAACCTGAAGGGCAACAAGATTCTCAGGAACAACGATCTGCTCTTGCATGCTGCTCCCGTGAAGCCTGCCGTCACGCAGGATCAAGGTATCATTCAGTCTTGATATTCTAAGTCTGTTAAAGCGGCGTCTACGATGAGACTTAAGATTTAAGAAAATTGATCGATTACAATCGATTATTCTTCTCATGTGAAATAAATAATCTACTATGATTGGTCAGTTTTTTTAAATATTAAATCTTAAGTCTCGTTGTAGACGCCGTCTCAATCTTTAAGCTGTCAGACTCAAAAGCCAGGTGTTTTAACAGATTTGGACGAACTGGGCATGGTAAAGAATTTGGATGATCAACGGAAGAGAGACGAGGGCTACAGAGACTACGCCTTCAATGTTCTGATATCCGACAACCTTGGCGTGCAAAGGAATATACCGGACACGAGGCACAAGCTGTGCAAGGCTCAGCGATATCCCGTCAATCTGCCGAACGCCAGTATAGTCATCTGCTTTTACAACGAGCACTACATGACTCTGCTGCGATCCCTGCACTCCGTACTCGAGAAAACGCCGGCGGCGCTTCTGCACGAGATTATTCTGGTGAACGATTACAGCGACAGCGAGGCGTTGCACGAGAGGATAAAAGTGTATATTAGAAACAATTTCGACGACAGAGTACGATTGTTCAAGACCGAGAGACGAGAGGGTTTGATCCGGGCGCGGGTGTTCGGCGCTAAGAAAGCGACCGGCAAAGTTTTGATCTTCCTGGACAGTCATATCGAAGTAAACGAAATGTGGATAGAACCGCTTCTTTCGAGGATCGCCTATTCGAAAAATATCGTACCGATGCCGGTGATCGATATTATAAACGCAGACACGTTTCAGTACACCGGTAGTCCATTGGTGAGAGGTGGCTTTAATTGGGGTCTTCACTTTAAATGGGACAATTTACCAGTTGGAACGTTGAAGCATGACGAAGATTTTGTTAAGCCCATCAAGTATGTATATGTATTTAATTAACAAAAAAAATATACATATTTTATCAGATCTTTTTGGAAAAATAATGAATATTTCTTACTGATAAATAGATCACCCACCATGGCTGGAGGATTGTTTGCTATCGATAGAGAATATTTTACAAAAATGGGAGAATATGACATTGGGATGGACGTTTGGGGCGGAGAGAATCTTGAAATATCATTCCGAGTAAATATTGATTAATTGCTCTAACATCCTTTTTCATATTTGTTTCGCCATATATATATAATAATGATTAATTTTTTTTTTTATTTTTTTTTATAGATATGGATGTGCGGTGGCAGTATCGAGCTTATTCCTTGCTCACGCGTCGGTCACGTATTCAGAAGACGACGGCCATACGGCTCGGACGACCCACAAGACACTATGCTGAAGAACTCCTTGCGAGTCGCGCACGTATGGATGGACGAATACAAAGATTACTTTCTAAGGAATACTAAGACAATTGATTATGGCGATGTCTCGGAGCGATTGGCGTTGCGCCAGAGATTAAAGTGCAAGACATTCGGCTGGTACTTGAAGGTGGTTTACCCTGAATTGACGCTGCCGGACGATACGGAGAGGCGGCTGAAGGACAAATGGGCGAAACTCGATCAGAGACCGATGCAACCGTGGCATTCGAGGAAGAGGAATTACACCGATCAGTATCAAATCAGACTCGTGAACACCGCGCTCTGCGTCCAGAGTGAAAAGGACATCAAGACTAAAGGCTCGAAACTCATCTTGATGCCGTGTTTGAGAATTAAATCACAGGTAAGCGTTATTTTTAAAATAAAAATTTTTTTTTTACACACCACCCACCACCCATTTTAATTAAACGAATTTTAACAATTTAAGAAAAAAATAAATTTTCACAAAAATTGTTTTAATCGGCTATTTTTAAATAAAATCACGATTTTAAAAAAAAATAGCCACATATTCATCTTTAAGATGAGCCCAGAACGAAGTCTATATCTTTACTTTTCTGGAAGATATGAATTTTTAAACATTGGGGAAAAGAGGCTTCAATCGCCGGTAACACGCCAATTTTAATATAGGATATTACACTTTTGCAGATGTGGTACGAGACCGATAAGAATGAACTAGTGCTTGGCCAGATGCTCTGCATGGACGGAGCTGAGAAGATTCCAAAGCTTGGAAAGTGTCATGAGATGGGTGGGAGCCAAGATTGGCGGCACAAGCGCATGGTAAGATTTCCTAATGCCTTCAAACAGCTTTCGTTACACTTGCGTTACGAATCCTACAAATATTTTCTTCTCTTACAATCATTAGATATTTTATTTTTGTTTTGCAAACACTCAGTAGCTTGATAAATAGATGTTTACCGACAATTGTCGTGAATTTTAAATAATTTACAGAATGGTACACCTATCTACAACATGGCAACGGGCACCTGCTTAGGAGCGACGCGCGATGTAAGAAATACCCCACTCGTCATGGAGTTATGCACGAGACCGAACGCCTCGCTGATAACGTGGGATCTCGTCCGGTCGAAGATCCCGGCCAAAGAAGTCAGATGACATAGGAAGAAAGGTCGTAAAAATAGGAAAAAGAATTCCGAAGACTGGCTCGGCAGGAAATGGTAGACTCTTCGATAAATTACGTATTGCTCTCGAAAGAATGATTGCAACTAGAAGTAGAATACTTTATACATGCGTCGAACTTTCGAACAATTTTGCCAGAGAATAATGAGATTAAATTAATTTAAACAGAGCTTTAAAAACAATTGAAAGTATCGTAAGTCGTAACTGTATAGGAAAGGCTATTGTAAAAAAAATTTCTTAATTTGTTGGATCTGTGTATATACAAATATTAACTTTTTATACTTTTCTCATTTTGTACAGGTAAAAATGTGCATAAGTTTCTTATTTAAATTTGACAAAGGTTTTTATATAACTTTTATTTAAGTTATAACAATGCTCTCTGTATTATATTTTTGCATAATATCGTAAGAACAATTAAGGCCTATTGGCAAATACGTAGAGATTCTAGTGGAGCCATTATTTATAAAAATGTATTTGTATATAATATTTACATTAAAATTGAAAATGCAACCGAAATTTTTCCGAATCAATTTTTTATCTTTCAAACAACCCTTATTTTTTTTTTAAGCGTTAATAAATTATCAAGCTAATCCTAAATTATCATTTGATCCCGCGCGACCTAATCCCAACTTTACCATAACTCGGTACTCTTGGTAGGTGACTCCTAACCTTTCTTGACACTTGTAAACGCTCGCATGCGATCGCGCGAGCAGAGAAAGGATGACTACTTCGAAGGAATTGAATCTGGCCAGGAAGAGCCTTGTGGCATCGCTTGGCGAAAACGCGAAAGTGTAAGTTTTCCTAATTCAAAGGACGAAACGAGGTGTATACACATGACGTTGATACACGAAGGATCAGCCTAACCTAAAACTGTGTTTACTAATTTTATTTTTACGATTATTCGTAGGTATTTTGAAAAGATGAAGCTCTGGTTCCAAATGAAGGTACATAAATTTCATCTCGACCAAACTTTGTCGGACAGCACATATCTCCGTATATTATATACAGCCGTTGTTTTAGACGACAAAGGAGGAGTTCGACTGCGAAGCACGTAATCTCATGACGGAGGATCAGGTCCATTTGCACAATGAGTTTCTGCTGTGCCTCTTCAATAAGGTCCGTGGATTGGCCACCGTCACGCCGGCCAAGGTAGACAGGGACAAGGTTTCGAAAGAGAGAAGACTGAGGCTGAAGCGCAAGTACAAGACCGACAAGTCAAACTTTGAGGTGTGCAGACATATATTAGTAACATTGTTGCAATATAAATACGATTATTGCTATCATTTCTTGGTAACAGCCAGCGGACATGTACGTGGAGGTGCTGGGCCAAGCCTCGTCGCCGGTCGGCGACGAGCCGATAGGCGCGAATCGCTCCAGCGCCCAAGAACTCGTACTGCCGGATCGCACCTTCGTGCTGGCGCGGTTGATGCTCGCGGCGTGGGAGAATAACATGGACGGGGCCGAGGAGAATACCGCGCACATCGTCATAGCCGCGACGCAGATCTTCTTGAAAAATATACTCACGGCTATTTTCACGCGTAGGAAGGGATACGCCGTGCGGGACGGCTCCTTCATTCACAACATAGGCGAGCCAGTGCCTAGCTCGTGGAAGAGGAACTCCATGTACATAAATCCAGTCAATTCCGGGTGAGTTGCGGGCGCGAGTTTAAATTTTAACTTTGCACACGACGCTGACACTGAATTCTGATCTTGAAAAACGCAGACCGACGGAGATAGTGGAGCCTTACGGCCAGATTCCCGCGGCAAAATTGAGTTTCGAGGAAGCCGAGCAAGCGACCGCTTTTTCGTACGCTTGTTCCACGCAAGTCACTCGTCTACCGTTGAAACCAGTCAGCACGGCCGATTTGCAATATGCTTTAAAGGTAATAACAAAAAAATCTATTTCTTTTCTCATCACGTGTTAAGATCATACTTTATAATTGTGATTTTATTCTTCCAAATAGATTTATAAAAATCTCGTTAGTAATCACACTATATATGCTACCAATATGGAGCGATTATATACATATGCCACTCATCCAACGTGGGAAGATTTGGAGGCCAAAAAGTTATTATGTCAACCGTCAACATGAAGAATTCATGCGATCCTAACGTATGTTTTATATTATAATTCTTTAATTTTATTACAGTAGGATTACTATTAAAGTAGAGCTGAAATTAAAGTTTAAATTATTTTTCACATATCCAACTTTGTTTCATAAAATATACAATATAAAAGTAGACTTGGTTCAATTAAATCATTTAGAAGTTTATTTAACATATTTTTATATTCTTATATTAATATCTTTCCTATTTTTGTACATAATAATTACCCAGGGCTATAACTTTAATGTCATGTAAGTTCATCATGTTTAATTTGTTCATACAATAATACAATAGAATACACAGTTATATTATCTAATATGATGTAAAAAGAATAATTTATAATTTCAGTATATAACTATTTACATTCTTATCTGGAATTTGCCAGCTTTAGTAATGTATTTGACACCTTTGAATGGCTTGTACTTTTCGCCATACATATCTAACCGATTTACTTTCAATCCGGATACCGCTAATTGATTGATCGTAAAATGCACCTGAAATCAAAGTATCAAATTAATTTCATTAATTAAAAAAATTATTTATGTATATGCGAAATCGTCATACACACATTAATGGCAGGATTTGATTCAGTAACAGCTGTCGAATTTTGTATCGTGATCTGAAATACAAAATTTTGTAATACAACACTATTATTTATACATCTCTAGAGGCCTTATTTATAATTATCCTACCGATCCTCTGAGATTCGGCAGCTTGGAAACATCAATTCTTCCAATGTCCCACAGTAGTATCTTGCTGACGGGATCGAATGAATATTTTCCTTGATTTGGAGTTAAAGTGCAATTCAAAACTATCTTTGGCATGGGAATTTCTAGAACCACATTTTCAACCTGTAACAATAACCTAATGATTAGTAACGATTATAGAAATAAAATTTATATATATATAAAATCTTAATAAAAAAGATAACTTACCGTCCTACCAATAGTTTGCTTTGGTCCAACAGTGATGTCTAATCTACCACCTCCTGGTTCTTTTAAGCTAATATTGTGTCTTATGTATATAGGAATCGCTACAATGCTTTGCGATCCTATGTGATATGAAAGAAGGCGAAAGTTACCATCGGGCGGAATAAAAGAAAGTATCCTCTCCGACTGAAAAAAACAGGGCATGTAAAATTAAAAATTAATTTTCAAAATATATAACACATCATTTATGTTATTCATCATTCATGTATATACCTCCCATCTTTTGAATCGAACGCAAGGATGGAAGCTAACATCATCGAACAGTCTTGGATTCATAAACGAAAGGGTGAGGTCCGGCATACCGCTTAGTTTTATACAGCAGTCAATCTAAAAGATTAATTACACATGTAATACGTTACATAATTAATGTTTGTGTGAGAAACACGGTACGTACGTAGCCCTGAATTTCTGCAAAGACTGTCGCTCCAGTTCGATCGATAATCGCGTCTACCTCCTCGACAACGTCAAAGTAGGCCTCATTGTTGGTATACTTCACTCCAGTTCGTCTCCACGGGACGTTGGACAATTGTCCACTCGGCAAGATGGCACTGACGCTACGTATAAATTTGCAAAATATATATAAAAATCCTTTACAAATATATCTGTAAATGTGTGACACAACTCACGGGATACACTCACTTGGATTTGCCTGTAACAGTGTTCGCGATGGTGCGCAAAATGTTCGGCGGCTTGATCAACTCCTTCAATATATTGGACTCCGTAGCCAGGGGGAAACCGTTGTCCAACATCTCATCCAGCAACTCGTACACCACCACGTAGTTCTCCTTTATGATAGTTTCCGTGCACTCGCTGAAGTAATCCTCGAAGGTATCCACCACCCTGTGCAGGAATTCAATGACGAACAGTGGTGGAACTGAAAAAAAAAAAAAGCAAATATTTGAATTATTAAATATACAAATGACACGCCGCTTAACGAGTTCAGCTTACCCTCTGTCATGCAGACCGCAACGAAGAACATGTTGCAGCGATATATACTAATGAGATAATGATGCGGAGTGGCTATCACCGGCGGCGTGTCCTCCGGCGACAAGACTCGTCGCTGCTGGTCGAAGAAGTAGTCGCAGAGCGAACGTGCGACCGCGCTCTTCCAGTGCTTCTCCATGAAGACATCTCTACATGCGTACGGAAATATTAATTAGAACATATCGCGCAAACAAACGTAAAAATGTGTGACAGATAACGATGGATAAAATGTTCATTTACTCCACGTGAGCAATGCGAATCTATGATTTGTGAGATGAGCTGTCAAACCTGTGTGGTCTGCTTTCTCCATCGTACTTTGACACTTACCCGGAAGAATTTATAATAAAAAGACTGTTTATCATCTTCGTGAACAATGGATGTTCGAGGGTAAAATTCTAAACTACGGAAATGAACGATTTCAACGTCAGTGCACGAAATTGGAAATGTTTACAACAATATGCTGTACTACACGCTCAGATGATCTCCCATTTTTTTTTTCTGAATGCTCTAGGGAATTTCGAAGGAAAAAAACCTGTCGTGTAGATTTAGGTTGGCTGTTCTTTTCGCGAAAGGGATAGGCAATCTAAGTGACAATTTCCCGAAACTTCCTAGGAACAGCCACATGGCGACGCATGCGCACACCTCTCTGTTCTGACAGAATTTATCAGCCTTGCTGTCCAATATTTACTTCACAAGTGTCATTTTATTTGTTTCCTGTAAATTGTAAAAATGAGTGAAATATCA